CTATGGCTTTCCAGTCTCTTCACCGTGCTCATTTTAGTATGAACAAATTCTAATTAGTAGCAGTGCAAGGCTGTACATGTATGCTTTCCACAAAGCCCTACGCCCTTTCCACTGCTCTATTCAGGTCAGGTCAATCTTATACAAATTCAGCTGCTCGCCATCATGCAGTCTATAAACAGACCCAGCTTTGCAATTTCTGGCGTGAGGCATTTTAGGTTCAAGTGTATGAAATGTAAATGGGCACATCCACCATAAAGGGAATATTTGGGGAAGAATTAAAATGTTAGTACCTAACAATTTCAAATCCCATAGAATTTTGGTGAAAGAACAGAAAGGCTTAATTGTGATTAAAATGTTACTCTATACTAAAGTTCTCCTGCAGTTTGTGAAGGGAAAATGTTGTAATGCTTATTTTCTGCAAATTATGTGCAAAATATGTTTGATTTTAACAAATCTATTTGACAGATTCAATTCAAGAAAAAAGGTTGAATTCACAAATTTCAGTTGATGGCTAATGATTTCTCATTATTTTTAATGTATGCCCTTTATTTTGGCTATGCCTGATTGCATTTTGCATAATTTAGACATTTAAAGTATGAAGCATTTTTTCCTATAATATTACAAACTTTGCTCTCAGTTAAAACCAGAAGTAGAACTTCTTTCGTCATCATCACTTTTACAATTTGTTACATGTTTAATGCTTTGTTGTCATTTTTTTTTCAATATTAAAATAACAAGCCAAAAATTGTGTAAATTAATTTAAATATGAATTAAAGAATGAAATAGAGATTGTTGTTCCGTTTGGTGAGTTTTATTATCACTCTTTGAAAAAATTCATTCATTATAATGCATTGAATGTGTTTCCACCCCATCTGCAATACGTACATGTGTGTACAAAATGTACTTGGCTTTACTAATTTTCACCTGCTGCCTGTATTCAAAGACTAAGCCATAATCTTAGCCAGGGAATATATGTGCAATAGCTGGCTGACATTTCAATAGTGGCTCATTTGCATGCATATTAAAAAGCTCTTTATGCAGCAGAAGCCTGCACTTCGCTCTCCAGTCGGCCAGAGGGAGCTGAGGCACAGGGGTCAATAGTTCAGATGCACAGACGAAGATAATGTGCATAAATGATGAGGCTCGGCATTAATACAATATGAATTGTGTTTTTACCTCATTGCCGCTAAAGGAAATCGCATATAGAACTAGCATTTGTGTTGAATTTGTTTTTCCTCCCTCATTAGTGTATTATAACAATATTAGCTAGTTCATAACATTTATTTCTCCATATCCTTTTCCCCTTTTTAATTTTTCTTTGTACTTTTATAGTGATTTGGCAAAACTTTGAGGAAGAGATTATTTGTTTCTGTTTCAGTGTCATTTAGTTATAAGGAAATACTTTTTAGGGCTTAATGTATATTGATTTTGATTTATTTATTCATTTATTTCATTTCGAGACAAGATGATAACAACACATAGAAAACATCACAGGGTTGAAAAAATGATATAACACTAGCAGTATGACATTTAGCATCAGCCTTATTTTATTGTAAAGAAATAATTGTTAAGGCTTGTTTAATTCTACAATAAAGATATACTTTCTTTTATAAAGTTCTTTTAAATGTGAAAAAGGTTTCTGTATCCTGGGCTGTATTTTACTTTGTTATTGTAAAATTAATATTTGATTGGCGTCATTATCTGCTTCTGAGTATCTTTTTATCACTTTTTCCATCACTAAAGGATGGGGGGGGGGGGGGTTAGAGCTGAACATGTCAGAAATAATCACATGAAAAATTAGTTAATGGCTTGCAGTGTCTCCCAACCGATAAATAAACCAAAATGAAACAATGTAAACAATAGGATAAGTACCGTTTAAAAAAAAAAAAAATTTATGTTTCAAATACTAGCCAAAGCCCCAAATCAACAAATCAACTGAAATTTAATCTAGACATACCCAGCACATGTATGTAGAATTGTACATACTGTAAATATCATTGTACTTGGAGAAGTGTAATGCCTTGAACATATTTACATATACTGTATTATGTAACTTGAAAATGTATTGTAATAAATGAATAATTCTTGGTGAAAAAAAAAGAGAATCAATAACAACAGAAATAGTCATATATTCCAAATTTCAAAGCATTGCTAGAGATTTGACAGCTAAGATTCGCCCATATTCACATTTGAAAGAGGCAACTCTACAGTGAGTTGGAAGGTGAGATGTAGATAGACGTGAACTCCGCCCTGAACTTGGGAGGGTCATATCCGCTGGTTTTACAGGGTTGCAGAGGATGCTTCCTGTTGATAATCTACAACACTTCAGGGGCTGTCAAGCGCCCTCTGGTTGCCATGGCTACACACCCCAAAACACAGAAAAACATACAAAAAGTTCCAATGGAAAATGAATGGAATTTAACCGAGGACGTGACATGCCTTTGTTTTTCTTTTGAGAATTTGCAATGGGAAAGTAGTCTGCCTTGCATGTAGTACTGCTATGTATTAACACAAGTATCACAGATTTATTTGGAGCATTCATGCTGGCTTTAGCTTGGCCAAATATGTAACAGTGACCTAAAAGAAAAATTTTTTTTACTAACAGGTACACATTTTCTACCCCTGGGTCTAGAGAGACATCTCACTTCTGTAGATTTCTTTGTCCAGTGTAAAAGCACTCATGATTGGAAATTATGTTGACTCTTGTACTGTGTTTACTTACAGTCTGATACAACATCATTGCAATGACTAAAAGTTTGCCCAATTTCAGTAACAATAGTACAAGAATCAAGAAAAAGGGAAAATGTAACAGAATTGTCAAAACATTCACAAACAAATGAAACCTTGTATGTGTACATGTACAGTACCTGCAACTTTGAGCTTAAAAGGGTTCAGCAAGCCTCAGGTTTTGTTATTGTTTTCTCCACATTTGAGGTCAAGGATACTTCAATAAAAGTTTGTAGCACACTTTTGTTCATTAAAATGCTTTAATTCTTTATGTTTTACCAGATTAGTAAATGTATGCAAAGTCTTGTATGAGATATTTCTAGTAGCAGTATAATGATTTTTAGAAAATATTCTACTACAGTACACCATTTCTTCATGACCACAACACTTGCAAGTACCGACATTCTTAGCCTTACATGTAAATGCAGTACTGATTAAAGAATTATTAAGATCAAATAACACTGAAATTCTGGTGTTGCCGGCAAGAAACAAACAAGATGTAGAATATCCACGTGTTTCAAAAGGTGTATGTGTAAGATCTTTTATCCATCATGTCCCATCTATAATTTTCTGTTTCATTATAAAGGGGGGAAAAACTGAAAGAAAAGTTACATGAATGTGTAATATAAGGCATCGAAGAGTGCTTGGCACAACTTGGCCTGCTTTTGTCGATGTTGTCTACCTGACGATGATGTTGGGTAGAATCAACTCTTTAATGGATGTGAAATGAGTCATGTGACAGACTTGAAATCACAGAGAAAGAGTTCCAGATGACGCTAAATGCATGATTCATGGGTCACAGACCAGCTACATCCTCTGTCAAAAGAATGCCCAGGGACTTACCATGGAGTACATGAATTACAATGTCTACAAGAAAAGTCTCTCAGATGACAAAACTATTGAATCAGTCTTGTGATGCTAAGATTTTTGTTTTCCCTCCTGAATTTTACAAATTTTAGTTTTACACAACTTGTTCCAAGTTTTTCTACTAAAAAATATCTCCTGACTCCATCCCCCCCCCCCCCCCAAAGAAGACGAAATAAAATAACTTGACACCATGTATATGAAGGTAGCATCTGGGAGATGTTATGTTCATTCCAATGCGACCGATCAAACTAATACACTGCCAGTGTAGTACCTTGGGGAATTCAAAAGTGCATTCACACTCCCAATTGTGAGCAATTTTTCATGACAATAAATATCAAAGGATTGTCTTCAGAAGTAATGTACATCTGCCTTAATACTGACTAGCCGACTTTTACTTGCCAAAAGTCTCTTTGACTTGTACAAATTGGGGGTAAATTGGGGGATTGGGGTCCATAAGTTGACACCAACTGCTGTGTTTACAAACACACAGACTAAATTTGTATTTGATGCATTTAGCAATGTACTTTTAAATCTGTCAAAGTAGTTAAGGTAGAAATTACCCTTTTACTAAGGAAAAATACATTCAGAATTCTTAGAAATACGGTACACATGTACAGCTGTACAAAGTCGTACAAAGAACAAATTAGCTCAAAGCCTCATACAATACATGTATCTTGTTTCACACACGCAGCATATTAATATTATATTTATCTATTAATGCTATTTATTTATATATATGTGTGTGTGTATAACCAGGAATTATTGCTATTGCGATGTGTAGAGATATAGTGTATACTTTGACTACAGTGTGTGACACGTTCCTATGTGTGTGTGTGTCGTATGCATAATTGATAATCCCGAGCACTGCACATGACCAGCATCAGGAAACCAGAGGGTGACCTTTGGAAATGTCAGATGTCATTCTTGGTTGCTGAGTAAAGAGCAGTGCGTACTGTGAACTCGTTAAGCTAGGAAAGGGCCTTGGCTTCATGTCTGCAAACAGAAAGTGAAATAGAATATCATCGTATATCTCAAAGCATACCATGTATACAACAATTGTAATTTTCCATTTTCCTGAAAGTAATGCATGTACATGTTCACTTTCCATATATAGAAAAAAAAATTATTTCAATATGGAAGGTATAATTAGTTCAATTTTTCCTCTAGTTTTAGAATGACAAAATAACTAACATTCTGCCATAAACATGTATTCAAGTTCAATTTACACATTTTCAAAAGCAATTTATAATATTTTTACATCTATACATAGAATACAGAAACAGTATCGATAGAAAATGCCTCATATTCATTTGTAATGAAACCTTCTCCAATTAGATATAAACAGACCCCAAGTGTAAAGGGACTATCATTAGTCTCTAAGTTTTGTTTTCATTATTGATTTACAGCGAAGACAGTGAGGGAGAAGGGAAGAGGAGAGCAGTGCATTACCATGGAAACAGTGCAAATTCATGAGGTGGAGAGTGGGCAGGAAATTACATGTACGACGGAGGATGGTCAACCTATGGATGGAATATCAGATGTAGGTATCAAGAATGCTTGTAGGACCGGTCTTTTTCTCATTAAGCTTTGCAGTGGATTTATAGTCATTCATTTCCATTCTATTGACATTTTTTCAAGTCATATAACAATTAAAAACTTGACCTTACAACATTGAACATCGCAACATAAAAAATGATAAACCACCTTTATGGGGTGAAGGGTCATTTGTATTTGCAGACTTTTACTTCATTGTTTTTCTTATTTTCAAGCATCTGACTGACAATGATCTATAAGTAATACTCTAGACTACAAAGAATATGGTATTACTCAACAAGAAAAGATTAAACAAAATCTCCCTAAAATTCTTTGATAAGATAAGATCTTCTCAAGACGTTTTTTTTAAATGATGAAAAAGTGAATCGTTTCACATTCATTTATCTTGTAATACAGGGCTCCGTGTATAGGTGTAGCTCCTTCGTTGCATGCAGTTGCCATTGTACATGTACAAAAAACCATGCAAGTCTTAAATATTCAACTGTACTGGCTTTCTTCTGTACTTTGAAACTGAGATTAAAATCGTTAATAATGCTGTATGTACTCCATTTTATTTAGTATCTAGAAATTGCAATAGTGAACATCTTACTAGAAAACACTATTTCTCTTGAATAATCTATAGGTCACTGAAGTGCATGTGGAAGAAGTGCAGGGTGATATTGAAGATATAGAGGAAGATCAAGAAACAGAAGAGGTAATTAAAATATTATATATAGCATCGTTACAATGAGATAAACAGAACATTTGTGATTCAAGGTACAATGTCCATGTAAGAATTCATATTATTAACATTGTTGGTTTGTAGCATGTTCATATCATTAACCTTTCATCGTCAAACTTGGACTTGATTTCTAGCTAGAGAAAGGGGATTTTCAGCTATTTTAGATGGGCCTATGTTAATTGTTATACAAAGTAAACTGCAGAAACAAGTTTATATCATTTCAACAGGAATGAGAGTATGATAAAAAATGTTATGTTACATTAAGAGTTGCATTAGAAAGTAATTGATGTTTTTAATTTGTTTGCTTTTTAGTGCTTTATAATCATTGCATTTTGACTTTTGAAATATCTACTATAACTCATCTACAGACTGTATTGTTCTGATTGTATTTCATGGACTTATATATCTTGTGCTTTAAAAAAAAAAACTAATCTCTATCAAAATTAGCCACCAAATATTATTTTTGTGGAAGCTCATTTAAAAATTCACGTGTAACAAATCCATGCTATCTCAAACTTCTTTTTAGGTTCTTGCTGCTACTAGTAATATAAATTCCATACATTGAGATTGTTATCATGATATCTCAAGAACCACTGGAGATGTAAAAACTTCAAACTTAAGGATAGTATGTATCACCATAGGAAGACGATCTGATTAGATTTTGGAGCACGTAGGTCAAAGGTCAAGGGTCACAGAGGTCAACTTATGAAATTCCATACATTGAGATTGTTATCATAATATCTCAAGAACCACTGGAGATTTAAACTTCAAACTTAATGATAGTGTGTATCACCATAGGAAGACAATCTGATTAGATTTTGGAGCACGTAGGTCAAAGGTCAAGGGTCACAGAGGTCAACTTATGAAATTCCATACATTGAGATTGTTATCATGATATCTCAAGAACCACTGGAGATTTAAACTCCAAACTTGTTTAAATTGCTCTATGGCGGAGGCATCATTTTCGACTGCGTGCAGTCAAAATTCCATCTAGTTTTTAAATAATAATTGTATGCTAGACAACACTCCTTCTGACACACACAAACAAATAATATGTATTAACAAATAGATAAATAGATACAGAAATGTTTAGGTAAGGAAATAGATATAAATAAATAGATCCTAAAATAATTTTTTTTTGAATATTAACAAATGCAAGGGAGTGGTGAACATTTTAGTTCTGAGAAGCTCCAATAGAGCTCTGAAAAACAAACAAAACATTGACAAGTTTTGGAAAACTTTTTTTAATAGAGAGAGCTTTGGTAGAACTTTAAAAAAAAATGAAATGAACATCGCTAATTTACACTTTTACCGCATACAATCCAACAAGGGCCCTCATGAAACACCATCAAACACAATTATAAAATCATTGTAAAATACTTTTACATATGTAGTACGGTAACCACCATGTATTTCTTGTTATTTTCAGGTTAATATGAATGATGTACATGGTATGGACCATAGAACAATACAACAGGTAAGGGTGAATACACTCTGCTAAATTGCATTTTCTTCATGGTGATGTCACAATGGATGTGCACAAAGTGATATATATGATTTCAAAGTGCTTTGTGCAAGTGGTACTGTTGATATGTTCCTGCTATCAGTCATACAAGGCTTGATGATAGAAAAAACTGTTATTAAATCAGTTTATTCCATTTTTATTTTGGTACAGTGTTTGTCTCTCGTTGAATCAGCAACAACAGTACTACCTCACGATCCCCATCATTAATCGGATCTTATAGTAGACACACTCCCAAATTTTTGTTTACCTTCATGCAATACTGTATATCTTCCGTATACTGTATATTTCCCATCATTGATATGATTATTTTAAGATGAGATATGAAAAATTGTGTAGTGGTATGTTATTATATTTCTCAATCCATCATTGCTATCATTTACTTGATGATATCTCATACTAGTAAATCAAATATCTAGATGATGTTACATGGTAGAATGACTGAAGTTATTAAGAGAAATATATGGAATATGGAATAGCCTCTTTGACCAAAATTCTTTCTCAATGATTTGAAATCTGAGTTTTGTAGACTAAAGGTTACATATATATATATCAAGCCTTGTATGTACAAAAACAAATTTGCTTTTTGTAGTACATGTACTTTTATTTCTGCAGAATGAATTATTTTGTAGTATTTTGTTTCATCCTTATTTTATATATTTGCCAATCCTTATACATGTAGATATTATTCTTCTTGTTATTACCTCTAAATATTCTGTTCACCTCTACATGTACAATATAGGTGTGATTCTTGAAATGTAGAATTTGTTTAGTATTTGATTTGAGTTTGGCACTCCCCACCCCTTCATATCTCCAATGTTAGATGCAAATCCAAGGTGTCCATGGGTTACATATAGGTGCTGATAGTATGAACCAGGTAAGGGTACGTAACACTCCCCCTTCTCTTCATTAATTCCCTGAAATATTTCTTCTAACAACGATATGTATACTGACTGCTACACATGTATTTGATAATTATTACACCTAGACATGGGTGTCGATCCCGGGGGGGATGGGGGGGATATATCCCCCCCAATATTTCAGGTGGGGGGGATGGCCTGTACAATCATCCCCCCCAATAATTCACCATAAAATTATTTTTTTAAATGAAGAGAAAAATTAATGATGAGAGTCCGATGAGAGTAGTTAATTGTTATTACTCGCAAGATGACCATCAATATACACATTTTGCTATCTCATTTTCATAATACATACATTATATACGAAGTTAATAAGACAACCGTATATGAGACAAGAATAAATTGAATTCTCGCTCATACGGCTTCATCAGGAATTGATGAATTTATTCAATTTGTTCAATCAACAGCATATCATAGAAATGCAGTGCGCCAAATGCAAAGACGCAGCATCAAAAGCAACGAGCTAAATGTTAAGCGCGAAGCACAAAAGTAGCAATCTGCAATGCACATCAGACAATCCTGGACAGTGTAAACATAGATGAACTCTGTGACGATTTCGTGATGAGATCGGAGACAAAGAGAAAGATTTTCGGACATTAGTATGACTTATAAAATAGTTCACTAGTTGTTATGTTGTTTCCGTTCACCCTTTTTAAAATTCACGTCATTGTATCTTTATTTTTATTTTTTTCACTCATTTTATTTCCTGATATTTCCTAAAACATTTTTCATTTTTGGAGAAAGATTATTATGTCACAACTTATTTTCAGTTGGGAAACTGAATTCAGACAAGGATTAATATAGAGAACAGTACAATGAATCGTCTTCTTTCTCTAATAATTTAGCGAACAGGGCAAAGCTGTTAGGGGGGCAACTGAATTCAGACGTGGATTAAGAGTAATAATCAAATGAAACGTCAAAGTACACGATACAACTAATCGTCTTCTTTTACTAATAATTTAATAAAACGTGAAAGCTTCCGCGCTACGCGCGGAATGGGCGAAAGTGAATACAGACAAGGATAAAGAGTAATAATTTATTGAAACATTAAAGCTTCCGCGCTTCGCGCGGTAGGGGGGAAACTGAATTCATGAAGGACACGATACAACAAATCGTCTTCTTTCTCTAATAATGTAATAAAATGTGAAAGCTTCCGCGCTTCGCGCAGGATTGGGTAAAAATGAATTCAGACAAGGATTAAGAGTCGAGAATGGTACATAGAATCGTCTTCTTTCTTTAATAATCTAATGAAACGTCAGAGCTTCCGCGCTACGCGCGGGGGAAGGGGAACTTGATTCAAACAAGGATTAAGAGTCGAGAATGGTACATCGAATCGTCTTCTTTCTTTAATAATCTAATGAAACGTCAGAGCTTCCGCGCTACGCGCGGGGGAAGGGGAGCTTGATTCAAACAAGGAATAAGAGTCGAGAATGGTACATAGAATCGTCTTCTTTCTTTAATAATCTAATGAAACGTCAGAGCTACCGCGCTACGCGCGGAGGAAGGAGAATTTAATTCAAACAAGGATTAAGAGTGGAGAACGGTCCAACGAATCGTCTTCTTTCTCTAATAATTTAGTGAAACGTGAAAGCTTTCTCGCTTTGCGGGGGGGGGGGGGGGGACTCCCCCTCCCTGCACCCAACCCCCTAGGAACCGCGCTTCGTGTGCTAACTACCGCCCCCCCTTAAATTAAATCCTGGCTACGCGCTTGGGAGGGGTGCAACTTGCCACACGCTTCTACCACTTTGGTTGCTTTGATCCATTGCCGAAAATATTTTGGCACCTATCATCCCCCCCAACCACGGATACAAATCGACACCCTTGCACCTAGAGTACCCACCACCACCATCCCGCCCTTATAAAACCACATTCTCCTCACGACTGCTGCGGTTTGGGCAATATTCCGCTGGCAGAATTCTAATATAAAGCCTAAACACACATTGCTATGCATGTAATATGCAGTTCACTATTCATCATGTACTTTCATGTCTTATTTGAAGTCATAGAGTAGAGTCGTGTTCTGGTACATTAACTGATTCTAATTTGCACATATTAAAATGTCATTGAACCTCACTTTAACACTATTGTTTTTAACCAGAATATTGAGACAATGACTATGCATGATTCTTACATTTTAGTTCATGTTATGTATAGTCACAGTTTGTCAAATGATCTAGGTTTTGAAAGCTCAAGAAAAAGCTCTAGTGTACAAAAACAAATATAATATTATTAACACTTTTTTGTGGGGAGGGTTCTCATTATTGAGATATTTAGTTAAAGAGTATTAAATGAAGGGACGACCATATAGGTACAGTAAAATACAGTACATGACTTCCTATGAGTAGTATAAAACAATATTATTTGCCAGTGAAGCTGAGTTTGGCCAGAGGTTTGATATGTCCTTGCAATCTACTTATCTGTGATTCTGCATCAAATATGTAATGGTGTAATAATAAACATTAAACAGGATATCATTCAGCATGTACAATTAAGTTAAGTAGTATTAATGGATTCTGCATTTTTAGCTAGCATGACCAGATAAGTTTGTCAAAAACATCTTGTCGAAAATAACAGGACAAAAAAATCAATACTACAAAATTGATTTTGTTTGTACATAGATAGTGATTTGAAATAATAGTTGATAAATACATGAAAGTTTAAAGCTAGAAAATTCTACAACCCCCTCCTCCCACCCGGTATCAAAACTAGATGTCGAGATAAGTACAGCTATTCTGAATGTCTTGTTTTATTTAAATATTATGGAGGAAAAACCACAATAACCAGCCGTGTTTGCTTGTGTGCATAATATATTACCTGAAAGAATACGCAGACTTGTGTCCTGTGGTGTATCAAGTGCATCCTTCAGACCTTATTAGCATATTGCTGTTCTTAAATCATTGACCTCTTTTTTATTCTCTGTGCAATATTCGTTGTTTTATACCCTTTTTGATCGACATTGAAGTGATTGAACCTTCGCAGAGAAAAGAATACTTTTGTACACTTATCAAACTGAATTCATATCTTACAAATAGTATGATGAGAAAAAAACAAGGATTTTCTTGGTTGCATAATGAAAAGATTTTCTAGAAAACTGTCTTCAGATGTACATGTATAATGTACATGTTTATATTGTTTTAACAATGCATGCAAATTGCAATACTAAATTTGTGCATATAATTCTATTTTGATGTTCAGTTTTGTGAATGTCTTTAAGGAGAAAGAGGGTACATTGACTTTATATAAAATGACTAACCAAAGACGGTTGAATTACAACTAGCATAAATTATGATACAAACATTTTACTAACTTCTTAGAGGATATAAAGCTATTAATAGACTCGTTATTGATATATGCTTTTGCTTTAGCAGTTTTCCTTTTCTTTCTTTTTAATGTTATGACAATTTTTGTTTATACCAGAAAATCTTACATAAATGCATTTGTACATGCAATACACAAACAAGTACCCCCATTTAAATGTATTAATTGCTATCAGTATCACATAAGAAAATACAACTTTTTCCCCTTTTTTATATAAATTGAAATTGAATAGTTAGTGTACTTTCCCAGTGGTTGAAATAGTATGTGAAAGCAGATTAGAGTATATATTATTTAGCATCAAGTGGCTTTATAGGACAATACGCCATTTATCTATAAAGTGCAAATTATCTGTTCTCTGCAGATCTCTGATGTGAACAGCCTAGACCACGGTGTTCATCCACAGGTTTTACAGACTGTCCACTTACCATCCGGTCAGGTTCAACACATCGCCATGACAAGCATGCCTCAGCAGGTCCTAGGTTCAATGGGCATGGTTTCATCTCAAGCCACTCCGGTCGAGGCCTATAAGGTTGGTTGGGAAGATTACGCCATGATAGTATGTTATTGTATAATGGTTGATAATAATAATATTAATGATAATATATTTATAGAGTGCAGAAACTATCCAACATTAAGTACATATTCTACTGCGCTACAAGAGCTCCTTATATGCTTAGATTTACAGTTAATTAAAAAGATGTGTTTTCAGATGTTGATGTTGTAATGATGTAGTGCTGGTCTTCCTTTGTAGTTACTACTCACTGAGTGTATTCCATGCAGGGTTCTAATATTTTTGTTGGAGATACCAAGCTTTGGGAACTTCAGAAAAATACTAAAGGCAAATTCACCCCGCAAGATTGCTGACAAGGGGTATTAAATATGACAATATCTACTATCAGCCTGCAAAATGGCTTTGATCCTGCCAAACTGCCCTGTGGAATGCCACATGGGTTAAATTTAATTTATTTGGACCCATGACAAACACATTTCTAGCAAGAGTCTGATTCCAGGCACATGGACATCATGTGTGTATTCGTACTGAGGATTTGGTATTGTGTGTAAATGGAATGATTACTATGACAAATAGGGCAAGTGATTGGATTGCCATATGATTTATACATTTCTAGATTTTTCTTTTCTCCCCCCCCCCCCTCCTCTCTTTCTCTTTATCTCCTCTCTTTTCTGTTTTGCATTTGGTATCACATATTTACTATATTATTAGATTTCTAGGTTCTTTTAAAATGATCTTATACATCCATTTCATCTTATTTCATCAAGGTGCAACAAGTGCAGATAAACGATCAAACTGTGGAGCAGTTGGTGCGAGTTCAGACCTCGGCCGGGACCACTGTCACCACGATAGATGCTGCTACAGCTGAGAGACTGGTCAAGTTGAGAGAAGAAGACCTGATCAAATTCTCTGCTCAGGGCATGAGCCAGGCTCAGATGATGGCCAAGCCGGGCATGACCTCACCCAGACCCATTGAATTATGCGCAGTCTGTGGAGATAAAGCCTCAGGTTTGTTTTTCCTTTCAGATTTAAAAAAAAAAAAAATTCTATGGGTAGATGTATTTTATGATGGTATTTCACATACTCCAGAAACTGTTGGTTTTACTTTTGCAAAATTGTAGGTACAGAAATTTAACAACTTTATATGCATGTCAACCTTCTAAAATGACCTTAAAAGTTCCTAACTGCTTACTCTTGATGCTCTAGAAGCTGCTTATAAATGAATTTAAATGATTATGATTTATTCTCTCTCTCTCTCTCTCTCTCTCTCTCTATCTCTAAATTTGTTTCTCCCTCTATCTCGTGTACAGGTCGGCATTATGGCGCCATCAGCTGCGAAGGCTGCAAGGGCTTTTTCAAACGCAGCATACGCAAGCACCTTGGCTACACGTGCCGCGGGAACAAGGACTGTCAGATCATTAAACACAATCGTAACCGCTGCCAGTACTGCCGCCTGCAGAAGTGCCTCGACATGGGCATGAAGTCGGACTGTAAGCGCGGGAGAGTTGATCCTCCCTCCTCTTCTTCCAGTAATTGGCAACATCTTTTCTAACATAACCCCCAGCACTCCTATATAGCCGCCCTCTCTCATTTCACTTTGTGTCCACTACACTCTTCCTATAATCATCTGGATTGTCTCTGTTGTTGAATGTGTATTATAACCAACTTAACCATCTCTTGTGCATATTGTCATGGTCCTGTGTCTGTTCCCCTTCTCTTCCCAAGACCTTGGTATTTTGCAATCCAGTTTTCCATTATTCAGATGAAATATACAATTAAATCAGATCATTTCAAGAGTGCCTAAAATATCTCAAAGTGTTCATTTAAACTCACAGATAAAACAGGTGTATTTTTCTTCTTCATTTATTTCTACTAATATTTTCTCTTCCATTGCTAGAATTCTCTTTTAATGGGTACTTTTTATGGGAAATTAACCTCTTTTCAATGGAATTTAATGGAATTTAACATGCATATTTAAAGATCGCCAGGTTACAAGTAGTCATGGCATTTAAAAGAATTTGTACAAAGTGTCCAAATAATATATTTGTACAATCTAAACTATTTAATCAAATAATTGATGACAGTGTACATGAAAGTGATTTCTCTTTACCAAATATAACATTGATGGATAAAGAAAGTAAGCAGCCTGCCATATTTTCATTTTTTTAAAACCTGTATATTATAAATTAATGAATGGAAAATACTGACCAACACTTAATTATTTCCACATCTTTCAAATCGTATCTCAGATTGTTATTATAATTGATCATAAATTTCCAAGTAATTTTCTGAGATGCTTGTGAATGTATCAATGAACATGTGTGTGATCAGCTACTTAAAGCTATCATGATTGTATTTTATACTCCCTAATCTTAACACTTGTCTATATCAATTATCTTTATAAATCAGTTAAGAAGGTCATAGAGTAGCTCTATTATACATATTGAATTAGGATACGAAACATATTAGTATGCTTTCATCACTCTCACTATTAACTATGAACATAGATGTGAAGTGTAATGTTTATTTCATTCTTCCTTCACAGATGAAGTTGAGTTCAGGCCATGCAATAAGAATGTGAAAGAAATTGTATGGAAGCAATTTGGAGAGGTTGATTATGTAGTAAATAGTAATTGATGTATAATATAAGGTTTCTGAATCTTCAAATTGAGAATAAAATGACTCTATCATGATGCAAGGCACATGCACTGTACACAGAAATCAGTTTATGGGACTACATACACACGTGGCATGACTGCTTTGTCCTAACACTTCAGCTATATTTTGCCTGGGAGGGCATTTGAAGAACAACCCTTTTCAAGAGACGTTTGTGATATGAAACTGACATAAAAAGATTGAGAAAACCCAAAGATTATTTTTTTCCCTTTGCCAGAACTCAACCTTTTCTGTAAGTTGTGAAATTGTGTGTAACTACTGGATAGCCTTTACCGACAACCATAAGTACATCAGCCCTTTCTTGCACCTCTTACCCCCAAGCAGCTGTACAGTGTGAGAGATCTCCCCTCAAGACAAGGGATAAGACACCAGGCAACTGTGCTGCATCCACAGACAAGATCTACATCAGGAAGGACATCAGAAGTCCTCTGACCGCTACGCCCACGTTTGTGACTGGCAGTGTCCTGGCAGGAGGTATCATGTCACTTGCAGTATAGCTCTGAATAGACCAAGTTTGCTCTAGAGACATTCTCTCCAGGCTTTTTCCATCAAGATACAGGGTTAGGGATAAGGTTGCAATTGGGGTTTATGTTAGGTTTAGTGTTAGATTTAGGGTCATGTATTTCTATTCAGAATTGAAGTTTGGAATTCAGTTAGTGTAGGAAATTTACAGAGGAGTATTGGGAGGTGCATTGGAGTGTGTGTCGTAGAAACAGTAGACAAAGTAATAAGCTAGTCCATTGGACTTGTTGTGAATATAGGCTTATAGGTCTATAGGCTTAACCTGAGACAAACTGGAGGGGTTGGTATGTGCTACACATGTATGAAATGGTATAGACAGATGTCAACATTCCTGTGAACTGGTCTATTATTCAATAAAGTTTTCTATTTTGTTCAAACGTGTATCTCCTTGCAGAATCAGTGTACATGTAATACTTATACATAGGTTTTACCTTTTATTTGTATGACACTGTAGTTTTGTATTGTAAGAGCCAAATGTCATAAATAGATTATGTTCTATTGACATCTTATTGGGGGAAAAGGAAGGTTTATAAGATGAGGATTTTTAAAATAGTATTTGTTTGTTTTGGCTAGCTTTTTTATAGGGTTTTTTATACAGATTTCTTCTTCCTTTTTCTTTATAAGTTTTATCTAACGATTTGGAATGCTTCCAGAACCCTATTTTTTAATCCCACTTCCATTTTTTCTCTCATCCTTTTAGGTGATATGAAGAGTCCACAGGGCAACAGGCAAGGTCTCTTTGATCAAGGCATCCTACTCAACGTTCAGACTACCCCTACGAGCTCACCGTCGGCTTCAACCTCAGACTCGACCACGGACCTGAGCACGCTAGCCAGCGTAGTCACATCCTTAGCCAATATGAACAAGAAGACGGAAGAAGGGCCAAGTCATTCACAACAGGTGAGAACATGAAAACATACCTGCCAACCCTTCCGAATAATCCAGAATAATCTGATTTTCTGTATTTTAAGGACCTAAAAATTTGGAAATGCTTGTTTTATTATGTGCTGCGATTTGAGAGTTCACATATTGCGTACGTTGAATGGCTGCATGATCGAGCAACAATTTTGTATTTTTTTTTTTTTTTACAGATTTACCACATATTGCCAGTTACACTGCCACTGCATGTGCGAATGCCTGTTATGGGTACAGATTTCTTATTTTCGAAGGCATACCGTACTAGAAATTCCTAATTCTTATTTTCAAATGTTGGCAGGTATTTGGTTCATGGTTTGTAATTGAAATTGTGTCTGTCCATCCTGTTAATGGTGTTCACTGTATCACAAGACAAAGTGTGAAGAAAATAGCAACATGTACTGGTAGTTGGTGAATCATGTATTTCCATTACAGAAGTATCGTTTCCTACTGATCTTCATAATCATCATCTGCATGATGCATTGATAGCAAAAGCTGACCTACCTAAAGAAATTTTCCTGACCATCATTCTTTTCACCTAGATGAAAAGATGAAGAGATTCAGGTGTAGATAAGGCAACTTTGATTTAATGACATTAGCAGGACTAGGATTCAAATCCACTAATTTGTGATTGAAAGTTGAGGATATATAGAGTATCTCTTCAAATCTTACACTTGCATGTATATCAATCTCTTGAATTCTGTCCTTTGGTCATTATTCTGCAGTTCTATGCTCCATTTCAGACTCTACACAACATATAAAATAGCAACCAGGGGGGTGTTTCACAAAGATCCTAAGTTGAACTTAACAATTATGGAAAGCCGTTATGGTTTGCATCTTTGAAAATATTTTGTAAAAAGTTATTTTAAAACGCATTAAACGTTGATTAAAATCATTCATATCGTCTTTTATCAAGGAGTTCTCATGTTCTTAATGTGGAATTCATGAAAAGTTTCAAATACTTCAATTTTTGCTTGTGAATATATTTTATTTTAAGGCTGCAAATGGCTCTCCATAATAAGTCCAACTTAGGATCTTTGTGAAACACCCCCAGGATGTTCAAGGAGGTGATGTGTCCAAGACATTTTTTATGATCAAAAGTAAACAAAATACATTGCCTCTCCAAATCATGCACTTTTTGTTAAATTTTGAAAATACTTTTTCTCTTTATACAGATCTATTCTCCATCTCAGACTCTACAAATCATATCAAATGGTGACCAGGATGTTCAAGGAGGAGGTGACAACGTGTCCAAGGCGTTTGATGCCCTCACCAAGGCACTCAATACCTCAGGGGATTCAGAAGCAGGAGATTTAAGGTAGGTCATTGTCATCTTCATAGTGATCATCATCATTAATGTCATGAATATTTCAATTTAATTTTCTTCTCTTATGTAATGGGAGCCTATAAATGTTATTGGTTTGTGCTATGTGACCTACAAGAAGACCTGTAATATTGTATAACTATTTTATTCTTAAAATTGTGAGTAACATTGATATCCTAGGTTAGTATGATTAAATGCACTGCAATAGCCCAATTGAGGCGGTGAACCCCTTCAGTTTCTTGTAACATGTAAGTATGCACAGAGGCTATTGTTGCATGCAAATAATATTTTACCCCTAAATTACATCCAGTCATTACCATTGACAGTTTACTGCAGCATTGTGTTATTTGGATTAGGGTTTTACTGATTTAGTTATTTGTCACCAGTAGTAGCACTGCATGTCATATATACATGTACCCTATTATATATGACAATCAAATTACAATTTTTCTTGCTTTATTTTTTGCAGTATTGACCAATCTGCGAATGGGGGTTCATCTGAAGTCGAGCTGGTGAAACTGGACTCACCCATGCTCTCTGATCATCACATGCAGTTCAAGCTGACCACACCTTCCCCAATGCCTCAATTCCTCAATGTTCATTACATCTGTGAGTCTGCATCAAGACTGCTCTTCCTCTCCATGCACTGGGCAAGGAGTTTACCGGCCTTTCAGGTTCTCAGGTACGCCAAGCAAATTACATTTAGTTTGGTCACAAACATTCGCTGATCGTTTTATTCCAGACCCAAGATAACGGGATGAAATTTAATTGAAGTTCATTTATTTCTGAATAAAAGAGAAGTCATAGAACACTAGATTAGGAGAGATAAGGAAAACTAGATTGATAGCATAGTCTGCTTTTGGATAGTTATCACAGGACCACTAAAAATTCAACATTAATCTGGTATAAACCCAAATTATATAATATTTGCTACCAACCCTGAGAAGTTCAGTAAATGTAGTAAATTTTCTTTTGCAATGGATACTATGTTTATGTTTGAATATTTAAAGCATCTACAGATTATTACCTTGCAGGAGGGGAAACAAATAATTTGGCTATTTGTACATTATAGAAAGTGTGATGGTGTAGTATAGCACTGATTTGATGTTATGTATTTCTCTTCACAGTGCTGATACACACACATCAATGGTGCAGAAATGTTGGAGTGAGCTGTTCACATTAGGATTGGCCCAGTGCGCCCAAGCAATGGCACTGTCAACGATCCTCACAGCAATTGTCAACCATTTACAAACAAGTTTACAACAAGGTAATACATGTCATTTATTTCATGTGAGGTTTTTTAGTATAAAAAAAAGGAGACTCACTGTATATGTGCTATGTGTGTATGTATTTAGTGTTCACAAAGTGATGTGATTTCAGGTTCGATTTGTAAGTAGCTAAATACATTGCTATACAATTTTGTTACAGTCATAATTTTAGGGCACCAAGAACCATATCGTTGGCTGCCCGCAAGAAGACCGTCACTGCCTGCCTTTGACAATACATACCTGTTATGGGCTACTTGCGGGCTGTTGACAATATATCGTTTGGACGTGGAGATGGTAAAATTCATCTGTGATATGATTAGACTTAATATGAATATGTCATCCAGATATGTCAAATTACAAACTTATAATTCACTGATATCACAAATACTTGTGCATTCTGCATCCCAGGTCACCAATTTATAAAGAATTTGGATCAATCGCAACTCTTTACAAGACAGGGCCCAAGTGTGTCTTTTCTTGCCAATACATTTCACTACAAGTCAGTAAGCACTCGCAGTTAACCTCTCACTAATTCCCTCAAGTTGAAGGACATTTTTGTCATTTTACCCCTTTTATTCCTTGTAATGTTGCAGATAAACTTTCAGCAGATAGGGTAAAGGCTGTGATGGAACACATCTGGAAGCTGCAAGAGTTTGTAACAACGACGTCAAAGTTAGATGTGGATCAAACAGAATTTGCTTACCTCAAGACCATTGTACTTTTCAGTCCAGGTAATTTGAATTTGGGTTCTGTTGAAGATCGATTGGATCATATCCGATTGACAAGTGTAAAGTTTGTGTTGAGGATTTAAGAATAAGTAGGATGTAACTAGAGGGAAAATATATTACTTGCTGATATTTTGTACTTTTTAAAACTTGTTTAAATGTAGTGAAATGATAACTTGGTATCATATTTAATAATGGAATCCTGTTACAACTGAAGAAAGTTCATAGCAGGCACAATTAACAGCTGCACTGCTAAAGCCAGGGTAATTATGCTGCATTATTGTAGAGCACTTTAGAGACTTCTGATAAAGTAAGCGTTAGGCGCTATACATGCAAGGATAATTATTATTATTACCAATTCTCTTACATAATGTATTGCAAGTCTATACAGATTAGCATTTCTCAGGAGCTAGACAGTGATACAATGTAAAGAAAACTTAAAAAGCAAGTGAAAATAAAATAAGGCAAGTGCTCCTATTATAAAGGTCAGAATATGATTGTTCTGGTGCATGAAGTCTTTTGAAAATTGATAAATTATTTCCTTTGAAATTACAGATAATTGCTCATGTGTATGATGTATGATATGCTTTGACTTCATATCATATCTAATGGATACCTTCTTTTTTGCTACAGATCATCCTGGTTTGAGTAATGTACGACAGATAGAGAAATTCCAAGAGATGGCCATATCAGAGCTTCACGACTACGAGGCTCAGACCTACCCCTCTAAACTCAATCGCTTCTCCAAGTTGCTGCTTCGCTTGCCCACATTAAGGCTTCTCAGTCCTGCAATCATGGAGGAATTGTTCTTTGCCGGTTTGATTGGTAACGTTCAGATAGACAGCATCATCCCGTATATTTTGCGGATGGAAACGGCCGACTATAACTCCGCACAGATAACGATGTCGGCATCCCCGGGGTCGTTAATTGGTTGAAGAGCAATGCAAGGGTACCGTACAAGGAGGACCAATGGTGACCAAATGTGGACTCGTTCTTGAACAAATTGGCAAGAAGCAAGATTAACCTCGAATGCAAGTTGGCAGACGTATCTTTGGAGATACCTTAGATTCAAACACTCGCTGCATCAGGAGCTGGCGGAACCTGAAATCATCAAAAGAACACCAAGACAGATGCCAGATTAACTTTGACTGGCACTGCACAGAGCTTTTTTAAAGTTCAGTAATTGTGATATATGTTTTCTCTGTTTTCTTCTTTTTATATACTTGTGGTCTCATGGAGAAAGGGTAGTTCTTTACCTATTGAAGTGCATTATGTACATTATATTTGAATACATTGATTATGATTTGTTTTTCCTCTCTCTCTCTCTCTCTCTAACTTTCATTGTAATTGATTATTACCGTTAATTAGATACCTCTTGGAGGCTCTCACATCACGTCTTAGTCTATGACTATACTGAATCTCTGATTAAAAGCTAAAATTATTATCAAAATTTCCAAAGGCAATTAAGTCAAATTCAGAGTTCAAACCTGTGTAATATTTTGTCCATGGCTTCAGAAATTATTAATGAAATACTGAAATTGTTAATATTTACATTATATGTGTTCGGAGAGTGATATTATAAAAGGTACTGTGGTTAACTGGGTGATGTTATGAACGGAATGTTAGATAAATGAGTCGGTGGTTTAACAATTGTTTACTTACTCAAATTCGTGATTAGTCATAACCCTTACGTAGTCTTGTTCACTAGGTGATATTATGAACAGAATGTTGGATAAATGAGTCGGTTGTCTAATGATTGTTGATAGTTTACTCACTCACATTCATTACATAAAAACCCTTGCACACTCCTTGTGGTGTTGGCGTTTGATGCTCCTGCTTCTAGTATGGACATGATGTGGCTTCGAATTGACTGGGCTACTATGTAGTACCTCACTGTGTTTTAATCAAACAATCTTCTTTCTGACATAAGTCTACATCCTGCCACACACTGTACGATCCAACTTCCGTCACAATATCCGAAGTCATTGTATTGATGATACAATATTGAATATTGGAGTGGCCAAATCTTCCTGATCAAGGTTCGGAACAGTGGTATGAATGTGCACCTGAAAAGCGTGGTATCTGAAAGTGCTGGTCATCTATCACAAATGACGATAACAATAAAACCGGTCCATGTAGAAAAGGTGTATATAAGTGTGTTTATGCCTCCGTTACGAAGTAGCCGGAGGCATTATGTTTTCGGGTTGTCCGTCCGTCCGTCCGTCCGTCCGTCCGTCCGTCCGTCCGTCCGTCCGTACGTCTGTACGTACGTCTGTACGTACGTCCCGTTCTCGTGATCACGTTATCTGAAGAACGGATCGATGGATTCCTACCAAACTTTGGTCATATATGTATTTAGCAAAGTCGATGAACTGATTAGATTTTGGGGTCACGAGGTCAAAGGTCAAAGGTCACAGGGCTCATTATGTATGCAAAAACAGCTCGTGATCGCGTTATCTGAAGAACCGATTGATAGATTCCTGCCAAACTTTGGTCATGTATGTATCTTGTAGAGTCGATGAACTGATTAGATTTTGGGGTCACGAGGTCAAAGGTCAAAGGTCACAGGGCTCATTATGTATGCAAAACGGCTCGTGATCGCGTTATCTGAAGAACCGATAGATGGATTCCTGCCAAACTTTGGTCATGTATGTATCTTGCAGAGCCAATGAACTGATTAGATTTTGGGGTCACGAGGTCAAAGGTCACAGGGCTCATTATGTATGCAAAAACAGCTTGTGATCGCGTTATCTCAAGAACCGATTGATGGATTCCTGCCAAACTTAGGTCATGTATGTTACTTGCAGAGCCGATGAACTTATTAGATTTTGGGTAACGAGGTCAAAGGTCAAAGGTCACAGCGTCCATTATGTATGCAAAAACAGCTTGTGATCGCGTTATCATTAGAACAGATTGATGGATTCCTGCCAAACTTAGATCATTTATGTATCTTGCAGAGCCAATGAACTGTGTAGATTCTTGGTTCATAAGGTCCAAGGTCATGGGCTCATTATGTATGCGAAAATAGCTTGTGAACGCATTCTCATTAGAACTGACAGATGGATTACTATTTAACTCTGGATATCTTGCAGAGCCAATGAGCTGAGTAGATATTAGGATCATGAGGTCAAAGTTCAAAGGGTCATATATGTATATGAGAAATTGTTTGTAATCACGATATTCTGAGAACCTGTTAATGGATTACAATTGAACTTGAATTTGAAAAATTTCTTCTGTTTTGGTTTGAAAAATTGCTCTATGACGGAGGCATCATTTTCGACTGCGCGCAGTCGAATTCCATCTAGTTTTTTTCTACATCTAGACCAACTTTATTATCATCTTATTGTGACCAGCCATTTTGCATTCCAGGTGTAGAAAAGGTCCAAAAGTAGGAACAATCTTTCAACCAGTTCCAATCTGAAGCAGTATATGCTTTCTCTCTGACTGGGATTCAAATGTTTTGCAATTTCTTTAATTGTTTTAATTTATTATGTCTCATATGAGCGTGGCCTGTTAGAACTGTAATAGAAAAATATGGCACTTGGTTGACTTGGATATTTCATAACTAGCCCCCTCTTGGCACTTTCATCAAATTTGTATTGGAGTTGGATCGTGATAATGTGCCCTGAGCTGCATAAGTGATGTTCTCCTTATTGTTATGAATTGATATGAACAAATGTTTCCTAGCACCTGTAACATTTTGTCTACAAGGTGACTGTTTATGTTTGACAGCCCCTTTTTGCTGCATACTTGGAAATGGATAAACTCATCATACTTTTTGAAAATATTTCATGTACTATTGCTGGACATAATGATAGACTGCATGTTTCTTTTTCCATACTTATATACATCTACTTTTTATTTTCAAAATAGTATAGTAGCATAATGCACTAATATCTCCATTGCCCATAGTCTCTGTGCCCAAATTGCTTGAATTTTAATTTATTATTTATTTCATTACAATATTATAATGCATGGAAAACATTAGTTATGAATGATGAAATCGCTTATTAAGTATTAACATTCCTTGTAATATGAGATTTTAGTCGATTCCTGGTATCCAATTTTATTTTCAGCAATTAAAATGTAGTTTTTGTCTTTTTAAACACTTTCACTTTTATGTACCAGGGGCAGTCCATATAGAATGGATCATACCTTGCACCACTAGCTTAATCAATGCAATGCTTCGCATTAAGTGACTCTTTCTCTGTGTATTATTTATTGCAAGATATTCAGCAAATGTTAGAAGAAAGGGTTCTTTGTTTGACACTTGGTGGTATGTGTATTGAACAGTAAGCTAGGCCAAAAATATGATAAATCAGGGATGTCAGTTTTCAGGCCCCATGCGAGTTATTTTCAGACCATAGTTACGGCTTTTTTTGTGCACAAAATAGCTCATTCTAGGTGATTTGCAGGCCCTCTGATCAATTCTAACTGGCATCCCTGGATAAATGCATACTTCTCATGTTGTAGGGTACCTTGATGAGAAACATTCTTACCTTCAAAATTTAAAAAGATATATATATGATATCCTAGCATACTCAATTTGGATTGTGATAATACTATACATGTGCAGAGAATGTGCAAAGCAATACTATTGATGCCTTGGGTTGATAGTGATGAAAAATGACTGTGTTTTGGAGCCCTTGTGTTTTTAAGTTAAAAGAATCAGGGAACGCATGTAGATTGTCAAAACTCGGTTTATGGTTCGAGGGCTGTACAAAGCAGTGTTTGTAGGTCTTTTATACAGTTTCATATCTTTCATCACAGTACAGTCTAGTGAGTGGTTTTATGTGTACATACTTTCGAGCCAGTGTTTTAATTTGCCGACCTAGGGGGGAAATCTACTGGCATTTATGAAGGATATTCAATATTTACCATTCTGATGGTACATGTAATGTATGTTTATGCCTCACAAGAGCCCTGTTATGCAAATCAGCCTATTAAAAGAAGTTTCTGCTGTTACTTTTTGAAAAGTTTGTTGAAGAGTATTGGGAGGCTTGCCATTTACCCTGTTAAAGGCTCGTTCAGATATGATGCCGTAAACCCCCAGAAAAAAAATATGGCTGTTTGTTGACTTTGTTCACATGTAAATGAATGGTAACTGCGCGCAACAAAAGTTTTGCACGTATTTAGTAAGCCCTGTGTTATAAGATTTAAAGGACTTACAGTAGATGCCAACAAGGTTATTTCATATATTAACAGTTAAGAAATTTTGGGATGAACATAAGTCTGTTATGTTCGTGTGATTACGGCTCATGATAATTATATGCAATATGACTTTGGTAGAGACCAAATGAAATATATAAAATGCACCTACAGTGAAGCGGTGTTAATCCTTTGCAGAATTCAAAAATGAACTCTGCATTTCAGGGAACTATATCCCTGATATTTTTGTTCGACACCAACAGGAGCCCATTGCATGAGGGGCCCCCAATTGTAACTGTGTACTCCGAAAATGTTGAACTTTTAAAGGGGGCACCATGCACATAGATCCTAACAGTTTATATCTAAACCCCTGTGTAATCACATCAGTTTAAGAGTACTTGCTAAAATACAAAGGGAAAAAAACGTTTTTTAACTTGTTGAATTTTGTTCCTTACATCTTTTTGAGTTACATTTTGACATGCACATAAAATATGTATAATATAAGTGAAACAAAATTGGTGAGATATCTGTGCAGCTGAAATGACTGTTGGGACAAATTTTTGAAATTGAAAAAGAAATTGATCTGGCGTTGAATTTTTTATGATGATTTTTTAAGTCTCCTAAATATTTATTTTCTCTTATTGATGTGTAGGATATGTAGCAAGCATGTACATTGCTCTCTCAATAACAGCTCAAATGGTTTTCTTTTTTCTTTTTTCTTTTTTAAGAATAATTTTTAATCAGGTGTAAGACTTGCTGTTTGTGAATATGTTAACTTCTTACTATTCTATGTTAACTTGTGCTTGACAGGTTGTTTATATTTGGTTTTTGTGTATGTAAATATTGTCTTCACACACACAAACAAATTGATTATGAATGCTGTGAATATATTCTATGAATTGATCATGCAATCTTGTCAGTGGAATAAATGCTTGATAAAAGTCAAAACATGTTTGAGCTTCTTTATGTTACACACAACAGGTGTTTCTCTTTCATTGGCATGTTTATCTGAGAATGGCAAAGAAAATGTGAACCTTTCTTGTAAATTGCCAAACATAGGTATTGACTATTGAGAATGCCAACAATTCATTGACCCTTTTGATGATCCATTCATTTTCTCTGTAAGGTGATTCAATGTACAATTGAGGTAATTAAACTGCCTTTAATTGATTTAATTATTTGCAACCACTTCATAGTAACCACATCATTAGTAAATTACCATTTGGTCATTTAAAGAGAATGTTGAGTTCTGGGAAGAGGTGAAAAAATAATTTGTGAGCGTTATCTTTCTTATTATGCAAGTGTGGAAGAACATCAGATAAGACATGTTCCCTGAAAAGCATGGCTCTTCAAATGTCTTTATATTCTAAATATGTCATGTAACTCGTAAAACTCGGGGGTAGGTTTTTTACGCCACGTGTTCGTGTAGTCCCATATACATCTTTCTATGTACAGTGTTTGTAACTTTACTAAGACTTGGCCAAATTTCTTATCATTTTGATGATTCCAGAACCTTGCAATACACACACATTCTTATATGCTAGATGATCAACCTTTTCTGGTCGATTTCACACCGTTTCTTTCACAATGCAATCGCATGACCAGAACTCAACTTCATCTTTAACTTAGCTTATATTGCCAATTTAACTTCAGAGTGCCTTGACCTGATTTGTTTCCCACTGTTTTGTTGCCATAGAGACCACATCTCTGTACACCAAACATTTCTCTTTCAATATTCCCATTACCCCCACTAGATAGCTTATGTAAATCATCAAATCAAAATCGGGTATAGCCACAACACAATCACGGACACAAAATAATATTAACCCTTTTTGTTTGTCACGCATTGATCAGGAAGAGAATAGATCCGTTATGCTTCAATCTAACAAGCGAATATGGGTCAAAGACCAGCATGCATCACAGAAGGGGATTGAATTTCGTTTTAAAGTTCACCCCAAAGGCTTGCTTTGAGCAGCATTGATTTTCTCCATTGATTGCATTGATTGCACCCCCCCCCCCCCATAAATCACATGATATTGATGAATAGATCACTTATCTTCGGATCAGTTGTGATTCTGCTGTATTCATCTTATCTATCCTTGCATGTCAAATGGGTCAGTCGATAATATACCAAAATGAGTTCTACACTAACTATCAGGATCGATTGGTCATTGGTTAAATGGCAATGATAACAATACAAGATTTGCAGTCCTTTGAAACCTTTTTTATCAAATCGAGCGACGCTTTTATTTAATTAATGGTCAAAGAAATATTGTTGACAGTGGGTTACTCTTTCTTCGGTGCAAGGAAATTTCGATAGATGCATGCAGGCTGATGAAGAAACCCCTGGCTCTATTTTGATTACCTTAAGCTAAATACACACCGGCAGCCACCGTAGTTGTGAAATATAATATATTTCTGTTAAATTTTTGTGTGTGATTTCTTCTCTTCTTTTACCATGGAGGTGTCATCATCACCTTCCTGGCTTAAGCAGCCCATCGATGATTCAGACGAAAATGCTTGCAGGGGACCGCGCGAAGACCTCATGATGTTCTCCGAGGTGAGCAGACCTGTCACCCTTAGCATGAAGCTGTTGGGTCTGTGGCATGACCGGTCACCAACTGAAGTCTGTGATCAAGTGAATAACGCTGAGCCGGTACAAACGAGTCCAGCATCCGGCACATGGAACATCATGAACAGACTTGCCGTCTTCTATCACAGCTTCATCACTCTTGTCTTGTGGTTTGATTTCATTCGTTTTCTCGTCGTCATTGCCCCGATGATAACTTTGGAGTATGCGTCCTACCTATGCTGGTTCTTTCAAACTGCAGCAACCAACACTGTCCTCTTCCTGGCATGCTACAGAAGCTGTAAGATGCGGCGATTCTACCGCTACTGGCAAAACTCTTCCGTCGAAAAGCACCGATTGGACTGCAACCAAAAGCAAGCTAACACACCAGGGTGCACTTTGCAAAGGAAAAGGTTCCAGAAAGTTGGAATCTTGGCCGCTCTGGGAGGGTGGTCGTTCGTCCTTGGGTCATACCCAGTCTCCCTGTATTTCACATTTGGTTTCAAAGGTAAATTAGGCTTCCGTCTAATGTGTTGGCCTTGGACAAACGACATAGCATGTGCATTCCTGCAAATCATCCATTTTTTCGCCCTCGCGTGCCACAAGTTCCCCATTGTCTACCTTTGTCTGATTTGCTATGTCCTCTCGGAGAGATTCGACGCACTCACCAAGTCCTTCGAGAAAGAAAATCCACTAGGAACCTTGGCTAAGGCTGAGGTCTTGGAAGCAACTCGTCGCCAGCATAACATCTTATGCCTTCTGACATCACATTGCGATTACATTTTTTCCACAGTGGTTGCCATTGCCTTTGCAACCAATATCCCTCTTCTCATCTTACTCATGTATGATCTTTACCTCAATAGCAACAGTGCCAACGCGTTTGAAATTGCTGCAAGTTGTTACTGGGGTATCTCTAATTTGCTCAATATTTTGCTCCTCTCCATATTTTGCTCCTTGCTGAATGAGAAGGTAAGATATATATATTGCTAAATTTTCCGTCCATATGTGATTTCAAATCCGTCTTAAAATGCAAACTTAATGCAAATTTAAGATAACAATGCCTTATATAAGAGTCAGCATTTTTAAATCCTTCTCAAAAATTGTCCTCGCAAAAATAGATCATGACATGGCAAGATAATAGGACGCTTAAATATCATGTTTAAAGGAAAACATTCAGAAAAAGTTCACTTTGACAGAAAAAAACCTTTGTAGAAACTTTTCTAATCTAGCAGATCAAGTCATTCCTAATTTTTACCATTAGTCATAATCTTGTCCTTGTACATACATGTACATAAACAAATGATTATCCGGACTTCTTTTTAGGACCCTTAGTTGTTTTTTTTTTATTATTATATGTTAAGGTATCAGTTAACGGTCTTCGCTAAATAAAAATTCTACCAAGTTGATCAAAAAATCTTTTGGTTTAATAAACTCCATAAAACTAACTCAAATCTTTTTTTCTTCAAAAATGTCAAACTAGTGTACTTGAGAATCATAAGATGTTTTATGTTAAGTTATGAATATGCTAATAATACCGTCATATATATCGATTTTATCCATGCAGGCACATTCTTTGCGACGACATGTCTTTGAACTTCATGTGGACTCTAGTGACATCAAAACTTCCCACGTAAGTAAGCCTACAGTTGAACATTATCAGAGGAAAGCAAAACATTGACGTAAACATGTTTTTTTTATAGAAATAAATTAAATTTGTTGGTTAAAAACAGCACTCTATCCCGTGTTATCATTTACTGAGATATTGCAATTAAATTTAATATTCAAACTTTGTTCTGAGACATTCTTAAAAGAATATATACAATTTATCATGGGCGACTATACAGTCAGTGGGTAAGATTTAACCAACCCGTTTCATCGGTTGTTTTAAGGTGGCAGTATGATATTATTCTTGAGATATTCTAAATTTTGTGGCATTTTCTTTAGAGAACTGCATCTATCTGCAGTTAAGTCGTATAGTTTTAAGTCATTATCAATGAAAAGAATCTTCCAATCATAGTTTTTTTTTTGTTAATAAGAGAACTGCAGAATTTAGGTTATGCCCCCCCCCCCCGGCCCTCCTTTCCAGATCAACGCCCCTGCTTTAAAATGATACTTTCAGATATATTGTTTCAAAATGATTCTTAACACAAAACTCCTTCTTTTGTATCACATTCCCGGTGTTACGTAACAACTATAACGTCTATTTCATATCAACATGATCATGTTGTACAGGTTCACCTGTTACTGGTTTCTCGCCTAAGCGGACCGAGCATTGGACTATCTTGCATAGGATTCTTTACTATTACCAGAAATGTCATTCTAACGGTAAGCCTGATGCAGAAGAGAGTGGTATCTTCATTCTTCAGAACATTAATTCCTAGCCGTTTCAAAAAGTTCGCCAGAGTTCTTTATAGGGAATTCCAAGGGATTGATTGTTCTTTAATGTTCCAACTTTGTCAAAGTCTAATGTCATATCCTGTCCTCCTATAGATTAATGAATTAGATAACAAAGCTAAATGAACAAATAAACAATTGAATGAATAAAGGAATGATTCTGTTAACCACGAAATGTGATAATTTAAAATTGTGTTACTTGACTGTGGTCTTCCATAAGCTCGGGCAACGGTAAGACTTGTAATAAACACCTTCCTGAATATACATTACCGCGACTTTCACTAATAAATTTCACTTTCATTGTTGCACCTCCAAGCAAGGTATTCCTTTGAAAAGAAAAATAAATGTACATGTGTAAGTCATAGCGTTCAAATATCAAGTTCTTGCTGTTATATTTGTTTTGTTGTTCAATATTTTTTTCAGATTGCTGGTTTCGTGTTGACCTACTTCACTCTTCTCGTCGATCTGGGGCCGGATACATCTCATACGTCATGCACCAACGTGACATCAGATGTGATTTCATAAACATTTTCCAAACAAAATTATCACTTAATTGCTTCTAGAAATCGATCAATTACTAACACTTTGCGGTAATATATCCTAGGCTGGTATAGCTACATTATGATTATGCTTGAGCTATATAATTATAGCTCGTATGGTAACAGTTTATTTGGCAGCATTAAATCCAATATGCTTTCTTTTCCGAAGCAGCAATATCTTAGAACGAAAATCAGAAACAAACAACAAAAATGAATTCGGAATTCAATGTTAAAATAAGTAAATAAAGAAATTTTAGTTGCGTTAAGTAAATGAATTACCTCAAAACATATACAAATACTGAATTTGTACTGTGTTTAGTTTTGTTACATATATTTTATTGCCAATATTTTCTATAAACTTTTTATAAATGTCTATACCTGTATAATGTTTGAAGTTTGATTGAATTGTCATTATGTTGTACCAGATGTTTTATAAATTGTCTATATTGATGTAAATACAATTATACACACTCATATTATTATCGAAACCATGCAGTCCATTTCATTTACGGATGAAAAGAGTATTTTGACTAACGCTTCTTTTTACTCCCCCTCCCCATTCTCTTTTTAATTTTTTTTTTATTTATTTTGGGTTATTTTTTAATGTTGGCCATACGTGTTTTCGCCTATTGCTGTGAATTGCTGTGAATTTATTCATTAACATTTGTGCTCATAGGGCTCATAGCTCGCGCATTTACTACAAAAGAGCAAAACAATTTGAGAAGCAGATTTCTTAAAGTTTGAAAATAATCGGACAAAACAATAAGAAAGTTGTGTTGTTTTAATAGTTGTAATCACTGTACGTAAGGGGGTTCAAATTGGCCGACTCGGTAAGTTACTATGGTGTAGTGGCGGACAACTCTCATTGTTCCATAGCAACACAATTACTAAAAAGTATGATTCTGGCCGGAGTGTCTTTTACTTTTAGAGGCTCTAAAACAATAAGCTTTCCATACTATATTTTGGGTAGTACCCCCAACGGGCAGACGCTTATGAGAAATTGGTATTTAATGTCATTTTTGTACATGACAAACGGGAAAGTTATCCGTTACTACATGTATACGTCATGCACAATCCACTGACCAAATTGACGATTTTCACACATTCACAACATTCTCATCTTTCATCCGATTAACTTCAAGCTTTCGCCATTCTGTTTCCTTTAAAAAAAAAATTGCATTTATACAAATAAACTAATTTAATTAACCTTATCATTAAATCACCCACAGTTTAAAAATGATTTAATCTCTGAATGGGGTTCACACAGATTTGTAGTTGCGAATAAAATTGTTGTGATTGAAAGTCTTATGAGCTTTTAAAGTCGATTTTGTTTATATAATTTCAAAGGTGCTTTTAAAATGAATAGCAATGAGAGGAACCGAGTGAGAAAGAGAAACTATGGGAGAGGAGAGAGCATGGAGAGTGAGAGGGCATATGGATCGTATAGATCGAAGGAAAGAAGGGAACGCGGTGGAGGAGAAAGGAGAGAGAGAGAGAGAGAGAGAGAGAGAGAGAGAGAGAGAGCGGAGGGAGAGGGAGAGAGAGAGAGAAGGAGACAACATGGTGGTTTCATGAGGAAACATAGGAATTCGTGTACTGGTTGTATTGTATGATGTTTGTTTGTTTTGTTTTTGTTTTTTTTTTTTTTTTTTTGGGGGGGGGGTTTGGGGTTTAATTCCCCCCTCAAATTTGTATGTCTGGGTTTTGGAGGAAAAAAAAACCCTCAAACAGCAACAAAAAAGTGACCTTTACCCCCCCCCCCCCCCCCCTCCCTACTGAACGAAATATCGTTCGGCATAATTTTCCAATTTCCAGGATGAAAAAAAATATATGTGCTCTTACTTTTAATTCAGATAAGTGCCCTTTTTGTAGTTGAAATAGGTGCCAGTGCCTTTTACCAACTCTGATAAGTTCCCCTATTCAAATCTGATAGGTGCCCATTTTACTTAGCAAGTGCCCTTTTCTTTTGCTATAAGTGCCCCTTCCTCTTCAGATAATTGCCCTTTTTATCTCTGAAAAGTGCCCCTTTTTATTTCGACACGTGCCCCCTTTTCATTCTAAAAGGTGCCCTTTTTCCTTCTGACAATTCCCCTTTTTATCGCTTTGACACGTGTTCTTTTCTAATAAGTGTCATTGCCCCTTTGGATATAATAATAATAATGATACTCAGTTTTTTAATTTCCTCTTACCATAAAATGTGCTCATAATTTAAAGCAATTAAAAGTATTTTTCCATTGATTTCTGCAAAAGCTCGCTCGCTACTCGCTCTTTCTCACATTTAAAGTTGATATTAAAGATACTATGTCCCTTTTGCGGCCAACATCAAATTCTGTAGAATTTTCAGGGAATTATGAATATGTCATGTGTGTCCTATCTGTGAAATTTAAACGTTATCAGTGTCCTAAACTCCTAATATTCAAATTATGCAAGGGAACCCGTTTACTTGCTAGACACTATTAAGTGACTGACTGCCTATTTTTCTTCTTGGCAATAACATACATAAAATGAGCTGTAAAGGGTAGGCATACATGAGCATTTGTCTACATCAATAACCCACTTCTTGTAATGGCCAAAATTAAACTGATTGAATCTTTGTGCAGCATAAAGCGTACGACCATTCGGTACAATGGTCTGAAAATCAGACTACTACTTACTGGCTCTATAGCTTCTATAAGTCGATTCAGCAACTAATAGTCGTTATTTCCCACTTAAAGACATTTCCACCCCCTCCCCCCTTTTTTGTTTAGGGAAGTTCTAAATTAGTATTATCTTTCAAATTCCATTGGAATTTAACCTTTTCACTTTTTGGGCCTGCAAATGGGACATAGTACCTTTAAATTATTATTCCTATTATTAGCTCACTCGCAAATAATCAGATCATCACACCCAACTGCAAAATATGATGCTTAAGTATCTTGGACCATTATGTAAAGAGAGAAACAAACATTGAAATCTTCCCTGATAATGAACTCACAATGAAGGGGTAGGCCTATATACCAATGTCTAAAAATAGCATGTCTTCACTTTGAGGTTTCCCTTTGTAGTGCCCCTTTTTGTCTTTTTGTTGCCCCCCCCCCCCCCCCCCACCCCCCACTTTGTAAGACGCGCCACCGCCCCTGGATACTCGGTGAGATATTAAATTATCATATCTTTGCTCAAAGTGTGAAGAAATTAATGTAAGCAATCAAGTAATTTGTTATAGTGGGTAGATGCAAAGTAGGCCACTCTAGCTTTATAATTAATTAACATAATAACAAAAACAGTACGCCATATAGGCCCGTATCTTGACCGTTATCAATATCCGTACCCCCCCCCTGCCATATCTGCCATCTGGTGATGATCCGGATTTTTTTTCCTGCCCCCGCCCACCCCCACCCACCCCCTCCCCCCCCCCCCCCCCCCTCCCCAGTTAGTACGCCACTGATTACGGTAGATACTTTGTCATCGAGTCCCTCCGATTTACGTTGCATTGGAGTCTTTTGGACAAAGTTTGCATTGGATGCCATTGCGAAATAATTTCGTGCGAAATAATTCAGGGAATTCCCCGGAAAAGTCGTTGCCAATTTAATTATTCTCTGATTTTTACGTTAAAAAAGTAATTTTGAAATTAATTTGAATCAAATACATAAATAAAATAATAATTTATTTTTAATAAATATTATTATTTATCACTTTATTATTTTAAATATATATATATTTATTTTACAAAAATTGTTTTTGTTTCATATTGGCAATGTTGAAACCCAGAAAATCCCCGTCTATAGCTAGTTCGGTGCGTCAGCAGTTAGGGTGTGATGATCATTACTTTTTCGTGAATAAATGACAGGTTGCTTATGAGAAGAAGGTGTAGCTGTATATTCTAGTGCTTGTATATCTTTTTTTAAATGTTTCTGGTAAGTTTCGAATTCACGTTTTAATGTTGCACTTATTTGTTTATCATGTTTGTCATCAAATCTCTAGAGTCTAGACTGTAGCTGTGACAGACCGCAAGCTTCGCGCGCGCCTTCGGTCTCTGGCACGGCGCTTGTGTATTTTCGTATACATTTTTGACCCGTAACTCCGGCGTGGAGATACCCTTCTAAAACATACCCCAAAGTCAACTAAATCTTCATCAATTGTTCAAATAATGGTCGTGATTTAAAAGTCATTGTGTTTCTTACCCCTTTCGTGTAGGCCTAGTTAGAGTGTAGGCCAATTCACAGATTAAAAGATTAGGCCTAGATCTACTGCCCAATGAATTATTTAATGAATTGAATATTTGAAGTAATCGTCTTTCTGGTCCATTTTCGCTCTTTCCCTTTTTTTCTATAGCTGTTTTCATATCAGTAACGCCTCAACATGAACGACGATCGGCTACTAACGACGGATCCAAACCAAGTCATCCAGCATGGTGATGAAAGAACAACGGCAGGCGGATTGAGAAATGATCAAAACAATGTGATGATGCAGAGTGGTAATGGTTTGCTTACAACATATATCAACTCTGAAGAGATCAGAACTGTAACAGATTCTGCACTGAATGAGAATCGTCTGCTCAAGGGTACAGTCCGCTTGATTTCATAGAGGCTTGACAGAATTAAAACATCCAGATAATTAGAGAATCTAATTTTTTTTATTTTTAATTCTGAAGGGGGATGGGTTGAGTGTGGTAGTGGTTTGTGACTCAAATTACAGTGTATTAATTTTCAGAGTTAAAACTCTCTGAACACCATTATGCCATAAGTAGGTTTATATTCTTTCCATTTTAATCTGTTGAATTTGTATTTATACTTGTATAATATGCATTTTCCTTAGACCCCTATTTAAGTTTCTTGGGCCTATTAATCATTGTGTTAGAAGTCTTAGAGAGATGCTAGCTATTGGTAGGCCTTGCAGAGGCAAGTTTTCTATTGATAAAAATGGAAATGTATAAATCGAAAGAAATGTATTATTCCATTTTCTCCATAAGAAAATTTGAAAGTTATTCATGATAATAATTAAGTGACTCATGGACTTTGCCTTTTTCTGTCTTCTTTTCATTTGTTATTATGTTGTTGTTTCATCATGCTTAGTCCCTAAATTCATTGTATTTCTCTTGTACATGTATTTTATTATAACAGAACAACTTGCACAAGCACTTAGTTGCCTGACAGCATGGAAACCAAGGATAGCTGAGATGGAGTTAATCAAGAAAATGAATGCACAGCTCAGACAAAATTTCTACAATATCCATGAAAAGTCAAAGAAGAAGGTTCAGGAGCAAAATCACATGATCAGCCAACTTCAGAAACAAAATGACAGTCTTAAGAAAGAGGTAGCGTTATATTAAAAATCGATTGTTCTTCTTTTTTTAAGAATGCCCAGGCTTGTTAAATCTGCAAAGAATGTCCTAGGTGTCATTGTAAAATAGTGTTTTCATTTTCTTGTGTTCCTCATATTAAAAAGACTCGTCCTGCCTTACAAAATACTCATGGATTTGATGATGATCTATGTTGGATGCTCCTTGTCATTCCTTATTGTTTTTTAATCAATGATGGATTTACCAGTATCCAAAGTGCAAAGATTAATCTCAGAAATTCATTCTTTTAGAGATAGAAATTGTGCTTTGTATGTCAATATCTTACACATTTATCTCCTATTAGTCTAATACAGACTTATTTATAATTGACTAGACTTGTATATGTATATATAACTTCATTGTTTTGCCTTTAAATGTATTAAACCTTTATATATTAGGTATTTGTATGTTTGCTTAAATTGGAATTACACTAGAACTGAATATGTCACATTCTCACTCGTAAAAATTGCATGTGAATGATGACATTATACAACTTATGTCATACTAAGTACCGCAAGCCTGTGGTAGATTTAAAGACAAACATGAGAATGATAACCATTACTCACAAAGATGACATCTGTTCATTTTGTCAATCATAGATTTCTGAGTTGCAGAGACAGGGATCACCTGATCTTTCCTCGGCAGGTCAAGGGTCGTACCGTGGGCCTGTCCTGGAGGCGCTCAAGGGTCACATGCAGGCTGTAGAACAGATCCTGCGTCAAGAGCTGTCCAGCATGAAGCAGGAGGACACGGAGAAGGACATCCTGGAGAAGCTCATGAGTCATATCAAGAAAGCCGAGGAGATCCTATTCACAGAGGATATAGACATGGTAACTGAAGTGCTGTTGATCCAATAGCATATTGATGATTGTAGATTTTTAGTCAGGCAGTGTCTTGAAATGTGGACATACTAGACAGTAGATTTGCTTCATTTGCACTAGGGTGGTGATTAGGATGATTTTTGTTGAGTATGATTATGCTATGTAATATATATATTTTCAAATTGTGAGCTGTGGGTGTGGGATTCGAAGTTCCAGTCCATATCTAAACACTAACCAAATGCATGCATAATTTTGCATTAAAGAGAGCAATACTGGAAAATAGAAATTTAGCACAGATTGACACTTTTTAGAACTTAAAAAGAAAAACGTGATAGCAAATATATTGTGCAATTATTTTTAGAAGACAGCTTGATTTTTTTTAAAAACAAGGAATGTTTATGGTCTTGTTTGGTCTTATCCAGTATCAAAGCCCATCAAAGTCACCTCCCCAAGAGAGACCGGATGTCGAGCCTCTGAGAGGGAATAAGTCTCCGAGTGAGCGAAAGGCTATCCCCTCACCACTCTCTCCTACAGGTGAGTGTTGCATTTATGATCATCTTCCACATATCATTGCCACCTATGTGGATAATCTGCTTAATCTAGTTGTAAGTAGGCGTACAGCACATATTTTAAAGAACAATTGGTTTGATATGTTACCAGATTATTTGAACCAGATGCCATATATATTCAGAGTAATATTTGCTATAGGTGACCCGACATATGCTCTGGCAACAACTGCTCTGAAATATTTAGTCAAGTTCTAGGGCTAGGGTTAGGTTTTCAATTGGGGTTTAGGTCTGGCGTACATCTATTTTTAGTGTTTCATCCAGGGTTGAAAGTAGAAATTGCCTGATATAAGATAATGATCACAGAGCAATTTTCATCAGAACCTTTGTTGTATAACGTTGTCACTACAAAGATATTAACAATCTTTGATATTATGATATTATTCAGACATCTGTTGTAAATGTGAGAGATTGTATTACTGGTAAATGATTTAATGGCTTTTCAGGGTACCAAATCCAAATCGAAGTCATGTCAATTCTGCCATCTAATTGTATATTCAGGTCAACGTGACTATGACCAGTCTATGGAAAACGTTCTTGGTCAGCTCCAAGCTCTTCGTCAGCAGGTCATAGAGACAAATACTGCCCTCAACAAGGAGCGAATGCGCAGCGAGGCACTAGATAAGAAGCTGAAGAAGAACCAGGAAGAGCTGTATGTGCTTCAAGGGACCAGGGAGAATCATGTTGCCGAGGCGATAGAAAGGCAGCGTAAAGAAGATGATATGAAACACAGGACTGAGATGGATGGAATGATGGCCAAGTTGGATGAGTTGACATTGCTTGCAGCAGAGAAACATAAGAAACATGCCTTTGATGTGAGTTCTCTCTATTCTCTAGGATCCTATTCCACCATTGTATGAAAATGTAGAAAATAGTATCTTCATCACTTTTGCAATTATGACGTTAACTTTATTAAAACTGAATCTAGTACAAATCAAAGATTCTTTAATAGATGTCACATAATGTTAACTGACAACTCTTTATTTCTTTTGTACACCCGTCTATGCACAAACAAATTGAAAAAGTTGTTTTAATTGGATGTTGGAATTTCTTGTTTTGTCTTAGGAGGAGCCTAGATACCACAGTGCAAGCAATGAGTTGAAGAAACAAGTCACTAGTCTTGTGGCAGAGCTTGATCACAAAGATAGATGTCTCAATGAAGAGAAGTCACATGTTCAGCAGCAGCAACAATTGTAAGATATTAATCAATGTTAAGTTTCAAAAGGGAGAAAATGAGCCATCGAAAGTCCTGACCACATACATATTTCTTTAAATCTACATATGTATCAATGGACATAACCATTACCAGTAATCACTCTTAAGCTGTACAAATTGTTTTACAGAGCAGTCTAAAAAGTATGAAAGCATTCTTATTTTTGAACAAATGTTTCCTAAAATTAATATATGGATTGATAGATTAATCAACTTGATGATGTGATAGATAGGAAACATCTGCATGTGATGTATGTAGAAAACAGTAGTAGAAGTAGTAGTAGTAGCAGTAGTAGTAGATGTAAGATTCAGTTTGTAGCAAACCTCATATTCCACCTCCAAATAGTTTACCTTCTTTTCAGTAACATTTCAGACATTGATGCATTATGTCATTGGATACAATGAAGCTGACATTCACTCAGCCTATGCATAACATGTACATGCCGTATAAATACATACATGTACATCCATGTGCACACATACATAGAGTTAAATTAACTCAATGATACACTCAATGATACATACATATGTACATATACATGGACAGACATACTAAGCCACGCATATACGCCCTTACCCACATACACACAAGCAAACATACATACAGATATACATACATATAAATCTATGTTAATTGATTTTTTTTGTTGCATTATTGGATTGATAGGAACGAAGCACTGCAGAGGAAAGTGAGTATGTACCATGAAGAGCTTGCCAAGGCGAGAAGAGAAGCTCAGAGCTACATTGATACCATTCACGTGGAACTCAAGAGAAAGGAAACCCTCTGTCAGTCAGAGAGACAAAAGGCTTTGCATGAAAAGTAAGAACTACCAGGCTAGATTATGAAACTAAAAATGTATGGTTAGAATACATCACTGAGCTCATCTGTAATGCGTGATAGAGATTGTTCAGCCTTGTGTAACTCTATTCAGACATGACCAAGTAAACCACCTGAAAAGAACTGCAATGGCAAAATTGAAAACTATTTTACTTGTAAATGAGTGCCAAGGGGGCAGGGAGGGGGCATAACAGAAGTAGCAGTGTGCAACGAATGGCTTTTGCATGCTATGTTATAAGAGTGTTAATATATGTAGACTTGTGATGCACATTATGCTTATGTCAATATATAGTCATGATACATGTACATCTCCCTCATTACATAACATACAAAATGCTATGTGTGCTAAAAAAATCCACTGTACATTAAGCTTTGGACCATTGTCATTGCTTAGTTTTGTTTCAATTGTTTTGCAGGTTACATCATGACAAGTGCAAGGAGGAATTGGGAAATTCTAAAGTGAAGCTCAACCAGTTGATGAAAGATAAAAATAAGGTCAGTGGTATGCTTCAGTATCCTCCTACTCTATTCGATATAACTTTATGGTATGAAAAGAAGACATTGTGACCCTTTCCAACACCCTCCCTTTGGCCTCAATTCTCTTGCATTTCATCTCCTAGTAAGACTGATAGGCTCCTATCCTTTTTGTTCCCCTCCATGGTACCAGTGCTCCCTCAATGTTTGGACCCATGCAACACCACTGACCAATTTTATATTTCCTATCAATACCATTAGGCATTGAGGATAATAATATTTTCTTTGCCCATATCATGCCCCCCCCCCTTTCCTCCCTAAAACATATGACATCTCCCCCCCCCCCCCCAACAAAAAAGGGAAAGGGATTTGAAAAGAAGATGACACAACCCCCCCCCCCCCTATTCTCTTACAATGTGCATGTTATACACCAAGTCAGACCTGAGCCCCCCCCCCCCCCCCCCCCCCCCCCCTCCTGCCCCAGAAACCAATTCCCATCAGTGCTTTACCCAATACATTGGATCCAGGGTGTGCCACTGGCCATTTGTTTGATTTTAAATTTTTATAAATTTTCTATCAGTTCTATGAAGCGTTTATGATTAACAGTGTTTTCATTGTCCCTACAGTACCAGGAGAAGGAGGATCGATACTTGGCAGAGATTTTATCTGCTGAAGAGGCCCTTGATGCCAAGGAAAGGGAGAAACTCAAGTTTGAGCAGCAAGCTAAGAAATTTAATAATGATCTACACATTTGGAAAACACAGGTCAGTAGCACTTTCGATTGACTTTCTTCTTGTTTCAACAGCTTCATTCCATGTAAACTTGTTTTCAAGTTCTTAAATTCCCTCTTTATCATTGATATTTATCATGTTACACTATTGTTAATGTTGTTGTTGAATTATCATTGATAAGCCTGCTTATTTTCTCTTCAAATGATGTCCCATTTGTAATTATCAAGGAATAATTTTCCACAAATTTCTTGATTAGCAATTTCAGCTGATGGATAAATATTTCAAATGAAATTCTGTACATTTCTATGGAAGAAAACTGCTACACAAGATAATTTTGTATAGCAGTCATGCAAAAATGCATAGCAAATTGCGATGCGATACCAGGAAAATTATTCCCTGATTATGCAATTTTAGATGTTAAGTTTAGCTGAATATGGGGATTTTTCTCAAGTGAATGCTGTAAAGCAACAATGCTGTTGTTGTTCAATTCAATTCAATTCTGGTTTATTGCAAATAAAAACATGCTGAATAAAAAGTCTGGAGACTCAATTCAGTTTACAAGTTATAAATACATACAGGAATATAAGAAATCAATACTTTTAGCAATCTTCATATTAATTACTGATTCTAATTAACTAAAGAACTAATATAAAATAATCGTAAAATAACACATGTTGTAATTATTCAGTTATAATATTTAAATAGTAAAATATGTTGTCACCATTTTCTGAATGTCATATGAATTTGTTCATACACTTACAAATTAATAAGTAGTGATTTATTTGTTAGTGATTATTTTAGTGTTGGTGATTATTTGTCTGTACGATGGATTTTTTCCCTAAATATTTTAAGTCTATATGGTCTGTCCCAAGACAAGTTCTTAAGGCAGCTTACTGTCATTGTACTTTGTAGGATTTCATCATTTTTATCATGTACATAGCAAACATCCAATTTTACCTTTTATTACTGAAAAGCAAGAAAATTTGCTGATGGCTTCATGGATTATGCATTTTTTTAAAAGTCAAGAGCCCCAAAGGTATAAAAAAAAAAATTAAAAAATGCACCAATCCAAAGATTAAGCCATTTTATATTTCCTAGCAGTATGTGATTCACATTTTTCAAAACAACATTTTAGGCGGACGGTTTCAAGAGTGATTTCCAGGTCGAGCGTAAAGCAAGGGAAGATATGCACACCGAGAAGCTGGATCTACAGTCAAAGATTGATAACCTTGTCAGGGATAATAAGAAGATGGAGGATGAACTCCAGCATTTCCATCGCGAACAGCTCCATGCTGTAGGAACTGCGTACGGGCCAACGGCAGGCTATGGATACGATAGGAGAGGTAGGTTTCTGCTTCTGTAGATTTTAGTCTGTGCTTGTATATCCTAATGAATGCTGAAGGATAAAAAGTATTATCTTTTAAAAGGAAAATTACTATGTAAATCTTTGATAGAAGTTGTACTGATGGATTTTTATTTTTCAAAGTAAACTGAACTTGCACAAAGTATTGATTTTTCCCCTAATTAGCTAGGCACAGGACAAAACACATTACCTGTATTGATATAGTTGGCCTACATTGTCATATTGAGGTTGTGGTTTCAACTAATTAAAGTCACTTTTCAACATTAAAATTGTTAAATAAAAGTATTTGAATTAGGCTTAACAATATATTCTAAATACTTGCAAAGACATATCTTAAAGTGTCAAGTATAACCGTAGATATCTAGAGGGTAAAAGAGAGTTCATCTTTAATTATCTTGATTTAGTTTTCTCAGGCTGTAACCTTGAATTAGTTTACAGTGTTTTCACTCAACATTTCCCATTGGAGAGGTGAGTGGAAACAACTGCAGATTCATAATTGACTCCAGTTATCTTGATAATTGACCTTTTTTTTCTCTTAAAATTTGAATTGGAAGGTAGTTAAATCCATTTTGTTCTCAAACAGTACCTTTAATCACAATATCTGACCCTCACCCACTGCAGGAGATGATATGTTTGGTATGAGACGTCAAGTCTTTTATGATCAGCCTGGTGAAGATGAAGCAGGTAATGCAGATCCTGTGGGGGGATTCCAAGCAGCTTATCAACCCCAAGAGCTGCGACAGGTACGTTTATCAATAGGTCCATTCAAGTTGGCAAGTCCAAGTTATCTAATCCTTTGGTCTCCCATATGTTACAATATATGATAATGATAATAATAACAGATTCTTTTTATATGTCATGCTTGACACTGAGAGTGCTCCACTGTAATAACCCTGCTTCAGCATGGCTGCTATTATGGCGCTCTAGCATATTCAGGAAATTCCTGTTGGGTACCCATTTATCTCACCTGGGTGGAGAGTGTCAATTGTGGATCAATGTCTCGCCAAAGAATATTAGTGCTACAACAGGGATTTGAACCCTAACCCTTGTGCTTCATAGTCCGGAGACTTATTCACTTAACCACAAAACCTTCACATATAATACAGAACATGATCGACATTGAAGTTATCATTATCCTATTTTTACAATCTTCAGGTATATTCAAATCTTTCATGTAGTCTGTAACGTAATGTCAAAATAAGGACTTGTCCATGAAAAGGAATTAACTAGCATTGAATGAGAATTAAGCAAGGCTTCTTTGTTATATGAATGTAATTCTTTAAAATGCTTGGTTAAAAGATGTAGCATTGTATGAAAGTACTTTTTTCAATGATGTAATAACACTTTTATGTTATTGATGCATTTATTAAGTATTTAAAATTGTCACATGCTTGGGGTTGGGAATTTCATTTCCTTGATGGCCTTTCTCCAAGCTTTCCAAGTTTCGTGAGGTCAGCCACAGTAAGCATTTTGGTTGAATTATAATTGATAAGGCACATGATTTGTATTACTATTATTCCTATCTTCTATCACTTATCCAGCCCCAACAGGCTACAACTCAACACCAAAACTGGTGCCCCAAGTGTCAGCAAACATTTCCAGATTACGACACTCTCAATATTCACCTATCTGACTGCATAGACTGAGGACAGAGGTCATAAAATTCTGCTTTCCAAGGCAGGGATATTGTTTTTAAAATGTTTTTTTTTTAACTACAGAACTCAACTGGTGAAATTTTTTCTTTTTCAACATTTTATAATTTTTGCAAAAAACAAGCAAACAACTCACAGAGCTTTCAAGTGTACCATCTAAACCAGGCGTTCTCAACTGGCGGCGCGCGCGCCACTCGTGGCGCTTGCGGTCAGTCAGAGTGGCGCGCGGCTGTTCTAAAAAAAAAAAAATAAATAAATAAAAAATTTAAAATAAAATTTAAGAAAGAAAAAAAATCAAAAAATTATATTTTAAAATAAAAAAAAACTCAGCAAAATCAAAAAGTCGCAGTCGAAGTTGAGCCCAAAATTTAAGCAAGCCATTTTGTTTGTTTGATTTTCACTTCATTTTGACATTTTCCGTGTTTATTGCACCAAAATAACTACATGTTATTTGTTCTTGAGGCGTAGATTTTAGCCAGGAATTGTACTAATTATTTCACATCAATATGAAATTATGATTGATGTTTTATGGAACAAAAAGGTGTTAAAATGCCACATCTGGGCCTTAAAAAAGTCCTAAAATCCACTAGCTTCCGGGGGCTTCGCCCCCTGGACCCCACCCGGTATCGGCTCGGTCTCTATGCTCCCTCGCAACACAGTCACCAAACATACAGGTTGGCACTTCAACCTCAATAAATTTTTATTTTGGCGCTTCTAATAAACTAGTTGAGAAGGCCTGATCTAAACTAAATAATTCTTGCAATGTAGTATTGAAGCGTTGAATTACTTGATTCATTTGGGAAGATGTGATTTCCTAGTGTCATCACTAAATCTTTATGAAAGACTATTTGATAGAAAAGAAAGAAGCGTAACCTTTTAAATCGACTTGAAAATTCTTAATTTTTTATTGCCGTAGGCCCTTACACAATTTTGTTTTTCCTGGAAAATTGTAGAAACAAATCAGGTTGTAATATTGAATTGATCATTTTATGTTTTTGTTGTAGTGTACCACCTCTGCACACTTTACATGGTAGAAGAACCATATCAATATACATATCAATTTACTTTTGTATATCTATGTTCAAATATATGAATATCTTGATGACTATTTAAGTCCATACGGTCTACGGTATATAAATAATGAGAGAAGAGTCATCACCTTTGCACGTTAAGAACCCACTGCACTATTCGTACTGATAAGAGTAGTAGGAGGAGAGACCCTAGGGCCACCGTGATCCAGTTCGCTTTTTGCCTCCCAGGCACAGGTGGCGACAAATACATAATAATAATTTTATGGATTTAATGATCGTGATCATACATGGAATATATCATAGTGTGAATATTGATGTGGATTTGTTATAGTCCAATGTATATTGTTCTTCAATCCATCTCATCAGCTGGTCAGATGATGATGATGATTTCTGATTAAATCAGTGATTTAACACCAAATAAGAACTCTCACAATTGCAGGGCCTACTCCTGTAGTAAATTTATCTCACTGTCCTACATGTGTATAAAAGTCATGTTATCATTCAAAATAGTTAACTTGTGATCTTGGGAGCTGTCTGTTACAAATGTACTTATTAACGTTACAAGTGAATCTGAGAAAAATACATGATTGAAGAAGTTTTTTTGTTTTGTTTTTCGTAACAATCATTTATATGCATGCCGCTATCATAAAATAAGTATCAGTGCAATAGTATGCATAATATAATTTTGTTTTTGTTTGCCTTATGTCTTGAATATACATGTTTTTATTCTTTCACCCTGTCATATCTTCCATATCTTTATAATAATGTTTTAGTGATAGCAGGGCTTGACATTGACAGCTGCTGGGTGGAAGCTGTAACTTCCGAATTCAAATTATTAAGAGGGGCCCAGTACAGATAGACCCCCCCCCCCCTTCAAAAAATAATACTACCAAAGATAAATGAATAATAATGATAATACCAATAAAAAAAATGTTTAAAAACGATAATGATAACAATAATGATGATAAAAACAAAAGTAAAGATAATATAATAATAATAAATAAATAATCTGCATCGCCCTTTTAAAAGGATAAATGTACAGCCCAGGGCCCTTTCTTATAAAGAGTTACGATTGATCCAAATCAATCCCAGTTTGCAGTCTCCTATCTCTTATGTACATAGTTGCAATTGATATCAACTCTTTATGAGACGGGCCCTGATATATTTATTATGATTTTTCTATTGGTACCGTATGTGTAATGTAATGAATATATCTCAATTTTTTTAATAAATACAACGTATTATCCTTTTAATAATGCTTATTACGCAGCAACTCGGCACTTCCTATTATCACCTCCTTTGTATTTTGTTTTCAAATAAAGATGGATATATCCTATTGATTTTCATTTATCTAACATGACTTTGATTATATTTTTATGTTAATACAGTATTAGGCACAGAGTTTATTTGGTCTGATATCATATAGATGTTTAAATAGATTTGAAAGTTATTTTTGTGAATTATACATATATGTTATCTGTTTGTGCATTCGGCTTTCCATCACCTTATCAATGTGTGTATGCAAGTTTATTATAATAAATGTAGTACACTGTATCGATGTTTCTATTAATGAATAAAGTTTTTTTAACAAATAAATATTTTACCTCATGTTATTACTTGCAAGTAACTAAATATAATGATAGAAGATCATAGAACCTGTTTTCACATTCCATTGCCATCACATTGTACCTGTAACTACGTGAGATGTAGACAAACATAAGAATCCTTACTATCATAAGCATTTGGAAAAGCATAAAGTAAAGGCATGTGCCGGAGAAGCTTAGGCAAATCCATAGCAATTTTAAGGCAGTAGAAACCCCTTTTTCAGAATTGTACAGTGACTTTGAATACTTCTTTAGACAAGGTAAAGAAGTACTGGTAACACTCCTTATTGCTATGAATATGCGCCCCTCTCCCTCTCTCTTTCTGTATGTCTCTCTCACCCTCTCTGTCTCTCTCTCTCTCTCTCTCTCTCATTTATTGACTGAAGGTCAAATCACTCCCCTCTACCGTTAAAACTAAGCAAAAACACTTTTGTCAGATTTGCTTTGAACACTTGGAGAACACAATTTTAATGGACGGAAGATATGATCAAAAATACATGAAGTTCCTGATACGAGGCCAACACATTATGTTGTAACAGCTTTTGCCTCTATGCAGTGAAAATACATATGATATACACTTGATAGGTACTCATTTATTTCACTACCTAGTAAAAGGACACAACTATTTGAAAATAACACAGCCTATATTCCTTCCTTTCATACCAAACTACCCCCTACAAATGTTCAGTTCTGCCTAGATTTCAGGCAAGGAAAAGTCTCATCACGACAAGATTGATTGCACATCATGAAGAAAAATAATACAATGGTTACAGTTTCACTTGCACCAATATGATAGTGCAATCTGTTTACTGCCATTTGTCAAAGAGGGAATCTTTATAGCAAATGCCTAAATAACAGATGCACATTCTTTAATACATCAGGATAAAAATGATTTGTCATTGTCATTTGCTTGCACTTCAGCACATTTTGACTACCTAATGTACATGGAAGCATGTGGGTATTATGACACCTGATAAAATGAGAATCTGGTCATTTAAAAGATTGTATTTTTGCTAAAAAATTAAATATCCATACAAGATTCCTCCTGAAAACATTTATTCACAACAAAATAAATATGAGTAGTGCAACCAGAGGGTAGACTGCCAGAGCACATACATGTTGAATCAATGCACCGTCATATATTTCTTTTTCTCTTGTTCACTTCATGACTTAAGCAGCATCTTCTGTATAACATTCCTCTAACTCCCATTGAAAGTCTAAAGGATAAATGTTCAATCTATTTGCAGAAAGTCCACTGTGGCACGCCTGTGATCCTTGCATAGTAACATATATACCACAAAGATTCTTCAAAGCCAGTAATGCACATTGGATAGAATGTCTTTCCCTGTATTATCTGTCAGGTTGATGAGCATGTTTTTGATCATGTGACTGATCATGTGATGATGTTTTCAGGTCAGCCAGTCTCCTGGGTATAGTGGTGAAAGGAGCATAGTCTTTGAAGCATGTTTCCCAGACACCATCAACGGCTTTCTCTGCTTCTTCTCGAGAAACGTTTCTGACTGCTAGGATGGAACCGATAGCCCTTCTCCTTACACAGGTCTGCAATATGGAGATAGATAAGAAAATTTAAACTAGAAAGACTTGATGGAAACTAGATATATATGCCAATGTATAATGATACAAGAACAAAAGATCATTCAGTTTTAAAAACTCATGACTTAGGGTTGAACTGCTAAAGTTAGGTCCATTTCAGTAACTCTCATGAATGAACAAGGCATCTTCATACTGTATATCCTTGATCTAATTTGAAGAAGAAGATAAATCCAAATGCGTCCAGCTTTAAAGGGAAAGTCCACCCTGAAATTAAGTTAGTTTTAATAGGAGTAGAAAAATGAGAGAAACAAGTCAGTGAAAGTTTGAGCAAATTCCGATTAAAAATAAGGAAGTTAGGATTTTTTGAAGTTGTGATCAATCAAACACAAATTGGCAACTCTATGACGTATCATGCGAGCTCAACTTCCATTTGCTCAGTACTAAAAAAATCTAAAATTTTCATTTTCCCTCAAGAAAAATTTCAACCATACATGCACCCTAATATAATAATTGCAAATATGTTTCTATACTCCCCCTGCAAGGAACAAATATATATTCCGTCATCAATAACGAAGAAAACATGATTTTATGGAATATTATGCACAAAGCAAATGAAGGAGAGCTCGTATAATAAGTCACAGAGTTGCCAATTTGTATTTGATTGATCACAACTTCAATAATTCATAACTTTCTTATTTTCATTCAGAATTTGCTCAAACTTTCACTCACCTGATTTTCTTATTATTCTGCCTCTATCGAAACAAACTTATTTTTGGGGTGGACTTTCCCTTTAAGTAGTAAGCTAAATATATTGGCAGTTGTGTTTTTTTTTCATTGCTATAATGATTACATCATACGTACACTTACATATATATATATATATATATATATATATATAGGTGACATTCCTGGATTTTGTTATTGATTTTTAAAATCTTTTTGTTTAAATGATTTATTTGAGCTCTACAAAATCAAAGTAATCATTAGATGTAATGGCAGTGCTGAAGACTGTTCAATCTTTACTGACAGATTTCATTCAAGAACATAAACACTGTCTGTCACACTCTACCTGGTGATGATTCTTAAATCTGAAGTTCCAGCTGTAAAGGCTATCACTCAGGAATGAACAATCACCACTCAAGCTGGATGCCCTTATCTGTCAAAATTGAATATGATAATGAACATGAATTAACATCAATTGAATAAAAGACTAAAAACAATGTAAACTGAATGGAAAAAGAGTTTCTTTTTAAAGATGAAGTTGGGTTCTGGTCATGCGATTGCATTGTGAAAGAAACAGTGTGGAATCGACCACAAAAGGTTGATCATCTAGCATATAAGAATTTGTGTGTATTGCAAGGTTCTGGAATCATCAAAATGATAAGAAATTTGGCCAAGTCTTGGTAAAGTTACAAACACTGTACACAGAAAGATGTATATGGGACTACACAAACACGTGGCGTAAAAATCCTACCCCCGAGTTTTACGATGTTACATGACATATTTAGAATATGACGGCATTTGAAGAGCCATGTTTTTCAGGGAACATGTCTTATCTGATGTTCTTCCACACTTGCATAATATGAATGATAATGCTCACAAATTATTTTTCACCTCTTCCCAGAACTCAACCTTCTCTTTAAGGGAAAGTTTATAGGACTGTGATGTTTCTGTAAAATGTGGTCCACACACATGTCTGACTGAAAGATGCTTCATCTGATTTTTTCTTCTTTAATATGTTTTACATTTGGATAAAAAATCTTGAATATCACCAGGATGAGTTAAAGCAAACAAACTTCATTCTTATTTAATTTTCTCCTTTCATGACTCGAGTAGTCTAATTTCACAACACTTTTCCAAGAAAGGACATTTTAATCAAAAGACATTCTTTTAAAGGGTCTTTACTAGCTAAATATACATAGTCTATGACCATTTGGTCATTATATATTAATCAATTTTTCTTTGGAATCCTCTTCCTCATTAGAGAGGTGTGAGCATGTTCACATACTTTAGCCTTCGATCTCTACTAAAAACAGTTGCATATATTCCCTACCTCTGAGCAAGCAACATGTCGTATATCTGTCCAGTCCACCTTAGCTCTGCAGTGATCATAAGCATGTATTAACTCATGGGTAAGAAGTGTACTCAGAATCCTCTGGGAGGGACTCTTGTTTTCACATAAAACGATCTGCAAAAAGAAATAATATGCCACAAATACAAATACTTCATCAATATCTTGTGTTCATCATGCCAAAGAAGTTTATATTAGCCACTTTAAAGCTTGAATTATAAAGTATTCTTGAGAAATATCTTTCAAAAGTACAATTATTGAATAAACGGGACGTACGGCTTACTGTAATTTCTTATATTTTCAAAAGTCCAAATAACCTTTACAAAATGAAGGAAAATATGAATCACTCTTGCTTATAAAATGGAGAAATAGATCTACAAATGAACTAACAATTCTGAAAAAAGAAATCCAACTCTTTTCTTCTTTTCTTTGTTTTATTTTGATTAAAGATTGCAGAATCAAATCATTTATGAAAAAAGGACAAAAGGGTGAACATATGAATAGTTGTTACCGGTAGTTTATTTACCTCTCCATTAATGGGATCAAATCCTCCGTTCACAGGGCTATCACTGGCACACGGCTCACATACAATGTGTGTATCTGGATCTATTGGGCTGAAACAAACAGTGAGACAACATTGCACTTTCTCTTGTGAAAAAATAACACTTAAAATAACACTTAAAATGTATTCTACAAAATTATTTAATATATTATTTTGCAGTCATGCAAAAGTTCCCTCTGGTTTGAAAAGATCATTGTGTAGACTACATTATCGTAACATCACACACATTAAAAGAAAAAAACAACTAAATATGAATGAAAATTGAAATGTTTCACTCACCATCCAATTTGTTCCATGGCAGCTAGCATAAACTTCACATAAGGATCTGAAGAAAAAAAAAAATTTAAAAATATAGGCTGAGCATTTCAGGGTCAAAGTTAAAACCAAGCATTACATCTACCTTGTGGTGCTCTTTAATCAACCTCTGACCTAGACTGGAAAAATTAAGTCCATTTAGTTTGGGGATAGACCTTGAGACTTTGTTTGTGGCTGTCTATCTCGCATGCACAGATAGCCTGCCCTCATTCATTTGTTCATTTGTTTCAATTGTCTCCTGCCGCTGATCTCATTCGTTTAAGCCTGCGGTAGCGCCCCCATTCCTTAGGGAGCCCTAAGTGATCGCAACAATAAATAAAGTTGTGGTTGTGGTTGTGGTCTCCTTTCATTTTGAAAAAACATAATAAAATTAGAAAATTGCAGAACTTAGCTGAAGAGCAAGACAGTTGGCCCAATCAGTAAAATTAGGCTCAAATATCTGGAAAACCAAGGAAATTTTCACCTATGAAACTTGCAACCAATTACAATCTAAGTTCCATTTGTTACTTACTTTTACTTTTAATCAACAATGTTTCATTAAATTGTTTCAAATATCAATTATCATTTGAAAGAATTCATACAGCAGGTTTTACAAAATATTGTGTGAATGTACTGCAGTGCAGTGTTGCCCGTCTTTGACAGCCAGGATAGTAATGCTGCTAATTAGTTAAGTGCTATGTGTGAGCATCGTAGTAGGTCCATGGCATGGCACTCCAGCAAAGCATAGAGTCAATGCTAAAGCGTATTGACCTCTAGCACTGCATGCTAGCTGTGAGGAAGGCATTATTAGACCCATACACAAATACACACACCACACAATATCGCATAGACTCTACACAATCATGTCGATGCAGCTGTAACTGTAAGCAAAGTTTGACACTAGACTTACAATTTGAATTTTTAAATATTTCTTTTTAACATCAGTAAGTTAAAAAAAAAAAAAAAAAAAGAGAGTAGATCTAGGTCTAGAAAAAAAAACTAGAATCTAGAGTCTAGACTTTATTTTAGATCTAGAGGTCTACTGCTATTTTAGGTGTCATCAATTGTCACTAAAGTACCGATTTTTAGTGAAATCAGTTGAGTTTTGTACAGTGGTGTTTGAAATATTGAGAATCAAAAGCACAGCTTTTACCAAACAGCCAGAATAGTGATGCTCCTATGTGTGGGTTCATGGTGTGACGTGAGTAAGTAACTGATGCATGATCAACTCCTGGGTGCTCCGACGCCGATGGCATCGGCGTCGGAGCTCCCTGCAGTTAAGTTAATCATCTTCTGAAGTTCTGTCAGTGTTTAATAATTTGGTTCCAAAATCTAAACTTACTATGTTTGCAGGCGAAATCTGCCCTTTCAATACAATTGGTATGTATTCTCTTCTCCTTCCAGCTTCTTTTAGTTATGTTCGATTGGTCGACATCAGTTTTATCATCCTTTTCTGATGTTTTTGATGAAATATCACTGGTGGCATGTTCATCCATGGGCGCTGCCATCTTGGATACTACGCCCCCTTGTGCGCAAAGTTTGCTACCTTTTGTGTTTTAGAAATTTTCGCACTGCATGCAAGCTTGGTATCCCTCAAAACATATCCCAAGACGAAAATCCAATTGAATCCCCATTGAATGTCCCCATTGAATCCAATGTGGAGTAAATGGAAAGTGAAACAATGGGTACCCATTGAAAATGGGTACCCAATGGGTACCCATTGAAAACCAATGGGGACCAATTGCCTATTGGTTCCAATGGGGACCAATTGCCAATTGGTTTCAATGGGTACCCATTGTTTCACTTTCCATTTACTCCAAATTGCCAATTGGTATTGAATTGGGATTCAATGGGGGTATTCAATGGGGATTCAATTGGTAAATCGATCCAGTTAGAAGAACCAGTGATAATTTATTGATACTTCATAATCGTTATTGGCAACTGTCCACCAATAAGGTATCCCAATCTCATTTGCATTAACTTCTTCACAAAGATCATTTGAAGTGAATTCAAGAGTTTCATTTACAGTGACATTGGCTCGTACAAATATATATACTAAATATGTATATTGTTTCTTGGTTAGTAATCATATAATCAATATATAAATCAATATATCTATTGCTTAAACGTGAATGTAATTGTAACATGATCAGACAAAATAATCTATTAGTTAATAATTGCTGAAGGAATAAAGAAATCACAAAATTGATGTGCATTGTCATAATTTGCTTAACAAATCATGATAAATTTATTTTTCTGTGACACGTGTAAAGTGATAATGAATATTCATGAGATGCCTAGATTTGTTGGTTTCAATGGGACCAATTGAAGTCCAAATTAAGGCCAATTGGTCCAATTGAAACCAATTGGGGACCCATTAAAGTCTAATGGGGCCTAGGCCAATGGGTCCAATTTGTCCAATGGGGCCAATCCGGACCAATTGAAACCAATTGGGGACCCATTAAAGTCTAATGGGGCCTAGGCCAATGGGGCCAATTTGTCCAATGGGGCCAATCTGGACCAATTGAAAACATCTGAGGTCCCATTGAAACCTGTTAAAACCTATTGAGACCAATTGAAACCAATTGAAACCAATTGAAATTTCAATTGGTGTTCAATTGGTTTCAATTGGATTTTCGTTCTAGAACACCTACCCCCTGGACATCCACCCCGGATAACCATTCCCAGTCAAATACCCCCTAGTACAATTAACCCCGGATATCTACCCCCTACGACATCCATCCTCTTGGACAACTACCCCCCCCCCCCCCGGACAACTATCCTAGGGGTAGTTGTTTAAGGGGGGGTGGGTTGTCTGGGGTAGTTGTCCCAGGAGGTAGTCTTCCTAGAGGGTGGTTGCCCCAGGGGGTAGCAGGCGCGGATCCAGGATTTTCCAATAGGAGGGGGGGCGGAGGGGAGGGGGCGAGGGGGAGGGGGGAGGGGGGGGGGGCGGAAATTAGAAAATTGCGCAGACCGTTTCTCAACTCAACATACCAATACTGACACGGTCATATTAGAAGCACCATACCGGTACCTACAAGCAGGCACAATTTCGGAAAGGGGGCAGGCCGTCACGTCGTCACGTCTCTTGTCCGATATCATGAACATTCCACGTTTTATAATTTTATATAAGTTAAACATTTTTCAAATTTTCATCGGGGGGGGGGGAACCCTCTTGTCGGAAAAAGAAATTTTTGGGTTTCACATTTCGGCTAGTGAGCGAAGCGAGCGACCACAAACTGTATCTTATATGCAATTAAAAACATTATTTATTTTATTTGATAATATCTTTGATGTAGTTTTTTTTCTCGTTTGGTTTTATTTTCCCCGTTGTTTTCTCGTTTGGTTTTATTTTTCCCCATTGTTTTCCTTTGATATCATTGAGATCTATTTATAGATTCAGGGGCGCCGGAAGTGAAGGGGGCGCCCCCCGCACTTTTTGATGGGCAGTAAAGGAGTAAAAATGGTTTGTATTTTTTAACCAAAAAATAATTAAAAAATGATTAAACCTGAATTGAATCACATGAAAATTCCATTCCTTTCAAAGGAAAGGAGAGTACACAGGAATTACATTTCCTAAACATTCTGCATGCCCCTATATCATCAATGGAGGATAAATAATAGCGATACGAGCATATCGTGGAAATATTGTGAGAGGAAGGGAAAGCGTGTGTATTTTTTATTATAGAGGTGAAAAGACATGAGCCCCTGAACACGGGCGTACTGATGGGGGCCCTTCGGGGGGGGGGGGGCAAATAAAATTTAAACGTGTTTTTTTTTTTTTTTTCTAATTCGATACCAATTGCTGCAATGACATGATTTTCTGAGATTTGTTCTCAATTTTTGTGTCAATTATACTTTTTATGCGTTTGTTTACAGTCAGGCAAAAAAAAGCTTATTTAGAAGCCTTCATGTCAGGGCCTGCTCGAGCCCTTCCTCACTTAAACAAAAGTATGTTAAAGAGAAAAAGAAAGAAAGAGAAAGAGAAAGAATGAATGAGTGACCTGCCAGTGTCACAACAATTAATGAGGTATCAAAATATCGTATCATCTGACCGTAATAAAATGCCTAAAACTCCTAAGCTTACGGGGGCTCCGCCCCTTGACTCCACCAAGGGCCCTAAGAATATTCCCTGGATGCTCATCTGACCGTTATTAGATAACGAAACCCTTGAGCATCCGGAGGCTCCTAGGCCCCACCGACGGCCCAATGGAGGACCCCTGGATGCTCATCTCACCGTAATACCTAAAACCCCTGAGCTTCTGGGGTCTCCAGGCACGGATCCAGTATTTCTCAGGGGGAGGGGGGGGGGGGCTATTATGCGAGCCAAATATTGGTAGGTAATGGTGACCAGCATTGACGTAATGGGGGGGGGGTGCAGGAAGGGGTGATTTCTCCCTACCTCCTCAACAAAGCGCCGAAGCTGTTACCTTTCATTAAATTATTAGAGAAAGAAGACGATTCATTGAACCGTTCTCGACTCTTAATCCTCATCTGAATTCACTTCCCCCCCCCCCTCCTCCCGCGCGAAGCGCGGAAGCTTTTACATTTCATCAAATCATTAGAGAAAGAGGACGATTAGTTGAACCGCACTCGACTCTTAATCCTCGTCTGAATTCAGTTCCCCCCCCCTCTCCCGCGCAAAGCGCGGAAGCTTTGACATTTCATTTAATTATTAGAGAAACGAGAAGATTCGTTATTCCGTTCTCTAAAATAATCCTCGTCTGATTTCAGTTTCCCCCCTCCCGCGCGAAGCGCGGAAGCTTTTACCTTTCATTAAATCACATAGAGAAAGAAGGCGATTCGTTGTACCGTTCTCGACTCTTAATCCTCGTCCGAATTCAGTTAACCCCCCTTCCCCCACCCTCCCGCGCAAAAGCTTCTGTGTGCCCATGCCTTGAGCCATAATGCATGGCCGTCCAGAGGGTTTTTTATGAAATAAATTATTGAAAATTTATTGCATTTTCGGAGTTTTTTTTATTTATGGAAACTGCCCCCTAGCCTAGCCCCCACTGCGTACAGTCATGGTTCAGTGACAAAGCAATGGCCTCGTAACTGTGAGGCCCCAGGATCAAAACCGTGTCGATGTGCGATATTAATGCCCTTTTGTGGGGCATTAATCCTCATTACTGTCATTTATGACTTGAGGGCATAGGACCCCTAGTTGATAAGCATAGTAGCAAACCAGGGGCGTAGACAACGGGGGGATGAGGGGGATGCATCCCCCACCTCACAAGGTGGGGGGATGGCATGTACAATCATCCCCCCAGGTTTTAGGGAATGATATTTGCTTACTTAATAAGTCATAATGATGATAATAATAGTAATAATAATAATGATAACAATTATAATATTAATAATAATAATAATTATGATGATGATAATAATAATCCTCATCATTATTGTGTTTATTGTTATTAGCCGCATTCACACGGTGAAAGCCAATTCAGACGGTAAAAAAAAGAAAATCTTACAAGTATTTTGTGGTTATCTTGTGGTTTGGAAACCACAAGATAACCACAAGATTAAACTGGCGCGGATCTACGGGGGTGTTAGGGGGTTTAAACTCCCCCTTGGGCGGCCCAAAAAACAAACAAACAAAAAACAGGAAAAAAAAAAAAAAAAAAAAGAAAGAAAAAAGAACGCACGCTGGAGAGAAACCCTTTCAAGTGCAAATATTGTGAGAAGATATTCAACTCATCTGGTAACTTAACCAAACACATGATAACTCTGGATATAACTGTGTATTTAACTGTTACTTGATTTAAAAAGACGTTATCATGCACTGCTTTTTATGGTCTCCATTGTGTTAATAGATGCCAGGAAAACATCACTTACGGGGTTCAAATAAACACCCCAAAAAAAAATCGGCTCGCCGCTTCGCGGCTCGTGGACGATGCTCCGCATCGTCATTATTTTGGTCAACCCCCCCCCCTTAGCAAAAAGCTAGATCCGCCCCTGAGTCATCCCCCCAGGTGTACGAACCTGTCTACGCCACTGTAGCAAACACATGCTTTAGTAGTCCCGGAAAACACACATTGGCAAATTATTATTATTCAATAAAATCTGAGAATGTACACTGTTATCTAGATCTATTATTTTTAAAATATTTTTTAAATAATTCCATAAATTGGGGTAAACTAAAATATTCCAACTTTATGAGCGACAGTGTTCCATTCTCGACTCTTAATCCTTGTCTGAATTCAGTTCCCCCCCCCCCCCCCCCCCCCCTCCTCCCGCACGAAGCGCGAAAGCTTTGACGTTTAATTAAAATTATTAGAGAAAGAAGACGATTCGTTGTACCGTTTTTGACTCTTAATCCTTGTCTGAATTTCAAAACTGTTTTTTGTCTGCTTCTTTTTCTTCCTACGTCCTCTTCCTTAGGGGGGGGGGGCAACAGCCTGGGAGGCGAGGCCCTCCCCCCCGATCTCCTTCTTTCCCCTTTTCTTTTCTTCTTCCTCTTCTTTCTTTCCCTTTCTCTCCTCTTTCCCTTCTTTTCTTTCTCTCTCTCTCTCTCTTTTTTTCCTTCTTTCCCCCCCCTTTTTTTCCCCTTCTTTTCTTCCCCTTTTTTTTCCTTTTTTTCCCAGGGGGAGGGGCCGGCCCCCCTGGACCCGCCACTGGGGCTCTCTGCCCCCTTGTCCCCACCAAGGGCCCTATATAAGGCGGGCACCCTAGCCTAATGCTACTCTGACCGTAATTAAATGCCCAAAACCCCTGATCTGACATGGGGCTCACCCCCCAAACTGCTTCCGGCGCGCCTGTATAGATTCACAAACCCCTATCTCCCTCTCTCTCTCCACCCTTCAATCTATCGATCTCTCCGCCCCCTTACACCCCTTCTCTCTCTTTTTCCTCTTTCTCATCTCGGTATATCTTTAAAACCTGAACCACTCTCTTACACTGACAGTAGGCCTGAAAATGCATTTTACAATGTATTTCTTATAAGTCATGTAGTTTCACATTTTATTTGAAATAATATATATAATGAAAGCAATAAATACAATTAATAAATTCATATTTCATCACGACACAGGTAAAACATCGTTCTTCGTATTTCAGAAAACTTTGAGTAATATTTTATGTAAGACATTTTCATCAGGCTTATCGAGCAAGGTGTTGACTATATTATGGCAAATACAGGTAATATGATAAATGGTTATGTTTGTAAGATAGGCGAAGGCTTATTTTTTTCAAGGTGAACAAAGAAAATATACAAAAATCAAACATTATCTGCTGAGTCACATTTTTAAAAAATGCAGTTGCATTGTGCTCAATGATTATGCATGATAGATTTATGACATTTTTGTAAAGGAATGACATAATTCCATAAGCATTAATTAAAAAAGTATCCAAAGTAGTTTTGGACGGTACACAGGCAGAAACTATTTTTATTATATATTATAGTTCACAAATCTAAAGATATAAAATGTTGTTATTGAAGATACTTCAATATAGCAAGCATTCTGAATGTTTATCAAGATTATATTAAACTTCATTAATCGACAATGATGCTCAGACGATAAGTCATTGTGTACTGCATGTAGACTTGACAAAACTATGCAAGCTGTGCAAAAGAGGGATTGTATACATGCAGAGTTCTGATAAAAACCCTTCCGCCAACCCCCGGCTCCTTTAAACTCGTGCAATTTCTTCTCTTTCCCTTGTTCATTTCTGTAATTGTTCATCTTTGCAACCCATCGGTTGGAAGGATACAAGAGGCATTCCCAGATAGAAAGCGTACTTTAACGATGCTTCAGTGTTAGGATAATAGGGATACGATGTGAGTTGCTGGTAGTCCCTACCGACATCAGCATCGTCGCTGGGCAGAGATGGAGAGTGGTGTCGTGTTGCCTGACCGTTCCCTGAGGCAGAAGTGTCTTTAACGTGAGCATGGAGAGCTGATTGGGCTTGAAGAGATGCTGATGTTGGATAAGAAGAAAGCTGCTGCTGATAGTAATGTTTATGGAGAGACGGCTTAGTCCTGGCTGCGGACTCTTCATCGCGGCTACTCTTTGATAAAAACTCGATGGACATCAGAGAGGAAATCTTTGATGTCTTCACGCTAGAACTGTCGTTGATTTCTTGCTTGAATATCTGCTTGCCATCGGTCTTAGTCTTCAAACGTGCAGCGTCGTCCCCGACGACACCATAGAAATACTGACGGTCGTGGGGGATCTTAAATCCAGTTGCTTGTTGTTGGTAGATGGGGCTGTGACGGCCTTCAGGAGAACTCTTGCCGGAACGCTCAAGACGTCTTTCCCGCGCTCGACGATTTTGAAACCAAACCTGCAAAACAAATTAAAAATAAACCATGAATGCTATAATGAAGTCCATTTTTTTCTTCAAAGAAAGGAAATTATATACTGATTGCGCATGTTGTGAATAGTTCACTGATATAAAAATACCAGCATTATTAGCTTGCAGTATATATTTCTTGGGATATTTTTCGTACCGACGGTTGATTACATTTAGAACTGGAATTCAGAGTTCACTCGAAGCAAACATTTTATGACAAAAACAAGACAAGAACTCATATTGATATTATTGCAATCTTTCTAATTATTCGTATCATCGATTGATTTTAGTTCAAGAATGTCATTAAGTAAACTTGTTGAGATAATTTGAAGTGGTTTATAAGGACAATATTTACAGAATTATAATATATTCCTCTTAATTACCTGGACTCTGGCTTCAGTAAGGTCGACTGCATCGGCCAGTGCCTCTCGCGAGTTGATATCTGGGTACTTGTTCGTCCTGAACACCTGCTCCAAGCTCTCGAGCTGTAGCCTGGTGTAAATGGTACGGCTGCGTCGCCGTCTGTGCCTCAATGCGTTCATACCGTTTTCCTCGTCCGTGGCGCCGCCGACGGGATGGGAGAAGGTCACGTGGTCCGCGGCTGTGTCGTCGTACTGGTGGTGGTGGTGGGTAGGAGGAGGCGCCGTGTATGCGTGTGAACTGGTTGAGTCGGGTGGGTGGTAGTTAGGTAAACGTCCTGCAAAATATAAGTGAAAAGAATATGAAGTATAAATTGATTTATAAATTGATATATCATCCAAAAAAAAATACTGTGATCTAGACTTTATCAATATAAAAATTGAATTATCGCACTGTCGTGTTCAAGAATGGTATAACTATAAACAAATAAAATAACATTTTCTTTTGAAAAGGAATTTTCTCCATCGTTTAAAAACTAAGATATAGAATTTTAAAAAAAGGTAAATTGTAGGCATGAGGAATCAGAGAGCAATATAAAAAGAAAGAGAGGTAAATGATTACAAATTGTGATCTGAAAATGATTAAGAAATGGCTACATACCTGTGCTGCTTCTATCATGTTTCATCACATCTCCAAAGAATTCAGCTGACGGAGAGCCTTGTCTATCGTCTTCAAAATCTGGGAACATAATGGCAGAAGCTCTTCCAAAAACAGTAGAACTGGATTTTTTTTTAAATGTGCCTCAAATTTTGTTATATTATGAATAACTCTGTATTCCAAGAAAGTAATTACACTAAGATATATTGGTGTTGCTCCAATGCTGTATAAGAGTATCCAAAGTTTCTTCGCCGGACCTGGAACACGAACCTTCTCTGACCAAGTCTTGGACGATTGTGAAATAAAATGCTCCGACCCAACCCCATTATACCACATCCCTCTTGAGAAACTGGACCGCAAAGCAAAGTAAGACCGGTCGCGGTACTCTTTGATACCCTCTTTGTTCGTCGCCGCTCCTGGTAGAATTAATTGGATCATCCCCCTATTTTCTTTGTTATCCCAGGGAGCTAACCTTCAGAACAAATGGAAGGTTATGACGTAGTTAATGATTATACCTGTTAAAAGTACTAGATCTATTCAGGGGCCAGGGTGCTTGGAAAGGACCAATTGAGCCAAAGGGTGACACGCGCACCCTTTGTTCTTGTTTACATGGGCCTTTTCTTTCTTGGTAACTATTAAACTCAACGGTACACAGTGATTCACATCGTATTGGGTCTTTTCCCATGAAAACCTGATCTAGTTGTGGATCCTGTACCTTTCGGCCAGCAAAATATTCAGCCTTGAATTTTCAAGAATTCGAGATAAACAAGTATCTGAACATTGATTGGGGCCTTCAATATTATAGGCAGCTTTATGCGAAAAGCATATCATACATTTTTGTTCAGAAAGAAGGGACAGAGAATCTATCATCCTAATTCATACACTAAAATTATATATATATATAATATTTATGTACATTTTGTATGTGCTTCCTTTTTTATGAACAGCAATATGGCGCCATTTTAATGCTGTGAAGCGTGAATCATAATCTTAGCTCTCCCCTTGCCCACTGCAGGTTTAATTCTAAATTCAAACACATTTGATTTGATTTGATAACTTTTTGTAATCACATGTTTCAACCCCATTCTGATGCCTATAAAAATTATGTGAATATTCATACAGAAGGAGGGCGGGTTGCGAATAATTATATCCGGAACAATGCACGCCAACCGAATTTATTTTGGGCATGCATGTACAAATCGCCGATTAACCATTATGTTTAACTCTACTCCGAATGATTCACACATCTATATTCCGCTCCGTTCCCACGAATCGCTGATAACTTCCTTAATTACCTTGTAATCCCCAATTAACGGCTACTTTAATCTCCATTTATGGAATCAACCTGAAAATGATATCAGTGAGAAAATGCAGGTAGAGGCTATAAATCTAGTTATCGTTGTTTGATCTTAGATTTGAATTAAGAGATCATTGAATTTCGTTTATATACAGTATAAGAGTCATTCTTTTAAAATCTGTTAATGTTTAAAGTCGTATAAGTATTCTGTTCATCAAACCTTTGAATTAAAATCTTACTTCGTTTCAAAGAAAAAAGAAAAAGAAAATGTATCGGTAGTTAAATTAAAAGGTAGAGGTCGGGAAACTAACTAAAATATAATGACGTCACGTAATCTGTTAATAGTAGTAGGAAGCGGTTTTTGATGGGGAAGATGCGATTATCTCACATTTTAACAAAACAAAATCAACAGCATCCACTTCCGATTATTGGTTACATCATTATGACCCGTATGCATGCAAATACATTTTGTGCTGCATTTATGAAAACTTAGTTTTATTCGATTTGATGTGGATTATTCAATACAAATTTATTTGCAGCTAAAAGCTGAATAATACTTGTCCATTAAAGTGCATAATCTATACAGAAACTTTCGGAAGTCATAACAAACGCGAAATTAAAAAAGTACGAGTAAATTTAGCAAGTGTTCGGGCGTGCTTTTCTAATTTTTAATTGGTGGAGGACTACGAGTATAATCACCACAGGCTCATGCATGGGTCTGAATTTCTTCAAATCATTGTATAATTATGATTGTGATCAATCGTCTCCAATGCAAAAATATACATCTTGATCCATTTATACGAGCCAGCTCTCATGTTTTGGAAGTTTGGATTTTCCTCGGTGCGGCGATGTGTTTTATGTGGGTCCAGCCATTAATAAAGGGGCACTTGTTTCATGGTGGATGTGGGGTGGGGGCACATGTCCGTATTTCATGGATAAATTAACTCCTCCTCCTTCTTTCTTTCATTCTTTGTTATTGTTTCTTTTTCTCTCAATTGCTGTTCTTTAAAATTCCCTTTATTTTTTGCAGTTTGATAGGGAGAGTATACGCCCAATCTACTCAGAACGGCGCCATGCACTGGTCCATATTTCTTCCTTTTTTCTTCTTTCCTCCCTTTTCTGTTTTTCTATTTTTTCATTATCTTTTACATCGTTTAGCGGGGCACGCACACCCTCGCCTCCATTGAGCTCCTGGTCCAAACATAATGTCTTCGTTTATTTCTGAAACATGTAACGCAAACGCTTTCCTCAAATGCATTTGTCTTTATTTTTTAAATAAAAGTGTATTTGGAAACTTTTGTTTTCTCCTATATCGTAAAAATACGCACGATTCGGCAGATCATAGACTCATGGACAAGTGCCACATGACCAACACAAAATAATGTACGACGGTTAAAACTGGATTAGATCTGAACTTCCTGCCCCTTCTCTCAGTTTGTTTGTGTATTATTTATTGATACCGGCAATGGCCACTCTAATTCAATTTACTGGACATCCCTTTTACATAACTTCAGAATAGACAGGAAGTTCGAAGAAAATGTGTGACTACCGTCTTGTGTGTCTTTGTTCTTTCCATGAAACGAAATTACCAGGAATTCATAAGAGCATGTCATTAACTTGTCCGAGAAGCATTGTGGATGTAAATTATTTTGGGTGTAAACAATATACAAAAACAAAGCAACAAACAAAAACACGACACCAACTGGTATACTATAATATTATATTTTACCATACAGCAACCCTACAATGGAATTAGATAACATTTTATATTGCAGCGCTTTTATAACTGAACTGTGTCCTTTTTAAATAGCATTTTACCTTAATTAATAAACAAATTCTACGAATATTGATCACTGATCAAAAGGATTTTTTTTAAAACAAAAGATGAGATTTTTTTTTAGTACAACTGCATGATCGAATTGGTTTTCCATGTCGGGTGAGTATTTTTAAACAAACTTTGTGTGCTTAGACAAACCTAGGTTCCTTATTTTGAAATTATTTTTTATGATTGATAATCTTCTAAACATCCGGACATATGGAAACTAGTCAAATATTGAAACTAATTAATGGCATAATAAAAATTGAGATTTACTTTTTTTTTCAAACTGGTTCTTCCGAAATACCAGAAAATGTGCAAGTACGGTATACAACCGAATCTTTTATGGATGATTAAAAAAAATATCCGGGTGTGCTCACGAAAATATTACTTCAATTAAATATGTTCAATAGTATTCAAAATGAAGAAGAAAAATAAATTATTTGGTAATATTTAATCACCAGAAAAGTCGGGTTGGAAGACGGGCAGGTCGAGTGGAGTAGCATTACTATATAGTGGCCAAGATGACAGAAAATCACTTCAATTAAACCAAGGAGCTTCAAATAGCTCCTTGATTGACCGATCAAGCCGAAAATGGAAGTAGTGTCGGTTCATCGACATCAAAGTAACCTAATCGCTCTTCTGTGTTCAAACCACTATGTAACGACATTACAAACTGTCATAAAAATTCCACAAATCACCCAATCTGAAAACAATTGAAATTTACCGTTCTGTGAGTAAGACCTTTGATCGGGCCGCCCCTAGTAAACAATAAAACTATCCAACCCATCCTGACCAGTAGTGATTTAGCCGGTTTCTATTCACACAAAAAGTTGTTGCATGTCATTGTTCTCTAGATCTTATTGTAAAATAGAATTCAGTCACACTATTTTCTCACAAGGATTTGCATGCTATGTTTGGAAGATCACGAAATATTGTAAGGTTCCTTAAGTTAAGCGTTCAGGCGATTATTATAGGGTGTATAATTATATCAATCATTCAGCACACTATTTGAACATGATCCGATCGACGGTAAAAAAAAAAATTGTATGCGTGCGAGGCAACAGGAGGAGAGAGCTTCAAGCTGCTGCAGCATCATAGGAATTTAAAAATTACCATTTGATATTGAACAAGATCATCACCTCATATTCGGACAGGGGGTTCTATTGATATCATTTTGCTTTATATGCACCTCAGCTGCGAACTTACTTCATGACCTATACCATCAGAGGCTGTCACAATTAATAACAAAACGTCTCATCATATATTTTGTCACACTCGCTTCCCGCCCCACTTCGTTAACGGAGGGATACCATGCATGTTCCCTCGCTTCGATCGCTTGCGAAATTTTAGAAGCTCGAAAGCTGATATTTTGCAAGATCGAGGTAGAACTGACAAAATTGTATTATATGCCATACAGTTTTTTGTTATCAACGCTAACGAGGAAGATAGAAAGATCAATCATGTTGAAAAGAATTAATGATTAGTATAGACATTTCGTCACCCATCCCCAATATTAAAGTAACTGATCCAGAGCAAAATCATGTGACATTTCTCCAAAGCTCACTTCATCCTAATTTGCCGCTCGCTCGCAATAAATATTCAGACCAATATACACTTACAACTGAAAAGTATAACGCGATAAGAGATGTCTATATAGAACCAGAATGATCCACGACAATGCATCAATTAAAAATGAAAAATCAATATACGGAATGTGATACATTTACGATGTCTCAAAATTATATTTGTCTGCTATGTGGTTACTATGTCTACGTTCCCCTTACCCTCCAAAGTTCCTTTTTTGTTAGAGCCCCTAGCTCCCCACTTTAAAAGACGCTCCTCAGCAAATGCACTAAAACATCATTTTCAGATAGAAAATCCCCAAATGTCATCTACCCTGGGAAAGGGTCAACCCCTCCAAGACACCCCGCCATCCGGTCAAGCTCTCCGCGCCTTCAATGAGGTCCAAAACATGTCTCGGTACACCCCCGCGGCCACCTATACTCAGGGGCGGTCCAGCCGCCAGCAGGGGTGGGGGCCCAATTCGTGAGAAAATATTTAGCGGCGAAACAGCGGGCCGATACTTCGCTCAGTGGAGGGGCGGGGGGCATTTTTTTTTTTTTTTTTTTTTTTTTTGGGGGGGGGGGGGGGGGCCTCGAAAATGTGAAAAATCGCCCCCTTTAGCGCCAAGGGAGGGGCTCATCTCCACAACACAGGGTAAAATAAACGTTTTTTGGGGGGCCCAGGCCCCCCTCCCCCTGGATCCGCCACTGCCCCCAAAGCTAAAAATATTAGAGAAAAAAACAAGTTGTAGGGTGCATGGTCAGGAAAGAATTCAATTAAGGATCACAATAAAAGATGAAGTTTTTTTATGATTGTGATATGATAATTGTGGTGTTGTTAAAGACTCTTCATAGTGATAATGATGATAATAATAATAAAGATGGTGATAATTATCGGATAATGATGATGATGGTATCGGTAATGATAAAAAAGGTGGCGACTGTTGAGTCTATAACTCAGTGATGTCTAAAATAAAGAAAATGATAACAATACAGAGAAAATAATGAAAGCAAAATGAAAAAGGTGATGAAATGGAAGACAACGCGAAGACAGATGATTAGTTATTTCATTAGGATACCAATTAATTTGTATTTTACATATTTATATACTTGTGTAAAATATTTATTTTTTTGCTGCTGTTATTATTTTTTACCATACAGGGCCCCATGGAAGACCACCAAATTGGTGATAATGTTACACCCAGTATAAATACCAAAAATAAATCAATAAATAAACGAGCAGCACGATCGAACAAAACCCGAGATCTCCTTTTTTCTGCTTAAGATACGGCGCCATCTATTGTTACAAACATTGCAGGAACTGATACCTAAGGAAAATAATGGCGACTGTTTACCTACATGTATCTGCTGCCAGGAACTGGAAGAAGGCAATGCCGACGGCGTGTACGCAGGCAAGTTACCCAGCTTCGAAGGTATTCAGAAATAATGTTAAATCATATTTGATTATGCTGTTTATTCAATTAAATATTTTGCATGTTGTAGGTAATGTATGGCTTAATTTTTATGTCTGAGCAAAACTGAGGTGCGAGCTCTTGATCAGTCGATAATGATCGAGACCTTCGGCTCAATCATGTCAACGATCAATGAAGGGTAAGAACGGACCGGTAGTGGACGGGAATGGCATGGGCGAAAAATAAGAGGGGGTGTGTAACTTTTGCTAGATGGGATCAATGTAGCGCCAACTCTTCGATCAATTGTGGATGATAAGTCAACAGATTTACAGAGTGAAATAAGTGTGGAATTGATTAGTGTTCTAACTTGAAAAGTTGAAGGATGAAAATTCACAGACACAGTGATTCCATATGATTCATCATTTAGAAGATGATATTCCGAGTTCTGGCTGTTGATTTTGGGAGACAGGATTATTTTAGCTGTAAGGCCTAAGGGCTTGGAATATGATATTGATATCACAAGGCCTAAATCGGCACCCATACTCATGCTTGAAGAGGCAGGTAAACACTAGGGGTGCAGGTCCGAGAATAAGGATCGTCTTCATAAACGAGGATATCCTCGTAAACGCGGACAAAAAAATAAGAATCGTCAGCATTTTCGCGGAGGATCCTTATTCGCGATCCGCGCATTGGCCATGCGACAAAGGGATTCCGCGATGATGCTCCAAGATGCATGTCTCACTTACGCACTTACGCAGCTCAGAGACTTTCACGTTATGAATAATACTTCCTCGGTCCGGAAGATGGACAACAAGTAGATGGTGAACTTGGGGTATTTTATTACGCAGAATCTGTTTTTCCCATTGCCAGCTTGTGGATCGGTAACACTACATCCGCACGGCGCCAAGACGTCTGTAAAAATGTGGACGATCCTAAATTTTTTAAGGACGCGATTTGTCCGCTTTTACGAGGATATCCTTGATTATGCGGACGATCCTTATTCTTGGCCCAGTGCCCCTAATGGTATAAATATATGTTCGAAATCACCCCTTCCCGCGTCAGATGAACATTTCACACTGGCTTCAGAGTTTGTTAATTGACTCTTCATTCTACTCATTCAAAGCACTTTGAGATCGGTCAAGAATTTAACATAATATGAGGTTTGGAATTGGATACCGTAGTGCAGTGCTGGCAATTTGCTTACCTTCCGCATGTTCCTGATGATATTTAGTTAAGGTTTGATTTACATTCGGTTGAAATGGAAAGATGCGCGATGTACAAAACAAAAATGTTTTACATTGCCAATTTGTTTCCTACTTTACAATGATAGAGAGAGATTAGTGTAAAAAGGGAGTTAGCTAAATTCAGCAAACCCTGTGCATGCCTCTTCGTATACTGAACTAATTGCCATTATCTGTTGGTGTCTGTTAAAATAATGATCCTGGGCGGTGTTTCATAAAGCTGTTTGTAAAGTTATGCATGACTTTACTTTACGAACGACTTGTATATGAAAAGCCAAATGGGATGCTTAATCATTATTAACTGCATCAACTTAAGTTGAACTGTGCAGATGTAGATTAACATTCTTATTATAACAAACATTTTTAATGCAAAGTATATTTTTTGCCATAATTTAATTGAAATTATTGGCAATATCAGGAAAAACTTTGGACATCCTATCTGGCACTTCATATACAAGTCGTTCGTAAAGTCATGCGTAACTTTACGAACAGCTTTATGAAACACCCCCCTGGTATTCTAAAACATGTATAGGAGTAATTTAAAAACTGTTAAAACTTCAAAGGAATTCCTTACTAAAGTCACCAACCATTTAATTCTGCTTCCTAAAATGAGATTGAATTTTTTGTTCAACTTGTAATGTTCAATCACTAAAAATTAATGTTTTTTTAATATTGTTTCTCTCTTTATGAAAACAGATATAGTTCTACAAGTTGCATCACATCAATGGAAATAAGCACAAGGAAAGTAAATATCAACACGCTATTAGAGGCAGTATTAAGATAGGGATTTAAATACATCAGATTTGCCTGACACTAAAATAGTTTCATTAGAAAGAAAACAACTTTGGAGAGACCTATCTGCAGTGAGTGGTAAGCAATGACAATCTTCACTGAATATCTACGTCTGCTCATCAATAGCTACTTATTTGTAAACGGAAAGCACAATTATCACTGTTCCAGAGAATAGGAAAAACCAAGTTTGTCCTTTGCCGCCTTCAGCACATCAGCTGTGACTGATGGTCACCATGACATCAAAAGCAGTGTTTAAGTGTCATCCAAGCTCTCATCACTTTGATGAGAGGCATATAAGACTAACCGAGCCTGTGAAGATTGGCCGCTCGGTGGCAAAGGCTCGCCCGACCCTGGACAATGGAATATTCGACTGCAAGGTCCTCTCCCGTAACCATGCACTCATCTGGTATGACTTTGATCTTTTAAAGGTAAGACTCATATTTTTCTCAGTAACCTGTAGCTGATTATCTGACGTTGTTCACCTTTTCTTTTCTACATTTACTGTTCCATATTCATTTTTACTCTGGGCATCATTTCACGAAGCTGTCGTAACTGGAAGTTCACTGACATCCCATTGAAACGTCTGCTGAGTATAATACACGCCTTTCAATGGGATTTCGGCGAACTTGTACTTTCTTGTAATACTGCCCTAGATGAAATAGTGGTTACATTAATGTGAATATAGTTCTGTGTTCCTACAGATATGTACAATGTAACTGTTAATTAAGCTGCACATTTGAAAAATTAACATCATAATAATATAACCCTTGCCTGACTGAACATCTACAGCTGTAATGTACATCTGAGGTCCATGTAAATTACCTTCATTTACATTGTACAATGAGAAAGGTAATACATGTAGTATTGTGGCATGAGGATCAGTCACATAATTGCTTGTTAATTACCCATGAAGGTGATTAATGACCAGGGCCCCATTTCACAAAACTTGTCATCAGTAACAATTGACAAATAACAGTTTTTGTTATAAGCTAGTGAAATCCTTGCCTTTGATTGGTTATCAGCAGATTTGTCACTAATTTTTGACATTTGTCATTAAAAAAAAGGCTTTGTGAAACGGGTCCCAGATGTAACCAGTGTATCTATTAGGTGATTGATCCATCCATAGTAACCTGCATGTATACATGTACATACATATTGGATGATTACTTTTAATCTAAGCATATTATACTTAGTATATGATTACAATATGATGTTAGTTATAATGCTCAGTTGAGAAAGTACTACTAAATTTGCATAGAAGTACTGTACATGGGTATTTGCGTGATATTTGTAAACTATGGGTAATGTAGAATTTATGTTTACCGGTAGTGTCCATTAGTTGGCATCCATCCCACAATAAAGTGTGTTTTATGAATAATAATAATAATAGCTCACATTTATAATGCTCCTAATACTTTGTTCATTATATATTATTACCCCCGTCATCAGATTCAGGCTTACCCGCAACACAATGTACATGTATTGTATGCACATTTTCCACTCCCTGAGGAGCCCTACATTCCAGTCGCCATTTTACAAGCGCCACTTGCTAATCCAACCACATTAACTTTTGCATCCTACCGTTACCCATTTAACACCTGGGTGGACAGTGGCAAATGTAGATCAATGTCTTGCCAAAGGACATTAGTGCCACGGCGGAAGTTGAACCACAGACCTTGTGATCCACACTCCGGTGACATATCCACTCTACCACGACACCTCTCTCTAATGAAGTGGATGTATGATCGACACTCTTAATGTCATAATCCTAGATTTACCTTGCTTTTCCTTCCTCTCTCAACAGTTCTTCTTACAAGACACAAAGAGTAGCAATGGAACCTTTGTCAATAACAATCGCCTTAGCAGAGGGTCAGAGGAAAGCCCTGCCCATGAGATCTGTTCTGGAGACATCATCCAGTTTGGAGTGGATGTCATGGAAAACTCCAGGAGAGGAGTCGGTAAGTCACTCATATTAATTTCACTTTATAGCGAGAAGACATGTTCAAACTTCCTTTGACATTCATCTGAATGATAGTTAAGGTAACATTTAGCATAGTCAAAGTACATGTATATTAGTTGCACATTGTAGTACGAGCTCAAAATCCTTACGATGTGGTTCTACCCTACATGTATGTGATGAAAATATGATGTTATGTATTTGCGTTCCTGATGCATCTTGTCATTCTACTGCACTTGACTTAGCTAATATAAGAATGTACCTGTAAGTACTTTAACGTCAAATTGTAATAAAAGCTCTGGTATTCCTATGGTATTAGGAGTATTTAAAAAAAAAAAAAAAAAAAATTGCATTGAGCTGAAAGGTACACTGTAGCTTTGGTAATCTCAATAAGAGCTTCAATACCGGGGTAATAGAAAAGAAATAATTAACAATTGCCGAAGGGAATCTCCTTATTTTTGGATGTCTGTGGGTGATTGGTGAGGGTGTTCTGTGAACATCAAAAGAGCCTACGGTAAATAAAGAATTTATGAAACTTAGAAATGAATTCATGCATGGGTAACAATATTATATGGTATAATGCATTGGGAAGTTAGTCTTTGTTACTGGATGAAAAAATGTCTGATCCCCAATTAAAGTGCGGTTTCTGAATATTTGGTGTTGGTTTCAATGAGCTTAATCATTATGAATCGTAATCAATATGTTTTTATGCCCTACTCATTTCACAGAGTTATACAGTCTTTGACGATTACACTGATATGCAATTATGCATGAATCAATAATGGGAAAAAAAGACATATTTACATGTACAAGTAGTATTGAAATTATTTGTAAATTGTAGTTTTTATTCAATTCAAATGAACCTGCATTTGCAGGCTATAGTGTGTTTATATTATGATTTTAATCAGTACACTAATGTGCAATAATCATGATCCTTGCTTGTAAACAGTTTTTGAATTTTCATTTTATAAACTAAAGTAATACTTGTATACATGTATACATTTTTTGATTTATGTACAATATGCAGTTTATTTTACTACGCATAATAAACATTACATTACTGTCCAATTTACACTTTCAAGACACAGTACATGAAATTGTGTCTAGATGTTAATAAAACAAACAATGAATGTATACCGGTACTCTCCTGGGCGTCATTTCATGAAACCGTCACAATGTACAGTTCTTCACCATCCCATTGAAATGCATGTTTAATAATTCTAATGTACACATTTCAATGGGCAAACTTGTATTTATGCTGGTTTTTTCAAACAATGCCTTGGCCTCTGTATTTTCTATCTCTCTGACATACAAAGATATGACATTGTGGCTAGATAGGTCATTTTGATACACTTTTTAGTAAGTGCTCTACTCAGTATAGCACATAGTGCATGTGCATGTAGTACAGTTATCCCATTCTTGATATAACCATTTATGACATGTTTCAAACCTCAGATTGGCTATTAAAAATGGTAGTTTTCATTTAAACCTAAGAGTTTTAAAAGGTTTGCTTATACATTTAAATGACAAGTATATTTTTCTATACAGATTTTTATAGCTCTCAAATTCTTGCAATTGCTACACTGCATCTGCATTTACAATGTACATGTACATTGGGCAATAAAGGTGTACATGTCCTTAACTTACGTTGGTGCAGCACTGAACATTTATAAGTTGAACTTACAAAAATTTACAATCTAGCCATCTAGGGGCACTACAAATGTAAATCAGAATAATTATTCCACATGCAAATCCTGAGTTATACAACAGTTATCAAGCCTGGCCTGGGAATTTGGATATCTTCTACAGGAATTAACCGTAAAATGCCACACAGAACGCAGATCCCTCGCAGGGAAGAACCCTGCATGATATTAATTGAGAATTTTCAAATTCACAATGACATAAATTGCTTGGGAAAGATGAGAGGTTGCACTTTTGTCATTTCAGTGGCTTCAAGTTCAAAGGATGTACATGTATGTATGTTTATGCCCCACTACCTGCATACATGTGTTCATGCATGCATGATGCAAAACATATCTCGATGCATACATGTACTGTACATGTATGTGTATGATAAGTGTTGGTAGTATTGAGAGTTCACCTGTAGTATCTACGAACCTTTGATTTGCCCTGAGAAAGGAGTCACTTCCCATTCAGTTGATATGAAGAGTATGACTCAGCCTAGTACAGTCCAGCTGTGCTCCTACATATGTAATTTCATTCTTACAGAGGAATGCAATCATTCAAAAGTAATTTTTGTAATGGAGGTAATATTCATTCTTGTGTATGTTTGTATCATACCAAACAAGATTCAGGCATTTTTGTGTCAGCTTCCTGGTATACCGGTAGAACATGCTCCTGTGATAATTGCTCTGGTAATTTCCTACAGTAACCACATTCTTGACATCAACCCTGGATCCAACACTGTACCGAATTCTAATCTTAAACCAAACCTAAAACACAATAGGCTACTTTTTAAATATAATCAAATTTAATGCACAAATATTGTTAAGTGCCTTGTTACAATCTATTTTTATTACAAATAGTTGTATTTAGATAGTCAGAAAGCAAATTGCATCCATTTTGTTTTGTAATATAGGATGATTATTAGGATCAGCTATAATGTTTATCCTACCTAGCAACAATTAATGTATGCAATTTGCATTCTGACTATTGAAATAATTTGTAACATGGCACATTGGTACTTAACAAAGATTTATTTATCAAATGTGATTACATTACAAAGATGGTCTATTGCAACCCTATGCTTTGACAAAATGAAGCCTGAAGCAATTGTTTCTGGAGCAGATGTTGGATAACTTGAGAACTTGGATAGCTTTGGTAAATGATCGCTCTTCAACAACTGCACAATGCCATCTGACAGGAAATATTTCACCTGTTTGAATGAACAAAAATAGTCCTGATTATATACGTCTGTGTGTTATGTACATGGCTTCATTTGCATGCAGACCTTTTTGGATTGAACTTTGTAGGGCCTGGATGGAAGAGCAGATTGAGCCCAAGCCAATGCTAAATGTTTGAAATTTTGGGGATAGTAAAACTTACATGTTAGGCAGCCATGTGCTCCAGGTGCGTGATAGGTATCAAGCCCTGATTCAATGTCGTTAATCAATATTTATAAAGGTTTTGGCCCTTGGGGAAAACTTTCAATTAATTTTAATCAAATGATTAAAAGTTTCTAAAATGAAAAAGTAGCATTAGGTTTTTATTTGAGCTGATATCATACCCAGTACCATAATAAAAATGCCATAGTTTTTCTATTTTTTACTCTACACTTTACCAATGATTAAAGAAAACAAATTTTGACATTTCCAATATCAGGGGAATTGTCATTGTTTGATTTGAAATATGTTTTGGTGAAACTAATTTGCATATACCGGTAGTTGTCCCAGAAGACTCCCAATTTTGTTCTACATGTACATGTAACATCCATGATTCCTATCTGTACATTTTGCTTCCTTATAATTGGTTTGAAAATAACACCAACACAAGTGTATCATATTTATCATTTCCATTCTTAATCAAAGATTATTACTTGTTATTTTCAGTTACCCATGGATGTATTGTAGCTCAACTATCACTTTTCCACCAAGACGGCACAGAGGCAACAAGAAGGTAAGAATTTGTTTTGATTTCTGTACTTAATTGGTTACAATCACTTTTATTTTGAGTTCAATTTAGTCTAGTTGTGAACTTTTGTTTAATTTTGACTACCGGTAGGCCCATAACCCTCCGGTGTGTCGCCCTAGTAGATACACCTAGCATGACCAACATTTACTTGTATTCTGAGATAAAGGAATTGTAGGGATTTACTAAAAAAAAGAGGGGTTATAGTAATTTTTTAGACAATTAACAAGCAAATGTTCACATTTGTAGATTTTTACAAGCTTGGTAAGTCTTGTTGTAAAACAAAATTTTCTACGTACTGTACATGTACAGTATCTACAGTACATGACTTGTATGATATATTTTAAAGTATTAAAATTCATATACCGGTATGCAAAGTACTCCATTGAAGTATTTACTTTTCTATTCAAAATATAACAAATGCCTATAATCAGAATATTTATAATTAATATGAATTATAAAATATGGGAAAAATTAAATTGCTGAAATATTTCATTTTGCATTGGGTGAAATCTCTTTGAAAATGCATGTTTTGAAATTTGTTTGTAACATCTTTTTAAAATACGGTACATGTTGCTAATGTAAACCGATACACACGTAAATAATAATATTTAATTTTCATATAGCGCTTAATACAAATGTCTCTAAGCGCTTTACAAATATACTATTACGTACAGTGTAGTTCCAAGATATGCAAACCATTTTGTGGTCTGGAAGAAATTAAATTGTACCAATCACCTAAAAAATAATCTATGTAAAGCTAGAATGTATAAAATTAACCGCATAGAATTCTGGAATTCTATTGAATTATCTTACAGCTTTGTACTTTTAATGACAGAAAGTAATGCTCCATAGATCTACCAAGAGCTAAAGTGGCAGATAAAGGAACAGATAGTCATTACATGACAATATACCATTGGTCAGAGTGTGTACAGATCTGGATGTCTATAATTAGAAAATTACATCATACTTGTGTATTTTACCATAGGTGTTGAACTTCCCGTTTCCATTTTCAATTGAGAGAAACTAAAGTACAGAGGCAATGTTTATGTTGCATTTGTGAACATTGTAAAGAACTGAAATGTTTCATACATGTATATCGTTCAACCTCATTTCAGAAATTGTAATCTTTTGTGTACATGTAGGAACATTACAATGTAGAGCTCTCTACATGTATGACTTGCATGGTTTGCAAAGTGCAGAACCTACTTGTTGACTGGAGCCGTACGAGTTGTTAAATAGGAACTCAATACTTGGTGTCTTGCTTCCTTGTAATGCAACACTGCACACAGTGTCAGTCAGACAGACACAGTACAACGTCCTAGTCTGCACGCACAGACTTTAATTTGACATTTGAACACAGTTCCATAAAGCTTTGAGCAGAGCCTAACTTGGTCAGTCACTGATTGTGTCTGGAGTAGTTGTAGTATGGAGCCTATGGGGTGCAGTAGACCATGCAGTCTGCCTAGTCTCATGGATCAGACACGCTGTCACACACTACAATTGACAAATGTTTGTGCCTGCAAACTAGTATCATACCACAAAGGTATCATAGTCTCGCAATGTGCAGGCGATCTGGTTATCTATGCAAGTAGAAGGCGTGAACATGCACAGTGAGGGGGATGCATTTTTGGTGCATGAGTGTTTTAATAATTGCACTGTTATACCAAATATTAGATACAATGTTGTTATGCTTCATACAAGATTAGTGTTTATGTACATGTACAAACACATGTAGGCCTTGACCGGGCAAATCGTGGGCTTATTCCAGGGAAAAAAAATACTTTAACATTTTCGGGGGCTACTTTTCAAGCTTGCTTGCATGAAAATAACACTCTTTAATTTGTTTTGCAATTAACATTATGCAAATTTGGGGGGCTCATTTATGACTTTCGGGGGCTCTTTGGGGCATATCGGGGGCTAATTTCCCCCGAGCCCCCGTGTATTTTTTTCACTGGCTTATTCGGAAACCAAAAAAGCATAATTAACTGACAAAAAAAAAAAAAATCAATAATGAAGATGGAAATGTACATGAAGTTTAGAAGTACTCTTGCATTTCCTCCATAACCATGCAAATCTTTTTGTATACTTTCTTGAATAAAGTTATAGAATTCATGTGTATGCACAAGTAAATTCATTTATTGTGTATAAATTTACAATTAGTGATGTGAAGGAGAAAGTGTAGACAAGCCTGCTGGTTAAAATAGATTCTGAAATATCTTATAATTATATTCATGATTTTAGTCATGTGATTTGTATGATCACGATTTATGTACAGTATGTGAAGATTAGTTTGCACTTTATGATTGACATGATGAAACACAAAGTATAGTTCTACATGTCACAAAATCTCTGGGCCACATTGACGGTTTAGTTTAACAAAGGATTTCTCATGAATATTGTAGCAGAACCATTGACCTTTGTTTCTGAAAAAACATAAATGGCTCCTAATTGATGCATTATAGAGATAAAAACCGTTTACTCTAACCCATACGTGTAAATATACAAGGACATCGTTATAATGATACCAGCAAATATGATGAGACATAGTAGATGTGGCATGCAAATGAAGGCTTATGTGTAGGCCTACATGTTAAAGGCAATGTCAACCATGCAAACCTTGAAAACCTTGAAAAAAGAATGCGCAAGAGAGACGGGATACACACAAGATGTATTCCAAATTGGGCTACTTGATGAAGCAATTTATTATTTATGGGTGCTTAAATATACTTTTAAATACAAGGCTACTTTTTCCATCAAGATTGCAATCTTGAGTCAGATAATGCAAGTACTGAAGCCTTTGTGTAGTATAGATTTATATATGAATGTCTTGAAAGAATCATGAAAATATAATACCCGTACCTGTATTGATCTGTCATGTGAATTGGCCTACATTTAGGCTACATGTGTATGTGTTTGGACACTGAACCAATCACCTAAGAATATGAATTGTGTACAGCTACATGTATATTATGTACGGTATTCGTTTTCTATTTTAGAATATTGCATATATCTTTTTGCTCCTTTTAAAACCAAATAGTATATGCTGTACATGAAGAAAAAAATTGACATACATACATGTATACCATGAAAACCCTGTATACAGAACCCAAGTCGGACATGGGTTCTGTGTACAGGGAGCAGATTGGTGTATTTGTGCTAGCTTGCAAGATGGATGGTTTGTTTTGCTCCAATTCTTATTTGTATACTAAAACTAGAGTAAAAGAAGCCAAGGTCTTCTATATGTACATGTACATGAGTAAGATCAAAGTGAAGGTATCCTAGGTGGGATGTGTTGTGTACAGTACACGTACATGTATGATGGCCATAGGAGACTTGTAAACGATCTGCACAGTGATACATTTCCCTATCTACACCCGTATGTACAAAGCAAATTATAAAGGAACAGTCTTTCTATTATGCTCGTTCTGCTTTCACAATTTGATATGACTTTAACTTGGCTCGAAGGCAGTGGACCATGTACCACTTTATTTTATGCTGTATTGCAGAAGTATCCTGTTTTTGTTTTTAGTGTCAAAATTATTTGGCTCGTTTAATTTTAAAGGGAACATCAGTCGTCCAGTGACAACATTAAAATACAAACTGTTACTAAAGCCCTGGAATGTGTTTGATAAATTTACTTTCATTTTAATGCTCTTTCACTTATTTGATGGAAGTACTTGTAGTCAAAACTGAGTCAATTTATAAATTTGGTGGTATGGTCATTTTACTTAATCACTTGTGAGTTATCATACTTTAACAGTATATGATGTACACATGTATTAATGTAAATCGATACATTTTTATTTATATACATTTATGTTATGTAGTTTACACAGAAAAAAGAAAGAAAAATATAGCAAATGATGTAATTGTCTTATTTCTTTGCAGTGATTCTAGCTTGGTTGTGCCACCAGGTTTTAATGGTCAGTCAGTACAAGGCAACAACAATGTTCCATCTCAAGAACTCTACCAACTATCCCACTACCTCAAGGTAAGTCCCTACCTCTCTTACATTGTATACACTTAAGTCATTCAAACAAATATACATGTTTCGTGTCCCCGCCCGCTTCCTTTTGGGGGCCACCTCCTATTTTTTTTATTCTTTCTTTTTTTTAATTAATTTTTTTAAAGAAAAAAAACATGAAAAACACTGCTAAAATGAATCTATTTCTTATTAAAAAAGGGGCCTCCTCCTTCCTATTTTTCAAAAAAGCAGGACGCTAAACATGTTTTTTATTTTATTTGGCCTTACATCCATGGTTGTATAGGCTTTTCAATTTTGATATTTTCAACTTGGGATTAATGTAAATTAACCCAGACTCTATATCATTGCTTTACTCTCTTGAATTTTTATTTGATTATTTACATCACTAGTTACTAACTCCATACTGTTTGGATTTCTGTTCTCTTTTCAGCGCCTAGCGCCAAAATTATATTCTTAGCCCTGAAAAAGTATGGCAACAATGCATTATGCAAGGTCCAAATAATCTTCTACTATCGCTTGAGCTATCCCACTTTGGTATATTAGTCAAGTGTAAAAACAAATTGGTCTATTAATAGCTTAACCCTATACTATTGTGATGGCTATGTCACTCCAACCCCATAGCCCTACCAATACTTTCAAGAGTAAAATTTTGCTGGTCAAGTATCATACTTAGCAAATCTATGCATGCAAGATGAATTGAGATATGAATGACTCAAACCCACTTATCCTCAGAATCTCCTGGAAAACAAAGAATGCAGAAACAAGACGGGATGATTTGATATAGGCCACCTGATATTAGATTGAACTCATTCCAGTAATCTCTTGACCCACCCACCCACATTTCTTATTATATCTCGGATGAAAGAATTGGTTGGTTTGTGAAAATCCACCGAGCAAATACAATCTGAGTTTATGAGGACTATTGATAGTGATGTGTAGTCGTACCCAGTGGATAGAAATACATGGGAGCAGTGAGGGATATAGAGCTGGATATTTGATTAAAGAGAGACCTCTCGAAAATAAAAAAAAGATACTTATCATTGCTCCAAAATATCACTATAATTACATACAAATGTTTATATTTAGCAAATCTAGATTGAGCTCCTCCTTGATCATCTACGATCTCATCTAGGTAAAGAAATCCAGTTACAAACTTACATATAATGTCCAATAACCATGTAACTCAAGATTATTTCTTTCCAATCGTTGAAAGAACACTTAAAGTAATCAAAAAGCAAGGAGGAATTAAGGGACAAAAAATTACCCTAGTGAATGTAATTTTGATGTGCAGTGTTATTGGGAAGGGTGCCAACAGGAAGACATTCTTTAGCCTTATGACATTGGCTCAAAGTTATATTTGGTCCCTAGTACTGTTTTCACACTGGCAAAATTATGCTTAACCCCGTACTATAGGTGGGGTTAAGGGGGGGGGGGGGGTCTTAGCCCCACCTATAGTACGGGGTTAAGCCTATTCCACTTTCTGTTCAGACTCGTATTTACCAAAGTGGGCTAACCCCACCTATAGTACAGGGTTAACTAACCCTGCAAATAGCAGGGCTAACTCCGCAATTGTGGTGCTAACTCCTGCTAACCCCGCTATTGCGGTGCCAAGCAAATGAATGAGAACAGAAACAAAAAAATAGTCCGGTACTATGCAATGGAGCGTATCGCAGCTGGCTAGATGCGATGTAAGGAGCCCACTGTCTAATCATATAGTCCGGGGCTTAGAATTGCAGTGAGAACAGAATAAATTTTCTTATTCTGGAATAGGCGCTAGTACAGGACTAAAAACAGCGTGTGTGAAAAGCCAAAAAAAATAGTCCGGGGTTAAGGATAGTACGGGGCTAAGCAAAACCAGTGTGAAAAGAGTATAGCTTGGTTGCTTTAACTTTTTTGTTTGGGGGGGGGGGGGGGGGGGGAGGGAGGGAGGGAGGGAGGGGGGAGTATAAATTAAGACTTCTTTTAAAATCACTCAGCAGGATGATGTCACAAACAAACCCATTAAAAAACAATGCTTATTTAAGATATCATGTGTATGTGAGGGTCTGTTGCACTAGAAACCTCTCACATAGTGCATTTATTACTTTTGTCTTTGGAAGGGCTACTTTTTACATACAGGTACATGTAGCTATTTGTGTCTAGTTTAGTAGTCTGTATGCTGTGTGGCGTTGATAGAAAGTGGAGTGCTTTGCCAATAAACACTAGAGAACACGTTCACAAAGTGGGAGAGGCGGGGGTAGGGGTACTCCGAGGGAAAATGGTGAAATATGAGAAAGACTTTCCGACACATGTAGGGGCCTCCATGTATCCAAGAACCACTAAAAATCTCTTATTTTTTAATTTTTATCAACAAAAAAAAAACCCCAGATGTTCACATTTGTTCACGATCATTTCCAGAATGTGAAGACAATTCCAATGCAAAGTACAGTAATCCTTTAACCTGTGTTGACACTTGTGTCCGTGGCAAACTCTAAAAGATATGTACGTGTATACCCTACCTGCTTGTACATGTACATTGTTGTTTACAGTTGGTTGCACCGTGGTTGCACTAAAATGTATCAAATGCCATTCAACGGTAGGGTAGGTTTGTAGTGAGGTGTAATTAAGTAATGTACCGGTACTCTGCAGGATTAACATGTAACTGAAATTGGAATTGCATGTATTGCTGGATTAATGATATATTCATTACATCGCACAAATGAGATCAGGGGGGTGTTTCACAAAGATCCTAAGTAGAACTTAACACTAAGTTGGACTTAAAAATTATGGACAGCCATTGGAGCCTTTAAATGAAATATATTCAAAAGCAGAAATTCAAGTATTTTAGACTTTTTATAAATTCCACATCAAGAACATAGAATCTCCCATGATAATAGAAAATATGAATGATTTGAATCAACATTTTATGTCTTTTAAAATAACTTTTACAAAATGTTTTCAAGGATGCTAATGGCTTTCCATAATTTTTAAGTCCAACTTAGAGATAAGTTCAACTTAGGATCTTTGTGAAACACCCCCCAGGAGTTTTAGCGGCCTGTGGGTGTTGATTTAATGTAATTTTTATGCAAACTATATTATGCTTGTGAAATATGGGATTACAGGCAAAATGCTAGTTGCTCGTCTAAATTTCCAAGAACAGTATAAATGCACACCTACATGTAAAGGTAATGAGGCATGGCTGGGGAAGAATTAATATTCAATGAATTCAATTATCACAGTGCTACATGCAGAGGAGGATGAAATACAATTGGGTCACTGAATTACATAGCATTTAATATTGCTGCAATTTGATGGTAGAACTGATCCATTTCTCAGTAAATTTCTTTGATTAATCAGTTTAAATTTTTTAGATCTTGTGAACGGTTTCTCAATTTACAGTTAACTACACAATTCATACCCTTACCAAGTGTGGTAAGTTTGTAAGCTTGTAAAAAATTGATGAGTCCTGACTCCCGATTTATGTTTCTTGAGAATGTGATATATTAAAGCTTCCATCTGAAGTATTCAACAAAGGCCTAGTTCAACCAATCCCCCCTCATTCTTGAGTTACAAAATGCAGACAATAATATCAAATTTACAAGGGGTATGAATAATTCAGTTCAGTTCTACCACAACATGCATCCTATTTTGACATAATTGCTCCTTGTGATCATATTATGCTACAAACTGAACAACATATGATATTTCATCAATGAATGAATCAAACTGGAATGCTTTTAATGGACATGTGGTGTTTGACTTGAATAATTTTGATATACAAACTGTATGTCAGTAAACACTTTACAAGCATGACTGTTTGGAATGTAAACTGCTGTGACCTTTATGACTTTGTATTCAGAGGCACATTCATTCTAATGCTACAGTGGAACTTTGATTTGAACTTTTTGTTTTCATCTGTACTGTACGTGCAAAATATGGTCCTCAGCTTGCACTACACTAAAAATTTGACACACTATATTTACCACAATAAATCAATGTATCTACCTATTATTTGCTAATTTATCCAAACTACGCCACCTTCGAGAAAACTCTAAAAAGTCACAATCGCGCATGCCCCACCCCCGTACATCACCTTCACGTGCGCATCGCACGCCCGCCATTCATCTTTCTATAAAAAAAATTATGGAAGCCCCTTTTGGATCTTCTTAAGTACAAGTAAGGTTTAATCTGTTAGTTCTTATGAATTTTAGAAAATGCTTTTCAAAAATTTGTTATAGTTGTATGTTTATGGATTATGTAAACATATTGATCAACCACTACAGGAAAACCTTACAATACACAATTATTATAATATACTACAAACTACTAATAAATTATAAAAGGTATCTTTCACAATACATTTCTCGCTATCGCGACTATGGTATTTGGCCGTGGAGGGCAGCACCAGCCATGGGTATATTTGGCAAAGGCACTTCCGGTTCCCATACAAATATAATGGGTTGAGGACTGGAAAGTGATAGAAATTAGTTTTTTGGAACCAATAAACTATAGTAACAGATTATGATGGTGCCTCTATAGACCTCATCAAATCATTGAGGGAGTTCATGAAACCTGAACAAAAGTTAAGTAAAATAAGGAATTAGTGGACACCGCTGTACATTCTATATGGATCTCTATGTATCTCGGCAATGTGCTGACCTGTGCAGTTTTGGAGGTTGATCGACATTTACTGGCAAACATTGTATTTGTGGTAGAATCGATTCCATGGCCAGTACTCAACCATATCTTTCTCTGATTGACCTCTACAGGAAGCACTTCATAGAGAACAGATGCTGGAGCAGAAGCTGGTTGCGCTACAGAGATTGGTATCGTCTACGCAGGAGGCAACTGACAGTAGCTGGCAGGCTCTCATTGATGAGGATAGGTTACTCTCCAGGCTAGAGGTGGTAGAGAATCAACTCAGGGCTTACTCTAAGGTATCTTGCATCAAATCTTTCATTAATACAGTATGCCTAAAATTCAGTGAAACCAGTAGAAACAGATTTTGTTATTTAAAGATGGACAAGAAATTTAGTTTATATTTGTTACTTTGATAAACGTTTCAGTGACAAACCCTTTTCATTGGAACACAAAATGTGATCTTTATAGACATGTGGACACTATAGCAGGTTTCTCCATATTTTTGTATTAAAAAGTCTTTTAATTATTTTAATTCATTAATAAATATAATTTTAATTCAGTTACAGTATGTAATCTACATTTTTATTGGAAGGGTGTTTCATATTACCCACTCTATCACTTTTTTGTTTGATATTCGTTTTGAGTATGTTTAACAAATACATGTTTTACAATTAATTTTATGCAAACAATTCTATCATAACGACTTAATCCAATCATTTTCATGCAGGTTTAATTCCATATTATACCTGCAAACATTGTGATTATTGTTTAAAAATATGGTGGACATAGCATATATATTTCATAATGCCAGTCTCTATTTCAAGTGACAGAGGAGCATCCATTACAAATGCCTTGTACAATCACAATCAAAAAATTCCATTAGGTATGTCTTCTTTTTTTAAAATTGATTGAATTTTTTTTTTTTTACATCAATGCCTTATGATAGATAAGTGAAATTTATGGAACCTCGAAATATGAGTGCCAGCTATTGATTTAATGCCCTTCTGGCTACAGTCAGACAATATTTTGTGTAGGTCTATACTTGTTTGCAGAATAGTCATGGCATTTTAGTTCGTATTCTGTGAGGTCTGTCTTATTCATTCTCTAAATTGGACTCTCTGTTGACTCGATACAGGCAAACACAGAAGAGAGCATAAGGAAGGAACTTATAGCACTACAAGAAGACAAGTCCAACTATGAAAAGACTGTCAAAGATTCATTGAAGAAGGCTCTCGAGGAAAAGCTAGAAGCATGCAGGAAAGTAGCAGATACAGAGGTAAGAATGTTATATTCATTAAATGATAATAAACTCATTGAATGAAGGTATTATTTGTTGCTAGATACTTTAGTATTGTTCAGTGAAATAATGGTTTGCTGTTTACAAGTGGAATTTTCAGGTTGTGTATATGCTGTGGTAACCTTCGGCTTGTCAAATTGAGATTGGTATTGCAACCAAAACAAGTTGCCTAGTGTTTTCAAATACATTATGCTATTTTCTCAAATGTTTACCCACTTTGTTGCTCAATATTTACAACTTTTACAATTTTCGACCCATTCAAAATAAAGGTTTAAACAAAAAAGTGTTTTCAAAAGTATATAGGCCTCATACTTCTTGAAGTTTAGCTTGATTGTTTGTGGATTGCTTTTCTTGCCTATACAGCGTATGCTGAGCAACTCGGAAGACGAGTGTGCACACGTAAGGGAGGAGCTGGAGAACCTGAAGCAGGAACAAGACATGCTCCTGGAGAAGTATTCCCAGCTGGAGAAGGACAGCCAGGAGCTGCTGCAGAAGATGAATGAGACAGACCGGCTCAACGAGGAGGAGCTGGAGAGGATGAAGGAGGAGCAGAACGAGGTCCAGGGTAGGCTCATTGCCCTGCAGATGACGGAGAGTGCTCTGGGGGCCAGGGCAGAGGAGCTCCAGGCGGAGAATGACTTCATCAAGGACCAACTCCTCTCAACCAAAGGTAGGAGGAGTCAGTCATGGAGAGGTGGTCTGTGGTATATAGGAAGATACGAACTATCATCAAGAAAAAAATGAGAGAGAGAGGGAGAGAGAGAGAGAGAGAGACACATGCACACACACACACAGACAGAGAGGGGAGAGAGAAGGAAAAAAAAGAGAAAGAGATTTAGAGAGAGCGGCAGCATACAGAGATAGACAGACACAGATAGATAGTGAGAGGGAGCCATATTAAAAGGTAGACAGAGAAATTGGCATGGTTTTCTTGTTATGAACAAACTGGATTTAAATAGTGTGATGTTACACTCTACAACATTTTTTCCCCAAGCTAAGTGTATTTTAGTGAATCCAATGAGTCCAATCCTAAACCTGTCCTATATTATGTTGATATCTCTAGAACGTCTTGAGGAAGCGCAGGAAGCTCTGAAGCGAGTCGGTAGCTCACAGACAGAAGCTGATGTAAGTGATCAAGACCAGGAGGAGAAGGAGGAGGATGAAAAAGAAGCTCCGTCAGAGGAAGATAAAGAAGGGGAACCAGCTAAACGTAAAGCAGGTATGTATGAGATCTAACATTTATCATGTTAAATCTAGTAGGCAAGGTCCTTTTTCTGTAGTTTTCCTTCCCTGACTTTATCATTCAAAATCTGCTGTAAAAGTTTTGAGTGAAGGTTAGTTTCTCCCATTGAAAACTTCACTCAGAACAAGTCAAATATGATTCCTTTCCAAGTTAATTAGATGCTCTGAAATGTTCAAGTTTGGAATTGAATATATAACTATTACTAGTGATCAAGTGAGTAAATCAAAAAGTTTGTGTATAGTTGCTCAGTTTATGATTTGTTTTCATGTGCATCTCATTTGAAAACATGATCAAAGCTGTCATGTAACAACATCAATATTTTCATTTCCATGATGTGGCCATTCCTTGCATCAAGAGTAAATACTGACAAGGCACCATTATTATTTAAAACATTTTTTGATTTCCTTCACAAAAACAAAATGATCATGTCTTGAAATTTATAATTGCAATGTTATGTAGGAAGGAGGCAATATTCCCTTAACTAAAAGCATGGGGCTTGCAGTTTGATCGCCATAACGAAATGTAAATCTGATACATACAAACTACATAATAATCATGATCTACATAAAATATCCACACACAAAAAAAAATGATACAAATTTAACTACTTCTTACTTTAAATGCATAAACGTGTTTACAATATGACTTATGCTTTGGTAGAAGTCATTGGAAATAAAACTGCAGTTGATCATGTTTATGAATGGATTTATACATGTTGACTGACTTCTTTTCCATGTCCAGGGCCTGGGGAAGGTGATGAGATTCCGGTGCATCATATATCCTTATTAACGAACGGTGATGACAGGACGCCTACACGAGAGTCTGGTGTTCAGGTGGAGTCCTTGTGGAGGGAGGCAACTAAAAAGGAAATGAATGGCAGGGTTACAGATACAACAGGTTAGTTTATCGGTCTTTACCCTGCAACATTGTGACAGTTTAGGCCCATTCAGAGATGAGATGTTAGACTGACTTTAAAACGAGAGAGACAGAGAGAGAGAGACAGAAAATAAAAATAGCAGCAAAAAACTAACCCCCCAAACAACTACAACAATTTAAGAAATTATTAATAATGAAAAAAGAACAAGATGCATCTGATGCACTCTGTATGTTTCCATCTGATAATACATGAAGCATTAATTGTGCATAATAGAGGCTTCTTGCGATCCACTTACATGCATAGTTTTCCACAGTGGTTTTTTATGCCTCCGCTAGAAAGTAGCCGGAGGCATTATGTTTTGGGGTTGTCCGTCCGTACATACGTCCGTACGTCCCGTTCTAGTGATCGCGTTATCTCAAGAACCAATTGATGGATTCCCGCCAAACTTGGTCATGTATGTTTCTTGCAGAGCCAATGAACTGATAAGATTTTGGGGTCGCGAGATCCAAGGTCAAAGGTCACAGGGCTCATTATATATGCAAAAATAGCTCGTGATCGCTTTATCTCAAGAACCCATTGATGGATTCCCGCCAAACTTGGTTTATGTATGTATCTTGCAGAGCCAATGAACTGATTAGATTTTGGGGTCGCGAGATCCAAGGTCAAAGGTCACAGGACTCATTATGTATGCAAAAATAGCTTGTGATCGCGTTATCTCAAGAACCCATTGATGGATTCTCGCCAAACTTGGGTTATGTATTTATCTTGCAGAGCCAATGAACTGATTAAATTTGGGGGTAACGAGGTCAAAGGTCACAGGGCTCATTATGTATGCAAAAATAGCTAGCTTCTGTTTTGGTTTGCAAAATTGCTCCATGGCGGAGACATCATTTTCGACTGCGCGCGGTCGAAGGTCCATCTAGTTTAAATCTGAACAGGGCTTTAATGAATTGAAATTCTGATGGGTATGTATAAAAAAGTATCTCAAAATATATTCTGACTGTAGGTTTAAATCATCTAGTACCTTTTTACCATTTATGGGAGAAGGCCAGATTATAGAACTTTTCTATCCTTCTCAGAATTGTATTTCTAGCTGTTGCCCTATTCTTCAAGTAATTCTCTAGTCACCTTGTGAATGTTCATGTTCTTTTTAGAAGTAGACTGGTATGAGAAGTCTCATTTTAGTTGTGTCACGCATGTATGGTACCTGAAACACATCAAGGGATGGTTTTCAGAACTTCCATATATGTCATACAATATAGGCCCTCATGAAGCCCTGTTTGGTTTCCTCTTTTGATTGCTTCCTGAACCTCTAAATTCAAGCACACTCTATCTCTGTCTATTTCTACCACTTCCTTGATTGGCCTAAAGGTGAATATTAACAGCTAAATTGCATGAGCTTCCAGTAAGGCTATGTAGGTTTACAATGGTGACTCACATAATACTTTAAAAGTTTCAATAGCTTCAATACTGTTGCCTTTTTAAACAATTGTGTGATCATTCTTTCCTCACTTCTGTATATCAGCTGTACATGTAAATGCAGTAAAAAAATGAAAGTATCAAACAATTGAATCAGGGTAGTAAGGGGATGGTAGTAATACAAATGTTCTCAGAATTTTGTCCTGATTTATTTATATTTTGTTATGCTTTGTAATTTGTTTTTTAAATGTCTATTTGTTGACCAGATGGTGCTATGATGGATTCAGTGAAGACTTTAAAGAATACAGCAGAGGAATCTGTTCTAAGAGAAGTCACCAGAAAGAAATGTTAGTGCATGTTTTTGCCTTTGGTATATTTGAATAGTGAAATAGGATATGCACCTCAAAATAGCAAGACCGTATAAGGACAAAACAGTTGTGAGTTAATATTTCAACAACAATTGTGAACAAATGGAAGTGGTTGAGAAATGTGGGCCCACATGACTGACTACAAGAGTCAAACAATTTTGTTATGACACATAACAGTATTTGTGTCTCATTTCACCAAAATATTAGGAAGTGAATTTTTCCTGAAATATTGTTGGTAGCTGGTAATGACAAGTCATTTCTTGAGGTTTTGTGTAAATAATCACTTCCGATGTTCAGACTGTTTTTTTCCATTGGTTGGGCATGATGGCAGTGAGTTGTTATTTTCATATTGCTTTAATTTTCGTAATGCTCTTGGACTTGCCCCATTCTATACAGTCGAACTGGAAGAAGCAGAACAGAGGATAGCAGAGAGCAACAAGATGATAGTCGGTCTAAAGAATGAACTAAGCCAAGCCCACCAGGAACTACAGAAACATAGTCAAGAAATCAACTCACTGGAGCTGCGGCTGCAAGACACAGAAGAGCACACCAGGGCGGCTGTGGAGGAGGCCGTTGCAGAACTCAGGGAGAGGTTATCCCCACAGGTTGGCTTTGATAGCCAGGACAATGATTCAGAAACCTCTAGCATACAAACATTAGTTGAAGAAGATATGATAATGGTTAAGGAACAAGAAAGGCAGCTTGCAGCCGCGCCAGGTGGAGGTATATTGTCATCGAAAGAGTCGTCGTCATCAGCGACGTCTTTGAATACCTCGGGTGATAGTGATGGTCGACTTCAAAATCATGTACAAGATGAAACCAGTAAGTCTCACAGTAGTAGCAGTGCCCTCTGTTATAATAAAATCATATTGGGTTCAAGTTGTCAGGGCTACATCTTGTGAACAGTCACGGTTGTTTACTGTTGATCAATCGCAACACTGTACATAGGATATAAGAGTTTGTAAGTGTGCGATTCATTGGAGCTCTTGTACTCAGTTATGGTTCAATTGCAATTCTGTATATGTGCAATTGATAGATCTTGAAAAGGACCGAGTATGAAATGAAATGACACCTTTTATGTCAAAATGATCATCTAATTGCCTATATACAAAGTCTTTTTAAGTGATATCTGGTTTTAGGCCGGATATCAATATTCAGGGATGCCAGTTTTCAGGCAATAGTTAAGGCTTTTTTGTGTACAGAATAGCTCATTCTAGGTGATTTTCAGGCCCTCTGATCAATTCTAACTGGCATCCCTGAATATTGTATAATGAATTCAAACCAATACAATATGCTATAGTGTGCTTGATTTGCAATGTTGATTATCACAATGTTCTTTTTTCTTCCTTATACAGCAAACTCCTCAGGCTTAAATGAAACTCTGCTAGAAATTGACACCTTGAAAGGTACAGAAAGAAATAATTGAAAACAAATTTTGAAGCCTTTACTTACCAATTTTATATATTGCATGATATTAGGTGATGTGTTTTTTTATTTCCTTTTATTATTGGCCATTCCATTAGGTACTTATAGAATCATCGCTTCTTTCAGAAATTTAATTACTATGTATTAAAGCTGTTATTAGAAAAATTATAAAGGACTTTACTATGCTCTTATGTTGCCATTGATGTGATAATTTGAAAATTAAATATTGCTCCTTTTGTATTTTGGCAATAGCAAAATTTACAATTGAGTCGTATGAATTTATTTACAAGTATTCTTCCTTTATTTTTTCCCCCTATTTCATCAAAAAGGAATATTATAGTTTTTATTTTATAACTGCCATGATACAGCATCATATAATTATTGTGTGTGTATGTATACTTTATTCAGATGAACTTCATACGTTGAGACAGAAGTACAGTCAGCTAGCTACGGAGAATGAATCCCTCGGCAAACAATTAGAGACCGCTCATCAGGAGGCCAAAGTAGCCACAGACAATGCAACCACCTTGAAAGGTAACAATAAAAGTTTGTTAATTTGATTTTGACAATCCAAAGAGAAACGAGAAGTCAGGGGAACTGTGTAATTCCAGTATTAAGCCTATGGAAATGGATTTTTGGGGGGTCATTTGGTTAAAGAACATTTGTGTCTTACTTCACAACATGAAAGACTTGTCATGTAGCAGGTCAGTTTGCACTACTTTACTTTATTTCTAGCAGAACTACCATAAATATATAAGTTTTATAGTAATAGAAAATGTGGTTAAGATATTAAGGCAATAAGATAAAATTAAATTAATGCTCATGGAGAATATATGCACAATAGAAAGAGAACAGAAATCTATCATTTGATATTTAGGCACAAACACTACCATATTTGCACCAAAAGGCATTTTAGTTAAACAGTTTTATGTCTCCGTTACGAAATAGCCGGAGGCATTATGTTTTTAGGTTGTTTGTCCGTACGTCAAATTGACACCTTTTTAAAGTTAGATACAAATTTGTTAATCAATCGATCAATAAAATGAAGGGCTACTGGGTTTATTGTTTTATTCAATTAATATGTTTATACTTTGTAGGTAATTTGGAAGAAGCAGAAAAATCATCTAGTTCAGTAAAGGCCCAGTTACCGTCATTACAAGGTAAGATATAAAAATAGAAAACATAAGTTTAAACAAAATATGAACTCTCATCAAATTTTTTGTGAATGCTAACTTCATAAATTTTTAGTGATTACTGCCAATTCATCCTAGTTTTACCAGGCCGATAACAATAGTTGATAATATGAACATAACGAGTAGAAAGTAATGTGTGATATGTGTTGGGAGAAGTTTTTTTATCCTGTATGAGTTTTAAAATCAGTAAATGTTCGCTCCTGTCATTCAATTTTGCTGGGAATCTTGTTTATCATTGTTTATGTTTGATTCAATTGTGCAACAGAGAAATTGAGGAAGGAATCTGGGCTTGTACAGCATCATCGTCAGGAAATTGAAGGCTTACAAAGTAAGTTAATTCACTTTGTAGAAACAATTTACATTTCAATACATGTATTGTTCATCAAGAAACCATTGTATTTTGCATGCCTCATTTAGTATTTCAGAAAATGTAAAGACTTATCATTAATGACCAAGTATATTATGCTGTGAACTTTTAGAATTTTGAGTTGTGGTTCAGTTTGATATAAACTCAATAATATTCCTACAACATATCACTTAATATCAATTTCAGAGTGTCACATTCATCTGTATTCAAAAGTTTGATAGTGAGCATTCTTGAAATATTCTCATATTGGACATCATAAAAATATGGGAACACAATCTGTAGGTTCAGAAGGGCTTTGTAGTGTAAAGTTATCTTTATAAATGGAGTATCATGGCTTAACACATTGAATACTAAACCAATGTGCCAAAATCAAATTACATCTGAAGGGTTCAAGAATGAGTTCCCCAGGTGAGGCATATGTTTATTTAATCCTTGTGTGAAGTCTACCCTGCATACAGACTGAATACAATGAATCACAATGATTGAAAAAGATCTTCAAAGACTTTAGGATACCTTGACACTCCCCTAGGGGTTCACACCATGCTAATCCCAAGACAAAGGTCTCCCTGTGAGAACGAATGAAGAAGTCCTGGGCAGATCATTCTGACACTAGGCTGTATAGTAACTCTCAGACACAAAGCCACTCTCTATAAACACCTTACTATTCATGTATCAAAGAATGCTTTTCCCAAGCTTGTGTCAGTTGATGACTTGTAGTATGTGCTTACTGGTTTGTTTTGACATAAAAGAATGCATGTTCCCACGCTCCCTGGGAATCCATTTCTTCAAGCTGAAGTTCAATTTGTAAGAAGTTTTTAATGTAGTAAACTGCCGTCTCTTTTATCCCACTTTTACTGTTTTTATTTCATAGCATTTATGACCGTAAAAAGTAAATTTTTACATTGTGTTTAATGTACCATTACACAAAATATACACAGTTCATAATATGAAATACAAGTATCGGTACATGAGTTAAAAAAAAAACTAAATTGACCACATCTCTTTGCTTTTAAGTTGATTTTAGAATACCCTCTTCCCAAATATTTTATCGTAGTTGAAACATACTGTAATGAAAAGAAAAGGGGAACAAATAGCAGAAAAACAATTGTCATGCTCCAAGTTTTGCTATTAAACTATATGTTTGTTTGTTTTTACAGAAAATTTGGCAGAAGCTACTCAATCAGCCAGCAGTAGTAAAACAGAGCTGTTACAATGCAAAGGTAGGTTGGACAGGCCATATTAATATCATATAATACTTACTAGCTGGCTATTCCCATCAGTTGTAGTTTTACTCTTTACTATTGAAGAAAAATCAAGTAGAAAAGAATAAAAGATTTTTCACTTCAAGAAATATTTAGAATGTTACCATTTGTGGTTTCTAACAGATTGAATGAAGTTCTCCTTAGTAACCGCTATTGCCTGTCCTCCACACATGTAAATCTTTAAAGTTTTTTTTCTTTGTAACTGATAATCAAAGCAATAAATGATTCTTTCAGACTTCAGTTGGCAATGAGAAGGTATTTCTAAGGAGTTATTCATTACCAAGTTGAATTTCATCAATATTATTCCAAGTGTCCTTTTGTATCCTGTATTTGTTACATGATAAGAATACCCTTAGTTGTTTTTAATAAACCATTTCAATCTAATTAATGTTTCCTTTCCTCTGTTTAACAGATAAAATCATTACCCTCTCAGGAGACCTGAAAAAAGAAAAACAAGTGAGACAACAAGTTGATATAAAGCAAGTTGCCCAAATAGCCACACTTCAAGCAGAATTGGACAAAGAGAGGAAGGGGAAAGCTGTACTAGAAAGGCAAATTCTACAACTGCAGAAAAGGATAGCAGAACTTGAAGAGTTGGAAAAGCAAAGAATGATACGAAAAACCAAAGGTAATTATATAATTTATTATTAAATTTTGTACAAAAGAATTCTTACTTTAAACTACTACATTACAAGCCTTTCATACTGTTACACTTATATTAGACCCCAACGTATGCATTTGTAAAGTTTGAATTCTCTGATGGAGATTTTGTGAAATCTTTTATTAAGTGTGACACAAGTCTTTGATCCATTTATTTCATCCAAAAGTGACCCTGATTCAACAATAGGGCAATGATAGTGATACCAGAAGAAACATAATCAATGTTCCTATCAACAGGTTTTTATTTTTGAATGAAATAGAGGGATAAATGATTTCTGTCATATTGATATTTGGTTTTCACAGGATTTTTAAGTTATTCATTTTAAGATTGAGTAAAATGGTAATTTCATATGAAGGAGTCGCCCTGAATCTTAAAAACAGGTGCCAAAATAACACAGTAAGTAATAAATTGGTGTGGGGAAAGTAAAACCTGGAATGACTTAGAGGTTCTTTTACTTTGATAGCTTTCTATATATTTATTGATGTTGAAATGGTGTAAGAAAATGTTGGAAGTTACTGATTAAAACTAGTTGTTCATACACACAGCTCTGTAGAAAGCAGTGGTGTAGCTTCAGGATCAATTCACATATACAGGATTACAGTGACTATGATCTAGAATAAGTATTTGTTTCTTTGACCTATAGATCCTCTAGATAAGGCAACCTCTCCTTCTGACGATGGTGATTTGAAGTCAGCCGTGTCATCTTTGGAAGCTGATCTGGAAAGGTAAATTTAAGAGAATTTAGAATATAATTTGATTATGCGTTAAAGTTGATATAATAATAATAATAAAGATAGATTTATTGAGCGCATAATAAACAGAAGTTTCTCTATGCGCTTTACAAAGTAAGAAATAAGTACAAGTAACTTCATTACCACAAAGTGCTTAGCCTCCCCCCCCCCCCCCCCCTCCCTGTCACGTCTTTTTCAGTTGTCTCTCCCCACCCACAAAAATATATCAAGTACAAATATGTACACATTTACAGTGGGATAAAATCAATTTAATCTCAAAGTACAGACAATGCTATAAAATATAATTACATCATTGTCATGTGAAAGGTACCCAATTATGTAGGTTGTTTATGTCACTAGCTGATCAAATAGACATTTTACAATAAGTCTGCCACTCACTACCTCATGTTTGTGTTTTTCCCCTTTGTTATTTAAAGTTCAAGGCAGGAGAGGAACAAATTAAAGGAAGAAGTCACCAAACTTCAAAAACTTCTCTCTGAGTCTGAATCTGGTATGAGGAGAATAGCTGACTCAAATTCAGATGCTTCTACTACAGAGACCGTAGACTTCACAGCAGAAAAGGAGAACCTACAAAGACAAGTGAGTTCACCAGGCTGTGTTTTATTTATTTACTTTTAAAACAATATTTATCTTTATTGAAAGTTACGAGTTGATTTTGTCTAAAAATGTGTTGGTTACACATGAATCTCTCTGTGTATGAAGACCATGTTTGTCAGGTGAACTTATAATCACTTATAGTGGTCATCAGTTAGTGTGTCAGTAAATCCGAAAGGTACGTTTAGTTTTTAACAGACTTCCCAAGTTTACGTGAAAATTAAATGTTACTAATATCAAGCCAATCATCAATGTTTTCTTTATTCTCATATAGCTATTTCTTTCAATTTTGTGAACAATTAAGAGTACCATTCACTTGCACATATTTAAGATTTGATTTGATTTGATTTGATTTAATTTATTTATTTCTGATGGAAGTATAGTATCATGTCAGACTTACAGATTCAGTTCTATAATTCAAACACACTTATTTCCCTCACTAATCACACAGTTGACCAAAGCCAATGAGGAGGTTGAGCGACTTCAAGCCAGTCCTAGTGCTAACTATCCAGACGTGGACCTACTGAAGCAGCGTTTAGAGACTGTTACTCAAGAGTTGAACAGAGCAAATGATAATAATGCAGTGAGTACTATGTGCCTTCAATAGTAGCAATATGTAATCAAACCTCTAGGTAGCTATGTTACCCATTGGTTGTTCTTAATACACACCTATCTATGGGTCTTAGTCGTGTAAAATGTATGAACAGGATTGACTGGGTCATAGGTATTCTTTGTGCAGTATTCTGATTGACATTAGAGATGATCTACACATCAGAAACAAGGTTTGCAACTTCTTGCTGAAATCTCAGATTTATCATTTTAGAGATTACTTTCGAAATGGAAATAAATTTGTACATTTTTAGTGCGAAAAGAAAATATTCTAAACATAAGCTTACCTCTAGAAATATTGTTGTTAAGTATTTACTGTCAAATAACTGTTTATTAGTGTATCCAGTGAAGAAAAAAATAATAATTTGGGGCACTGTCATATTACATTGCCATCTGACACATGCTATCCAGTCTAGTACTCAAGTCTAATTCCTTTGGTTTTTACAAACCTGCTCCCGTCATACTGACAAAGCACCCCGTCTTTTGACAATATCCTTTTTAGTACAGGAGACTCACTTCCGTAATGATCTTATTCCTTTAACATCAATGACTTTATGACACTTCTATTTGTTTTTCTTCGCCGTATTTAAATGGTCCATTGGTAACATGTATATTTCGTTTTCTTTTGTGTGTATTTAGATGGTCCAGATGAAATGGCTGCCTGTGTGTGTGATAGGAATAGCCATCATAGCAGCTGTGTTCCAGACTTTCCTAGCCATGCGAGTAGAGGTATGACGTCCAGTCCGTATATGCAAACATATCCACCCACAGCCCGCTGGCAAGCAGTCAATGCCGTACTCCGTGGTCCTGCCTGCCATGTACCATATCCGAAGAGTCTTACTCCCGTCTGCAAGTCATTTTCTTTGTATGACAGGTGGAGTATGCCCCTGTTGAGATAAGACCAATGTTCTGTCCACGCTACAGTCTTCTGTGTAGTCTAAGCGTCAATCTCCTATGAACTACTTGTCCGTCATAGTTGGTTGTTCTTATATTGAACTTTCACTATTGTTCACTCTTGTCCACTTTTATAATGATAGAGAATTTGTCCTCATTTTGAAGATTTAGAATCGTCTTCAAAACATATTGAGCTACATTTATTGAAATATATGATCGTACTTCATCTATGTGATCTTGTGTGGTATTCTGAAAATGATTTCATCTTTACTTTAGGGACGAATATTTTAATTGACAAAACAAATTTAAACTTGTGGCATATCATTGGTTGATGACTGCACATACATGTAGGTGATGCAGAACACAATCGCAAAAAAATTAATTAAACAGTTTTTTGTTTTTGTTGTTGTGACAATTAAATTCATTTAACTAGAATAAATATGAAATTATTGCCACACATGTCTTCACACTTTCCATTCTGTATGTTACTTTCTGTGTTATGATATGAATGAGTGGAATGGTTCGCTATGATTTAATATTAACGGGAAAACTACCTTTTGACTTAATGATCGGGGTTGAGCGTTGGTGCATAGATAATATCACATTTCTCTGTGTAGCAAGCAAAGGAGTTTCATCAACCCATGATGGCAAGATTTTTCCATGAAGGATATTATTGGTAATTGTTAGATGTATTCAGCACTTTTTCATGCAATGTTAACGCTTGTCTAAATCCAGGGTGGTTGAATAGGTAATATCAGTGTATAACTCCTGGTAATCCCTATAGTGATTCTCTCTGATGCAAAACCAAATCTTTTTTTTACAGGTTGAAACACATTCCAATTTGACCCCTTTCAGTTGTGGAATTATGGAACTTCTGAGTAAAATATGATTGTAATGTTTGGCTCGATGATGATGTCTTTATCTGTAGGTGTGCTCGCATAGGCATCAGGCACGCTCACATGTGGTACAGTTTGAATGCCAAGTCCATCGCAAAATAGTTCATGTGTAGCTTTTCACACCATGTAACATTTGCAGCGATACTGATGATGTAAAACCAAATGATGCACCCATATGTGAAAGTACATTGTGAATGTGGGATGTACCGAATCTAAGGGTGTTCCACCCATTAAAATTAACTTTGATCTAACAAATCATTGAGTTTTCAATCAGTCAAACCGATGTGAGGATTGGTTTTTACTTTTAAGTCTTGTTAAAACACCCACAATCTCCCTCATGTGCTTTTTAAAAGATATCTTCAGGGCATATAATATGATAGACTTTTACACTAGCTTGCAAAGAAAGCTATTTTTCGTGTGTAGCCATTATAGAACTATGTTTGTGTATTAACTAACAGTATTTTCCTATTTTCCTATTTCCTATTTATAAACTTAAATGTAGATCAGTGATGTAATGTACACAGTCTGTTCTAGTAAAGGGGGAAATGAGCACAGTCTCGATATGTAACACTTTTGTAAATCATACTACTTTTTAGTGCATTATACCTCACTATAAGACCTTAAATTAATGTTAGTATGTTTGTTTGGGTTCAATCATACCCAAGTTAGTTTATTTTGGTGCCAAATGAAAAGTAGCTCAACAGTATTTTCTATAGGAGTACCACCATGTGGCATCTAAAGTGTAAATCTATAAAGTGTGATGTAAATTGGCAACTTTCAAGAAATTGGGCGATGCACACAAAAAATGTGATGCTGTAAGCAGATTGTTCATCGTTGTGTCGAATGTAAGTTAAGGGTGAATTCAAAAGGCTGCACCTCATGATATGTTTTGCGTATTTGATGTTTGTTTTTAATTTGCAGAGCTCAATGTATATCGGTATGTGTTTTCTGTACATTTTTAAGTTTGAATAGCTTTTGAGACAGTTCTTTTCATATATAAGGTGCTATGAGTGAGCGAGTAGTTCCACTTGGTTCTTTTGCATGTAGTTTAGTGTGTGCATCTTGGATTTTGTGATGTCAAAAATTCTTTTTGTTATGCCTTCTCAAGTTCTCAATAGTCAAAGAACTGTGCTACTTCAACTGTTTCTTGTGACACCCATCTAGCAAAATATCACAAACCCACTGTGAAAAATGGTTTGCTTAGTTCAAGAGAAATATTGGAAAACTAATTGGTGTAACAAAGCATTACTTGGTAAACATCTTTGTGTGTTGAGTGGATTACCACCACATTGAGATTATGAGTGAATCACGAGCCCACTTCTAAATAAACAGTCGACCTGATCATGTGAAATAATAATGCTATGAGTGTTTGGATGTCATGAAGTGTGTATGTATTGTAAAAAGTACTGAAATTTGCATAGTGTCTAAGATTAATATATATTTTCAGATTTCTGTGTGTTTCATCTCAAATTCTTGAACTGTAAAATCAAATAAAATCCAGTTGTACAGATAGTTAGATTTTTTTAATGAAATAAAGCAATTTGGGATTTACCAGTTTGTTTCTAAATGATGTATTTAGAAATGGTAATTATCCATTGATATGTATTGCGATCAATGGTCAGTGTTTCAAGTGACTGAATAAAAGGTTGGTTGAATGAATAATTAAGCAAATTTAATTGAAAAGCAAACGGACCTGTATTGAAAATCTAAACTTTCTTTGTGTTTGTCATCTTCTATGCAGTGTTATATAAAGGGTAGCCATTGTAGAGAGTGTTGATAGTTTGGACATAGTCAGCTCTGAGTTGACTATAGTATCAAAAATGCTTAAAGATGTCATTGGAATATCACATTGATGCACAAAGACCTCTAAATTATAGACTAGTATATCTTTCAAATGCTATTAGCAAAATAAGCACAGAAATGTGATGACTTTCATAGATCATGGCACAATAACCCTTTCCCAAGATTAATGTATTATCAGTATTTGTTTCTGTTATATCAGAAATAGTGTTGGTGATGGCTGTTTTCATGGCAAGATGTTTTTAAAAAATTGTTAAAAAATGAAAATTGTGATTCTGTCATTTCTAGGCATGGAAATTTTGCAAATCTGGACCATTACATTATTCATGACTTTTTGCCTACAAGACTGCTAGTTTTGATATATGTCCTTCTGTTTCATTAATGATAAATATTAGTATCGTTACTTTCTTTGTTAGACTTTGGAAATATGCAGTAATGCCCTTTGTCTGCAGATATAAGCATGAATAACCTCATGAGTTCATAGAAAAGCAACACTAATTGGTATTTCTATGTATGCATCATATGTTAGAGGGCTTCAGTTCTTGATGAAAATGAATATCACCTTGTTTTGAAAGGAGTTTGTGATTTCACAATCCAATTTGAAACATCCTAGAGTGTTCAAATAAAAAAAACATATATTTTCCTGTTAATAAGGTGTAAACAAATTGACATTTAATATTTATATGATAATTAATGCCTAGGAATGATTATCATGTTGATTCATAAGAATTAAGAAAAAAATGAAAGCATATCTTGATTTATGTTTATATTTATTGTTTCTTCATAACCTGTTTGTAATTTGTATTTTATGTATAAAGATGGAAAACATGTAAAGTACAAAGACAACTATTCTGAAACGAATTTGGAAGAACTGAGATGATATTTATTTCAGTTTTGTGTGAAAGATAAAGAAGGGGGAAATATGGCAAAGTTTGTTGTTACAAGTTGGCCAAAGATTTGCAAGGTTTATGCGAGATAATGTTCATATGCTTTTCTTCATTGTGAAAAAGATTTATGCAGCACTTCTTAGTGATAGAAAGATAATGGAAAATTGCAAAGAATTTAAGTTTCTCTTTCATTCTTTGTGAGGTCTAGAGACCAAGAGAAAGAAACCGTGGCTCTTGTTTTTAGTGGCACATGTTCAGATACCATCTTTGCCCCTGGTTATGCCATTTCATCTACTGTTTCATTTTTTTGCATGCTTTTCCTGGAAACCTTGAAGCTTGTTCGAGGTTTGTCAAACATTGCAACAACATCGTATGTATCACTTTGATTATTATAAAACCAGAAACTTTCACATGCATTTAAAGTTTGAAAATTTCATTAGTGGTTCAGACTCGCAAAAGTTTCATGTTTTGAATTTTTATCATTTTACAGTAACAAGAAATCTGATTGGAAATTGAAATGGCTGAGCGAAATGTTGTGTCAATATTCTTATTTCAGAGAAAAAGTATGCATCAAAATTGAATAGATGATGAAAATGGCTTATTGAATCAATGCTACTTGTCTTGATTCTGACTTCTGTCAAAGTTGAAATTGTAGCATTTGGCAGAAATATACTTAGGACCTGGTATGTCAGTGAGGGTCACTTCTGCTACATGTGTATTTTTATGGAGTTTTGAAGTTGACTCTAAATTAAATACACTTTTGAGAAGAAATGAAAAAGAGTTAAGAGATGCAGCTTCATATGAACATGGAACCGTGAAGTAAGCATTGTTTATATAAGAGTATGTTATGTAGGTACTGTTATCTATCGGGTCTTTGTATGGCTTAGAAAGTAAAGAAGAAACAGATGTTTCTATCGATGCGAGATGAATAAGATAGTACTAATGAAGTTATGAAATAATTATGGCATATTTATGATGGTAGAAGGACTCTTCGTAGTCTTACTTTACACAGGGTTCTAGAAATATAAAAAATCAATCAGTGGATCATTTCATTTAGAAATGTTTTATTTCCCCTTTAGCCCTGAGTCAGAAGACTGTATAAATTGCAATACATTAATATTTATGTTTTCAAAAAGCTGCACTGAGATGATTCTAATCACTTTTGTTATGTTGATGCTTTGATTAGCTATGTTTGTGACTATTCATATTTCCCTTTTTTTATATTCAGCTTTTATTTAAAATGTCTAAAAAACTTCAAGATAATTATTGGTTATGTGTAGAGACAAAGGAATAAAAAGGGTAAATTTTCATTCGCTCATACATGTATATGTGACTAAGGGAGCTTGTGAGTGAAAACGCCAGATAATTGTAATCTCATGTCAAGTAGTTTCATAACTTGTTTAGTCTTCCAGTGTTGTCTCCGTGTGAAAGTAACGATGTACACAGAGACCATTTCTTGTTATAGTGCAGTGCAAGGAAGAAAAAAAATATGTTTCATTCATAACCAATAACCATTAAATATTTTCTACACAAATGTCTCAAAATGTGTGGTTTCTCAATCATTTCATTTTGTCTGGTCTCAAGCTTCGGTCACACCAACGAGTATGACACCAGGGCATCGTTTCACAAAGCCGTCATAAGTACAATTTCACAGACATTCCATCAAAATTGCATCAAAATGCGTGTGTTAGATTTAGCACACGTTTTAATGGGATGTGAACTTGCACTTTAATATGGCAGTTTTGTGAAATGATACCCAAACAAGACAACAGACCTAAGAAAAGGTTTCATTACCCCAAGTGGCCAAAAATCTGTTGGTTTCGTGTCAATGTGGATTCAATTTATTGATGGCACTGAGGTACTATTTACTGATAATTAATTTATAGCTATTGTGTAATATAAGTCCTGTTTTTCCCAGTAAACTTTTACTTTCTCACACCTTACACTTTTTCCAAATTAGTAAACTATACATGTATCTAACCAAAAACAGCCTTTATGATCCAAATCTGAATTACTGGTAAGTGAAATGTCAGTAGAAAAGAGATGAAAAGATAAACACGACATGTCTGGAATGCAAAAATACATAATTAGTATAATAAATGTAAGTAGCGGTACATGTAGTGTAAATGTATCATATTATTTATACAGGAGAAAGACCGATAAAATACTGGAAATCAATTGTTAGGCTTTACGGTTCCCATTTAAACAAAAATAGGCTACGGTACTATTGTGCCATCTACTTCACTCCCATGTTTAAAGGTTATTGAGTTTGAATGAGAATGTGATGAAGAGTGCATACATTTCAATAACATGCCATAGAAGTCCTGAAGTACATATATTACTCACATCTAGTTTCTTTTACTAAGAGGTAATTTTATCATTCTAGGAGCTATCATGTTGCAAATTATTAATTTATTGAACAAAGACCTCTCCCAGTGACTTAGATAATGGGAGGGCAATTTACAGGAGAAAATTTGTTTTGCTCCAAGTGTTAGAAAAGATCCTCGATCTTGTAATTAAGAAAGTTTAACAAAATAATATTGAAGGAAAAACTACACTTTACTTTACTCAAACTAACACTTTTTGGTATCGTTAATTTAAAACTTCCGCCTTTCTGATTATCTTATTTTTCTGCTTTCATACAAAGGTTGAATTACCCTTTAAATCCACTCAGTGAGCACATTTTCTAAATTTATCGTTTTATTATTATTATTGTACACGTACACGGAGGCTACCATACTTTCCTGAAGCTAGCTACCTTTTTTGTAAACACAATTCATTCAGCGACCGAGTCGCGTCGACGAGCAGCACGCACAAATTTATGAGGATCGATGAGATCAATATCTGATTGTGTGGAACCAGATAATTTTCCGTGAGTATTAAGCATCCTACGTATATTTTCACAGGTCGACATTTTGATTTGATGTGTAATTGTGTCATTTCAGGTGTATTTTGTTCGATTTACTGCTTTACATGCCGGTACGGTCTTTGAGTTTGAGCTGTGTGCCAGGCAGTGCCAGTGGTGGGCCCGCAGCTCAGCTGATGAGGTAAGCATTGCGAAACTCATCGTCACAAGACCCCGGGCCAAGAGGGCTCAGCGTGTCTGGCAAAGGGGATACACCCACTCCGTATCCCTCGCGCTGTGTAGACTCGAGCAATGTTTCAAGATCAACACGATTATTTAAAAAAATCTAATTATGGTTTAAGTCGTAGACTTGTGTGATTGAATGCATATGATATAGACCTGTGAATGAGATATTTGGTTTTCATTTTTGTTGTGTCTGTCTTCTGATTTCTAAATTAAAGCCCCTCTAAAAAAAATAAAGAGTCTAAATTTTGAAGTGTTTGGAGCACCAAATTCGCCCAAAAATTCCACCTAAATGGTATCATACGTGAAAGATGGTGTAATTTAAGACTTCTGCCCAAAATGCAAAGCAAGATTTCCCCCAAAAATTGTGTTTGAAGACAAATATTTATAGGATACCGGTACATAGACTTTTGTTTTTCTGTTAATTGAATTCATTGTAGATCTAGGCCTACAAGCTAGAGAGAAAACCTAAATTTTGTATTCTTTCATCAATATTTGACTTCAAAAACATTTGTTTCGAAAATCATTGTAGATATGTGTCTTAAAGAACATCCTCTTTCACATTATGATACAATTTAAGTGAAGTTTTGTCATCAAATTTGTTGGGGCTCCCAACACTTAGTGATCGAGTCTGGTTTAATTTTATACAAATTTAAAGTTTATAATTAAAAACCTCAGATTTTCTGTATAAAACTCTTTTTGAGGCAGCATTTTCAAAAAAAGTACAAGTTCTCTGACAACCCAGTGAAACATGACTAATAAAAATAGCACACTCTTTAACAGGCTGGCAGTAAACTTTGTACTTTTTGTGAAACGATTCTCTGGGGGTCATTTCTTGAAACCATCATAACTAGACCTAGATCTACATCTGATCAACGACATCTTGACACTGTTGCTCAACTTGTCTGCCAAGTGTTTCACAAAATTGCCTTCAAGGGATTGTCACAACTCCAAACCTGTCATATCTATTTAGAACGCCATCTCAAGGCAACTTTAATTTTAGCTATTGGCAGTGAAAAATTTAAAATTGAATTTTATTTAAAACTTATTTCTTGATCTTCAAGCTCTCATTTCACTGATCAGTTCTTATTGGTATTAATATAAAACCTTATGAAAACATACAAACAAATTGTTCTTATAAGGTTTTAATGCATTATTACATAAATAAGACAAATTTGTACATACATGGTCTACCATAGAAAAGTCACAGAAGATCGAACAGTCTGTAATTACAAACAGGTCTATGAGAATGACAACAATTTCTGTTTCTTCATTCCCTTTCTCCCCCTGTTTCAGGAAATCCAGTCATAAACATCACTTGGTCTTGGAGTAGTAGGCAGAGCTCAACATCCTGCATACTAAATTTATTTATTTGATCAGAGGGAACTGGACACAACAATTTTCCAGTAAGATATAGAAACCTTCTCATGTAGAGGAAACCAAGGAATTAGAGAAATTTTCTCTATACCAACTTTCAGATGCTAAAAGCCAAGACAGCTTATGCGAGAGCTGAACAAATAAGTTGAAGATCTCATTGTTCATATGATGATTGGATTCTTTGGTGACTCATCATCGGGAGTTGGATACTGAATGGACTTTTATCATGGCAGTGTTTGAAAAGAGGAAATCATCTAAACTGACACTTGATGACACTATTACATTGACATGTAGCATTGAAGCAGCACAGAACTTGGAAAGTCATACTGTAAGTACTCTATGTGAACAATTCTTCTGTAAATTCACTTTAATATTTAATTAACTTTTAAGAAAAAAGTTAATCCTTGTTTTGTATACATGTACATGTATATGACATTAAAGGGAGGGAGAGAGAGATCTTAAGTTGTCAAAATTTAGGAAGGAAGTAAACAGAATTGCAAAAAGCACAGTATTGCTCTTGAATGCTGTACCAGAACTGTGTATAAAAAGTAGTACAAGGCACATTCAAATACACATGTACCTGTACAGTAGATTGATTGCCAGTTTCTAATATGTCTGAGGATCAAATTGATTTGGAACAGAAACAAAAAGTATTAAAAAGAGATTTTGATAATCACATCTTCGTTGGAGTGAGTTTGAGAAATGCTGGTCTAGGTTTGTTTTTTAATGGGCTACAAAGTGTTTCATAATGGTTGTGTTTTAGATTAAGCCTATTAAGGTTATTGATATTGTGAAATGTGCACACAAATACAGCAAACTAGCAAGTTAAGTTGTTATTCTTCAGAAGGGCAGCATACAAGCTTGCACACTTTAATGATGTATTAATCAAAAATAAAAACAATAGAGTATCATATCGTCCTTGTTTTCACGAAGTGACGGTAGTGAGGAAAATCGTAACGCAAAGTGAATGCAATTTTTTTCACTACCGTCACTTCGTGAAAACAGCGACGATATTGTTGATACAACTGTTGGCTCTTTTTGGCCCAAACTTTTGTATGTTAAAATGTTTTCTTTTTATACTTTTAAATTCCTGATCTTCACAATGTTCTTTTTCGAGCAGACCCCTCCCCCCATAGATAATTAGATATTATTAAAAAAGTAATACAACAGATTAAAGCCAATACTTGTTTGTCATCACTGCATAAACCACATCAAATATGCAATAAGAAACCGCTAACTTTAAACCACACTCCTTGTAGAGTTGGCACAATACATACCATAACACACACCTGTGACAATTCTGTCTGACTCATATCTTGGAGGACATCTTCTGTATTGTTCAGTCTTTAAACTAAGACAGTATGACTCTTTTACTGAGATAATTGTTTTCATTTAACATTGTGTGATTGTTCCTCTTATTTTGAAGGACTATGTAATACGTGTCCAAAGGGGCCCCAACCCTGAAAACAGCTGGCAGGTGAGACTAATTCTGCTTTATTTGATCAGAGAAAGGAAGCAAGCGATTGCTGAAATTTACCATTACAGTTCATGTACATGTTTCAAACATTTGAGAGTAATGTTCAGTATGATTCATAGGGTAAAGAGAAGATGAGAACTATATGATTTGTGCAAATCTATAGGAATTAAATATTTTAGTGTTGCAGAGCATGGGCAGATATGTTAGCAACTTTATATACAGTTTTTCAATTCAATTTTGTACTTACCGGTACTGTACATGTTTGTACAAATATGTACACAGAAATATGGAAGTAGAACTACTAGAAATCATTCACATAAGCCTGTTTGATTTATATGACATGTCTAATGTATTTATAGTACCAGTATATGTACATTCTTTCAATTAATTTTTAGAAAAAAAGAATCCACATATTTGAAGGTGATTTGACCCATTGTCTATGACAACCGGGTTGTCCCTGTACAAAATAAAATAATTCAGTTGTCGACCGCTTAATACTCTAGTTTCTACATATTACATACTTATGCTGTTAGCTTTTACAAAAATGAACACGTGATGTTGTATACATTTAGACCGTCATATCCATATCTATTAATAACATACAGGGCCCTGTCTTACAAAGAGTATATTTTTATCACAACGTATTTGCGATTGATATCTTGTATCACAGCTATGTACACATGTACATGTTCATAAGAGATGTAAATAAGATTGATTGGAGGACTTGTGATTGATTTGGATCAATCTCTACTCTTTATAAGAAAGGGCCCTGGTTTAAATCAGTGTGATAACAATCAGTGTATAAGTGTGACCGACAACAAGATGTCATCTGCATCTTCATCTTCAGCTCACTACATGTAGAGTGATGCTTAAAGGTAATACAAAGTTTTGGGAAATTTTGAAAATTGGGTGGATAGAGATTCTTTACAATTTTTATATATTTGGATGCCCCTGTGGATGTATTATAAGCACTAGAAAATTTAGCCCCTAAAACACTTCTTCTTTCGAGAAAAATTGAATATAAAAATTTACCGGTGCTCCCGGTAAATTTTGATATATTTCAAATAGCGCCTACGACCGTACAATGGTAGCTGCGACCATGAAAATCTCAGAATATGTAGTGGTGATATATAATTTCCAAACGGAAATAGCTATTTGGTCGATTTTAGTCAAGAAACATTGTTTTATAGCCTAATTGATATCTTGACCTTGAGAGGGAGCTATACAACTTAAAGAGTTTATTATTTACAATTTCATAACTTCAGACTCGATTTCAACCGCGACAATGATCACTGAATATTGTAGGATCGTATATGCTTCCAATATATTCATTTGGACCAAATTCATGACCCCATACCAAAACTTTGTATTACCTTTAATGATGTTTTATAAATAGAATGACTGTAATGACGGACAAAGTACAAAGTTTATTTTTTCCATCAATGATATTTATAGATCAACAGAAGATACAGCGACTTTGTAACCCTGCATGATGGGTTGAAAGTGAGTGGTATGGAGCTTGGCCTGCCACCCAAGAAAGTCTTTGGCAATATGGAAAGAGAGTTTATAGCCGAGAGACAGCAGGCCTTGCAAGGCTACTTGAACAGGATTCTTTCACATCAGCTCCTATCATCATGCTTTCTTGTGAAGAGGTTCCTAGACCCTACAAATTATGCTCCAAACAGTGTCGGTGAGTCCCATATATCTTTTTGAGGATTTTATGTACCTCTCTTGACCCAACACACTATTTGTTTGTGCCTGTCATAGCCTGTTTGTCTGTTTTTTCTCTTTCTTTCATTTTCTCTCCAAGCGCTGTCTTTCTCTGTATTTCCTTGCAGTTCTGTCCTGTTCTTTCCTTTGCATAGTCTCTTTCCTTTCCCTAAAACTCTTGCGGATTGTAGTCACTGTTTGTAAAAAGTACTTTTTCAACTTTTGAATATAAACACGTTGGAATATCAGTCCAGAAGGTTAGAGAAGCAAGACTTAATTGATGTTGAAAATAGCTTAGAATTGCTATGGAAGTTTAGATTTATCCTTTTAGATGATTTCAGAATTATTGATGCATTGTACGAATATCATTCTTGATATTCTTGTTTGAAATTAACTTTGAAATTTCCCTGACTAAACAGTGATCTTTAAAAAAATATATGCTTTTATTTAGTGATTTTTATTACAAATTTCAATCTAAAACATGGTTTCCTGACCATATTGATTGTGCCTAAAATTAACTGCAACTTCAATGATTCTAATTTAAAATTAAATGTAATATTTCATTGTTTTTGTCATCAGAGGATGCTCTACAGCATGTGTCAATGTTTTTCCGGTCTGAGCCCCATTGGGATGTAGTAGAGCCACTGAGAGATATTGGGTGGAGAATTAGGAAAACTTATTTCATGGTCAGACCAAAAAGCCAACCCAAAGTGAAGCAAGTTCTGGCATGGGTAAGTAACTAGCATTGTATTTACACCGTAATTGCATATGATCATGATGATGATGATGGTGATTGTGATGATGATGGTGATGATGATGATGGTGATGGTGATGATGACGATGACACCGACAACGATAATGAAAATGATGATGTATTTTATTGATATGATGATGAGTGTGATGATGATGAAGATGATGATGATGACGACGACGACGACAACGATGACGATGATTTAATATTGCTGTGATAATGATCTTAATTTTAATCATAAGATAATGAATGATATGGGATTTTTTTATATGCCAGAATATAGAGAGAGAACAAAAAAGAAATAGAAGATTATTTTGTGCTAGCATTGCCAGATCTACCCTTTATATAAAATTGTAGAATTCCAATGTTCTCTATGTGCTGAAGAAAGGTCACAACATTCACCTACCCTTTGCTACATTTATAATGTCAATGTCTGAGCCTTGTAAGGGGTATGTGTGTAGATACAGTGGAGATCTGTAAAAGAGGAAGTGCCATGATTTTCAGCACTGAGAATTGGAGGTCATTGTAGGAGGAAATATCCAGAGTCTTTCTCAGGTATTGAACTACCTGTAAATCACCAAGAGGAAGTACGGTTGACTTGGTTGCGCTGCTAGAGTTCAGAAGCAGGAAGGCATTAATTAAGCACACATTCATTACCAATCAATTATTCTAGATTTTATTAGTTATTACAATGCTGAAATTTATAAAAATATATATAACTTCTTGTGTCAACCATTCATTTAACATACAGTATACATTTTTTATCAGAAAAGCATATTTGAAGTGGTAGAAAATATGATATGATATATTTGACTGTGTCTAATTCTGATTAAAGGATAAATTCTGCAGGTCAAAGCACAACTGCACAATTTAACCATAGTTTTAACCACAGTTTTTAACTACAATTCAGGTTAAAGCACAACTGCAGGTCATTGTATGTCACTATTGTCAGTGAACTATCTATCTTTAATACTAAAGATTCATAAATAGTTATAGGTTGGTTGAAAAAAATGCATTATGATTTTCAAGTCTTTTGTTATTGTTACTATAGTATTATTGGTCGTTGATTATGCAAGTTTTGTTGTTGTTAGATAGATCATTATTGTTATGCTCATATCATTAACATCATTTTACATATCGATAGTCAAGGATGTCAATGATGTGTTGGGCCGTTCCATGGTAACTCGCGTTACACCTAATGGGTACATTGACACGATAATGTGCCTATATCTTTAGAACTGCTAGGATCTACAAGATACTTTTTTCAAACATGGACAGGGTAGATATAGAACAACTGAATGAAACAAAAAAGAAAATTGAAGAACAAACATTTTTAGATTCTTGGATTATTGAATTTTGGTAACTCGCGTTACAAAAAAAGGACATGGTCAATTCTATGAGACCCTCTTTTGGCAAAGTCTCCTCATACTAGACAATCTTGACAAAATCTTTCCTACGTTGATAGTAGGTTGAGATTTACTAGTATAAGATCACAATATTAAAGATAAGAAACAATGGACTAGTAAAATGCAGGAAGCAAATATGTCGGTAACTCACGTTACGGTAACTCGCGTTACATTTTGTCCGGAGGCCATTTTCACCCCTATGTAATAGATTAAATATCCCAGGACCCCTTAGAAAAGGCTTAGAATATGGAAATATATTCGTCTTTTTCAATTTAGCGAAATTTTCAGGAAAAAATATTACAAGAATCCTGTGTAATCTGCAATAAATTGTTTTTTTTTCATCTACAGTCCCACATGTACGTTTTTGATGATGGTTTGAGATCTTAGGAAATCAACAAATATGAAAAATAAATTGTATTGAATTTGAAAGGCCCTAATGTTTTATGAACATCCATGGCATAAGGTTAGTGATAAATCAAAAAATTAACATAAGAGGTACATTTCTTTTTTTGATGTCATGTCCTTCTTCTCATGGAATGGCCCTGTTACACTAAATGGAACTACAACAATTTTCACCACTCCTGATTTTGGATGATGATTTGTATTTGAAGATGATAATATTGATGCATAATATTACAAGTAGATTTGGTAATAATTAAACCATTTTTAGGGGTACATTGTTCTGTTTGATTCTTAAATGCATTTATATTTATTGCATTAATGCATTCAAAATATTTAAGAAAAAAGATTGTGTTAGGTCCCAAGAGCAAGATTGTATGTTATGGATAATTTCCAAGTAATTCTGAAAAATACAGGTAATGAAAATATATGGTCAGATTACAGTGGTGTACCCTATGATATTTTAAATATCTTAAATGTACATAGAGGAACAAAATTTTAAAAAATGCATGGATGATTTTCAATTTCTCAACAATTACAATTGATTAATTGCAGAGTTACTATGGTCCAGACAAAGACCTAGACTACAAAGACCTAGTGCCTATCATGAAACTCTTGCCAACCATCCAGCATCCCTTCATCTACCCTGTCACCTATGTCTCTGCCAGTGACTCAGGTGGACTAGCCATACGTACATTCCACGGTACAGGAACACTCAAAGATTTCATCTGTAAGGTGGGTCTGTCTGCTCATGTTTGTGTGAGAAATTGTTTAATTAAAGGGATAGTTGAGTTCCGTTTTCAGACCGCAAATGCCTTCAAATTGCATGGTTATCGCTCTTATTCTTATCTATGACATTTCTAATGCCCTGTTAGAACCTAAAATTGCTATGAAGGTCATTTTAGACCCCAAAATATGTGAAATGTAGCCAATACGATCATACCAATTCAGCTCCACTTTCAAAAAATATGGTGACCTTCAATTAATTATTTAATTAAGAATAACAATACATGGGCCGGCTGGTTGTGCGTTATAAAACCAACACGAAAATGCCAACGAAAAAGCCAACATCGGCATTAGCTGAAATACAACGTAAAAGGCACTATTTCGTTTTTTTCAACTTATCTAATATTTGTGGTGGTACACAAGTATTAGAAATTGTTATATTTATGGATATTTCAGCCATCTTTGAACCGATTTTGATTAAACAAAGATGATTTTTGTCATTTAAATTGTTTGTTCTTTCAAATTTGACAGGTTTTTATTATCTTACAAAAAAAATATTTTGTGTAGAACTCGACTGTCCCTTTAATTTGTAGCTTGAAGTTGAATACACCAAATCCTGTCTCTTGTGTGTGTTCACTTACAATTTATACAGTGTACAAGGAAGGGTGCATGAAACATGAGATGCTGATTTCTTCGACCTCTTTAATTATTGATGGTCAAAATACAATCTATTCATATCTGAAGGCAACTTATGATGTCTTGACAGAAAGACAGGTGTAATTGTGACCGATATCAAATACTTATATTGCAAATATGCTGTAGCATCTTGATTAACTTGCATCAAACAGTGATATTATCATTTGGTAAATTGCACATTGAATGCATAATGTTGTTCCTGTTTTCACAAAGTGACGGTAGTGAGGAAAATCCACACACAATTTGTATGTGATTTTCATTCACTACCGTCACTTCGTGAAATTAGGGAAGATTTATGCAATTTTCTTGTATAGAGCACCTTGGGGCAATATGCACTCAGGAATATACAATGGTAAATTTATATTTCTTTTCATTCTCTCAGTATTTCTAAGCCTCCCTCAAATCTTCCTGGATTTGTTTATTTCTCTCCCATGACTAAGAGAGGATGAATTAAAAGCAGAATACCACTTCACCTGATGTAATCTGATTATCCAGTTTGATGTGGAAAAAAAAAAAAAAAAATTTCCTCTGTAATTGGTGTCAGAAAATTTGAAAACATCTAGTCTTTTGTTGTTGTTGTTGTTTTATGCATGATTAATTTTTCTCTCTCATATCAGCAGTCACTTTTGCTAGAAATGCATTGACATACATAACTGAAGATGCTTACTGACCTTGTGTTGTAAGTTGTAACATGATAATTTTCTTTTCCATGTAGGCAAAACCGAAAGCACATTATATGAAAAAGTACTGCCTGCCCAAGTCTTACACTGCTTTCAATATAATGAATATCAAGTCGTACGGTCGGATGATATTAGAGGTGAGATTTTTGACCTTTTATCATCTTTTTGTTGAAGTTTCATGGGATTTTTGTGTAAATGGTATATTTAGCTTCCTATTCTTGCATAGCTGCCAACCATTCCTATTTTGAAGGAATTATTATCTCAAACTAATGTTATGGATTCTAGATTCTTCTCTTTTGTCAAAAACTTCTGTGTAAAAGGTATACAAGGAACAAATGGACATTGATCATTTAGTATCCATTGGTACAGTTGTATGTTATTTATGAGTAAAAGAATGAATACTGAGAATAGAACATTCATGGATTCCATGTGATTTTATTTTGGGAACATGAATCATCAATAGAGGCAGTAAATTAGATTTTCTCGATTGAGGCTTCGAAGTGAAAAGGAGATAAATCAGCTGAAATAGAATGGAATATTTTTGCTGTGTCACTGGTAATACAAATTCAAAATTTGACTTTGCTTATAATGGGCTAATATTAAATTGACTCTCTCTTTCTGTCTGTCTGTCTGTCTGTCTATCTCTCTCTCTCTCTCTCTCTCTCTCTCTCTCTCTCTCTCTCTCTCCTCCTCCTCTCTCTCTCTCTCTCTCTCTCTCTCTCTCTCTCTCTCTTTCTCTCTTTCTAGCTCTCTCTCTCTTTCTCTCCGACCTTGTCTCTATGTCCTTCCCTCCCTTTCTCAAATAAGTTTATCTTGCTCTGAAAATCTTCTCAATTATGTAATGTTTTGCACTACAATGTAATTTGCTACATGCCATGGCTATCTGATCTTGACAACTTTGCAGGCTTTGAAGTTCCTTCACGAGAAGGGCTTACCGTACGGTCACCTACATGCAGGGAATGTGATATTAGAAGGGAATGCTTGCAGATTGTTGGACATAGAGAATACTCTTTTAGGGCTGCCATTCTTCTATAGGGGATACCTGTCACACTTCAGAAAAATAAATGTGAGTATACAATGGATAATAGTTGCTGATGAATTAATTTTGTGTAATCATAATATATTCGCTGTACAGTTTGAGTGTCTTAAAAGTATTCACTTTCTCGTTTTCCTTTGCAAATTTCTTATTATGAAATTGAATAAAAGTATGAAGAAAATTTTATTTAGAAGTTGGCATACTTTTCCATTTTCTGAGCTATGTATACTTTATTCACATCATGAATTTAGTGAAATCACAGATTTATGATGCTTTTGTTGTATATGATTCATATTTTTCTTCAGACGACCGAAGCTGTTGATGTGTATTCCTTTGGTCATGTTCTCTATGAGATGACGTTTGGATCTCCCTTGAACGTTGCCTCAAAAGATGACTTCCCTCACACGATACCTCCCCCAATCAGTGAGTATCAAATCTCATGTAGTACCTCGTCCTTCTAAAAAAAAATGTTGCCTCAAAGAATGACTCCCTCCACACAGTAATTACTCTACAAAGCTGCTGTAATTGCTAATCCTTCAAACAGGCTATCTTTTAAAGGACTATGGTCCCTACACAAAACCTCCCATATTAGTAATTCTGTTACAGTGGCTAGTCTTCCCACCAGGCTGTTGCATCAAAGAACAACTTCCTCCATATGAATCTTGAAGAAAGAAATTTTTTACGTATCTAGTCCTTCAAAGAGACTGTTGTATCAAGGACCTCCCCCACACAATAACTTCCCCCCAAAAAAATAAAAAACCTGATATAAAACCTACTCCTACCAAAAGGCTTTCCCCTCAAAGAATGACTACATCACATACAGTAATCCCCTTTAGTACCTTGTCCTTCTAAAAGATTATTGCATCAAAGAATTACCCCCCCCCCCCCGCATGATACCTCCCCTAATGTGCTGTAGTCGCTAGTCTTTTAAACAGGGTTTTCCTTCAATGAGTGACTTCCCCCACAATTAATAGCAGAAAGACTCCCCAACGAAAAGAGCTAATACTTTAATTCAAATACCAATTTTCTCATAATCTTGTAGATTTTAAATTTTATTTCATCTCATGCTTACCCGTATTCTTCTGGTATTTTTTTTTCCGTGATTGGGTTAATATTTGAAGGAATTATATTACAATTTTAGTGATTTTTTTTTAAATGACTTAAAATACACTTTTTTTATTCTTGGTCCTGAATAAGCAGTAATCCTTACGTGTTATTATGTTGTGATCTTGAAGTGTTTGATTATCATTTGTTGTGCCTTTTTTTAACAAGAAAATATTAATTTCAATATGTTATTAATTCCTTTATTTTAGAATCTGTGCTAGAATCCATCCTAACGACAGAGGCCTGCAAGACCAAGTTACCAACAGTTGATGATCTTCTTGCTGACCCGTGAGTGGCATATTATTTTCTAGTTTTTAAAATTAACATTATCAATACAAATAAGTTGGCATTCATCCCGTGAGAATGGAACACGAAGTATAGTGAAATCAGATTATGTTGTACTCATGATGATGATGATCTTGGTAGCTGTGTTACCTAACCCGTTTCCTGCTGGAACCGTGTTGTCCCTGTATTCAAGTTTATTGGGGAACACTAATTTAGGAGTCAGCAGGTTAATTAACAGGTGATCCCCAGTTGAATGTATTTTTTGTTTTGTATAAAAAATATGTCATGGAGGTTAGATTCCTCGATGACAGAGCAGTGATCATGTAAGCAACAGTCTCGGGTTTGATATCAATTCGCTGTTCCAGTATCCTTTGGTAAGGCATCAATCATGACTTACCGAGTCCCTCAGATAGGACATAGAGTGCTAACTCCACTGGCTAGTTATAGGTATATACTTACTTTTTTTAGCAGCCATGCAAAAGAAAAATTATAATAATCATCATAATCATTGATCATAGTCACATATAACAGATTATCTTCAATGTCAGAACGCAGTTTTCTATACCATTCTCAAAGATAAAACTGTTCTTCATGACTATCAAATATCGTGTTTGTTTTGTGTAGACTGTTTTCAGATGTTACTTTCCCGGAGAGAGACAGACCGCAGTTTAGGATACCTAGTAAGCTGAAGGAACCCCTCAAAGCTGCCAAATCAGAGGTGGAGAAAAGGCTACAGGAAGATTCTAGAGTGGTAAGAACACTTTCAATACAGCTCTCAGAAGGAGTAATTTGGATGTAGCCAGGCGCTTGGGAAAGATTAATTCATATTTTTACTTTTGAAAGCACTTCATTCAACATATATGTCAGAAATCTCCCAATGAAGCTACGGATTGTTTATGTGTTATATGTATTAATTCTTTCATGTTTCAGCTTTGTGTGTTTATACTTGCAGGTATACATGTACATTGTTATTGTATTTCTACTGTGGGTACTCTTGCAGTGCAAATATATAATATTCTTCTATTATTCAAATGATATGCATGACAATGTGCAGGGCTGCCCAGTGTTCCAAAGCTATTGGGATCATTCTAAATGTGAGTGTTTGTTGCATAACTCATTCATTTATCAATACCTACAAGAATTTCAAATAATTGAATGCTTAATTTCTGGCTACTGTACTTTAATTGTTGATCCCCATTCCCAACCCCCCCCCTTTTTTTTTGCTTCCTCTTTCCTGCATTTTTTTCTTCTTTTCACTATCTGATTTCACTTGCTAATTTGTAAGTAATGAACTCATTCCATCTTCATGTTTTGTCTGTGTGTTCACTATGGAAAGGTCTCTTCCTTCCGACGGTTGTCCAAGGCCCAGGCCCATCATAACTCGGACGAGGAGAAACGGAGAAGAAAGAAGGCGCATCTAAAGAAGAGGATGTCAGAACAAAACATCGGAGAAGCCAACAACTCCACTCCACCTGCACAAACTAATGGCAACCATGCTGGAAATGGTGAGAATGAAACGTTTGTACTTAACCAATGCTGCATGTCTGTGTACCTGGGACAATGCTACTTCTACATAATAATGTTATTACATAATCACCCCCCAAAAGCGACAAGTTCTGTACATGATATGTAATCTCCTTAATAGAATAATATATAGTAAGTTTGCCTATATGTATATTTGTAAAACTCAACAACACTCTGTTTTAATCATTTCATTATCTTTTCTTCCATCTACAGGTGCTGTTCCTACTCCCCCTCCCCCGTCGACCCCTGCCCAGCCCCCTCCAGGTAAGAATCAATCATGCATCATATGTTATTCAGATGTCTTGGGCATTTTAAAGAATTATGTGTCAATCTGTTTCACTTTTTACTTTACTGTTTTATTTTAAAAGTTTTCCTGAGCCACTTTTCTTGTATTTTGTGAAAAAAAGACATGCAGCTCTTTTGATGCTTCATGTTGAGTTGTGGTAAGGCTTTTGGGGAGTGATTTGCATATTCACTTCAGTTTATATCTTATGAATGTAAGTATGAGTACCACTCTTCTTTAGCTTTATTTGAAGCACCAGAACAAATTTGCAGCTTGTCTCGATGCAGTTTTCAATTTATCTTTCTTCAAGCAAGCAAGGTATCTCTAGCTCTCTTAGCATATAATATTCTTTATACAATTTCTGTGAAGCTACCATTATCGTGGGCCATGTTATTTCCTCTTTCATTTTCATTAGCCAGTTTGACAGAGACATATAGTTTCAGATTTGCAACAGGACATTTGTTAAAGAAGGTTATCAAGTTATTCTGATATTATCCTCTTGAATTTACTGTTGACTGTTCTTATATCACATTGTATGCTCGTCTTATTTCGTTCTGAAACCATTGTGGGAAAATGTCCTGTAAGGATGATGAATGCTATTCTGTTCTTTCCTTTCTGAATTGAGACTTTAAAGCTACTTGTATTTTGTAAAATTGAGAATGTATGCCAGCTTTATGAAATGTTCTCATTTCGAATTTTCTATTTTTCTACCATTTCTATCCTAATTTGTTTGTATCCGTCAATGTGTACTTCAGAATCCAAAACGAAACATCATAGAAAAAAGGGTCATAAAAAAGGTCAAAGGTGAGAAAGGAATGCAGCATGTCAAGAGTTTGGAAAGCATCTTTCAGAAGAGAAACAAAATGAGATGAATGTTTAACATGCATGATGCAAAGAATACAAAATCTGTGCTTTTTGGAACCAAACTGACACCCAGATCTTGACAATGGTTCTGACTGACACCAGTATACTTGTAGCTTCAGACTGTTTTGCATTGATTTGTATGATTTTGCAGTTTTGTATAGTTGAAGGAAGAAAAAAAAAAAATCAGTGTTTGAAAATCTCTACGTTCGTTGATGCATTGTCTCGTCAGGCAAGCAAAAAAAGTGTGAATTGTAACATCTGTTTCATAGCGCCTCTTTTTTACCAAAAATGTTATAATGTAAAATAAAGTATAATTTATAAATTTATCATAGCACCAATGTTTGCTATAAAAGTTCACTTTAATTTATTGTCTTTTTATTTCTTTTCTTTCCCTCGCATTTCACAGCAACAAAGTAAAATCAGGTAGATCCAATTAAATCCTGTGCATGGGGTTATGAATGAACAATATTTTGTTTGTAGTTGACAGTGATCACTTTGCACTAAACTTCTAAACTAGACATCAAAGATCACTCTAATTTTACACTGTTTTAGTGTTAGTTTTCATATGCACAATCAAAGAATAGAGTTTATGTGTTTTCATCTTCCTTTATTCCATCATCAAATCGTTTTTGTTTGGAATGTTGGTTACTTTAAGAAAATCTAATTCTGTTATGTCATCAATGAATAAGATTAATCTGGTCAATCAGAAAATGAAAGTAGTTTTATGGTATCAAAAAGATACATCAGTTTCAAGCTTTGCTTTAAAGGGCACTAGTCACCCCAAAATATCATTCTGTGATGTAAATTATCCTCTGAACTTTACAAAATGTCAAACGGCCAACAGTTGAAGAAAAATATTCAAGATTGACTTTTGTGCTTGCCAAATTGTATGCAAGTGCCTCAAGGAGTCTACTTATTAGTGCAATTTCATTATTTTTAGTCGCAATATTTCTTTACAGAAGTGAGATTTTAAGTTGATATTTTTTAATGTAAAGTGTACTTTACAGAACCACAAAGCTTACAAAACTAAAAAGACAAACAAAAATATGATGGTCCCCATACCGGTATATCCTGTTCTATATGCAAACTATAAATCTCAATGTGGTCCAAATTGCTCGCAGGTTAATTGTTGTCTCTGTGGCAAATAAATTGAGGAGAAATAGCACTGTACTGTAAATGCAATGAGATAAAGCAAGCACAAAACTGCATGAATGGGTTAAAATGATCTCGTCCTGAATACTTGCATACTCTATTTCTTCACCATGCTGCTAACATCATGTGATGAATCGAGGTTAAAGGAAGGGATACGGTGCCTTGACCCTACTGATATTTAAGCTAGACATAGACCAGCCAGCGCTGGCTGGGGTAGGGGAGACTTCAGACATCTCCTGAAGCTAGATCAAAATTGGTGACGATAGATGACATTTCTGCTTCCCTCTCAAAAAGGAATCTTCTATTAAAAAGGAAGTTATGAATTACAAGATGATTCGACGTTGCATGTAGGTAGTTGAGGTTGGGTCGATGGGATAGGTGTGGTATTAAAAGAAAGGTGAACTTAAAGGGACAGCTGCAATATGCATGTAGGTAGTTGAGGTGGGGGTCGATGGGATAGGTGTGGTATTAAAGAAATGTGATCTTAAAGGGACAGCTGCAATATTGGGGATATATACTGTTTGTATTTTACCATCATTATCTTCAACTTGTTTTAAAACATCACATAGAAAGCGGATTAATTAAAGGATGTGATTTTAATTAGGAAACAAGTTAGAGAGTGAAAGGAAGTGAGTGTGATAACACTGAGGAAATGATATGACAGTAAGAGAGGTGAGAGAGTGAGAAAGTGAGTAAGTGCAAGTGAGAGAGAAGACAGAAAGAGAGAGAGAGAGAGAGAGAGTGAGAAAGTGAGAGAGAAGACAGAAAGAGAGAGAGGTATAGATAGACAGACAGACGAGGACAGAGAAACAGAGCAAAGAGAAAGAGAAAGCATAAGCAAAAGAAAGAAGATTGTAGGAAAATGTGTTTTTACACAATTACAAAGATGCATTTGCATTCTGAATTTATGAGGTTCATAGCCAATCATCAGAGATCAGGAAATAATGACTCACACATCGAGGGCAGTCCTCATATACTCCCATCGCCACAAGATGGGGTAGTTACAAGCTCATTGTTTGATTATTATAATATGTTCTCCTACAGGTAAATAAATAGAACTTCAACATCCCTTCATGTGAATAAAATTACAAAATGAGTAAATACTAGAATATTTATTTGTTGTATGTACAAAATAATAAGATTTCTAACTCTTTTATGGCAATGCTATGCTGAAGTTTGAAATAAGTTGAGTTCTTTGGGTATACATGAGTTAGTTTCTTCAAAATCCTTATCAATTTATTTATTCATGTATCGGTTGGTTAGACAAATATTTTTAGTATAATCAATTAGCGAACCAGTGTTTTATGTCAAAGGATTTTCGTAACCGAAGCCATGTTCTGTGATTTTATTGTGCTAACTTACCTATGTAAATCTTTTGGAACAGATGAAGAGCTGGACAAACCATAAGTAAGGAGAGCACATCGTACAGTTAGGTTTGTGCCCTGTTGAAAGTCCCGTCTCTACTTTTCCAATACACTTCCATGTTTAGTTTCATGACCCTTGGTCTTTTTGTTGCAGAACTAGATCTTTGTACTAACTTTTAGCAGGGATGTACTAGAGAAGGAAATGTCACGACCTATGATTTAAGGAGATTGGGGGGGGGGGGGGGGGGAGGATATGCCCCATCCTCTTTAGAACTTAATCTGGCATATCCTAGGTATAAAAATGTGCCCCAATTGTATTATTGTGTCCTCCTCTTTTGTTTTCAGTGTCAGAGATGTTTTTTGTGTAAATTAGCTTGTCAATATTGTAAAACCCATTTTTTTTTTCTTCATTTGCTTGTCAGAATATTTTGTGATGGTGCTCCCTCCTTTAAACAAAATCCTAGATCCACCCCTGACCTGCAGATTTTGTACCCATGCTCTATGCTGCTGATAATTAATTTATTCAATTATTTTTGTTAAAACAATTACAAAGATTTTGCATAACACAACGGCTTTTCATGGAGACCAAAGTTGTGATTGGTTCCTGGTTTTGGATCTATATGAATATCCAACTGAAATAACCATAAGCCAGATAATATTTCAAGCAAAATATTGTAGTTTCATCCAAATTCCAAGTTAATGGTTTTAACAGAAATATAGAGATATATAGAGTTATAATAATAAAGATTTGTCATCTTATTTTCATTCAATTATTCTTCATTTGTGAGGAATCAAAAGAAAATAAATGAGACATTCCTCTTCTAGATACAATAGGTAATATTTCTCTCCGAAGTGTCTTTGGCAAAATGACAGTGTGGAACATGGGAAATCATTGACATTGATAGTCTTTGTCACCCATTAGCATGCTTATTAAAGTAGATAATTTAATACAAGTCTGTCATAAAGAAGTGTCGTTTCCTTTTCTTTATTACATCCCCTGCTTTTGGTCGCTTCACTTCTACTCTTTGCACTTCTTTATAGCTACTGTTTTCTAGCAACCTTATTTTCCCCTTTCTTTCCTTCCTTCCTTGCTTCTCATTGCTTCTAACCACCCTTCTCTCCCTCTCTCTCTCTCTCTCTCTTGCTCTTTATCTCTCTGTCCTTCTCTCTCTCTCTCTCTCTCTCTCTCTCTCTCTGTCCTTCTCTCTCTCTTATTACATACCTTTTGTGTTTTTGCTTGGAAGAAGGGGAAATATACCAAGAACAGTAATTGAAGCTTATAATTGTTCTCACTCCATCGTCAAGAATAAAAATGCATCTTTGGATAAAAGCTACTAATCAGATTTTGTTGCCTTTGCCACTGTTTTTGTTGTCTCGCAATGCAGGAGGCCTAACGATGCACACTTTTACTTTCATTTCATGCTATGTAAGACCTTACTTATCACTCTTTAAAGAATCATTTTAATAGTATATACCAAAAAAAGTATAAAAGGAATCGGAACTTATACATTCATTATAAAACAGAAAATATATATATTAAGGATTTGGAAATTATTTTAACCATGATTAACAAAAGTAATTGTTCGCTGCATCAAAAGAGAACAGAAGCATCAAATGACTTCACTATACTATAAATATAAAAATCACACTTTTCTTTATTAAAGTATCACTTAAATTTGTTTTACAATTGTATTTTATAGACTTTCTTTCCTCATGTATATATATCTTAATTTGCATGCTTTCTTACACATGCTTATTAGCCACTTTCTATTTGTGGCAAATATTCCTTTGTAGTTTGTTTCTCATATTCCCTGGTATATGTGGTCATAACTAAAAGATAGAAAAAACATCAGAAATATTATTAATATGATACTTCATAATACTGCTATCTGTAACAAATTGTTCCTCTGGGTTGAATGTTTTCAGGATATTAATGCCAAAATAATTATTTTATGTAATATAACTTCATGACCTACATGTACATGTCTAGTCAGTACCTGGATTCAATGTGGTGAACAGATTTTCAACTGGAGGATTCTGACCCATTCTTTTTTCCCCTTGATTTATATGTTTTCTTGTTATATTCTTTGTCACATTTGACAAATACATATACATGCACTTATTCCACATTTTTGTAATGCTTGTTAGTATGCATCTCGATATTATTAAGATATTGTCTGTCAAAACGTTTATTTTCAGATCCAAACTTTGGAACTTCTACTCTTTAAAGTCTATTATATTTGGCATATTAGATGTATGTAAAAGTTTAGCTCTTTATGTTTTGTGTTAATTGTTGCTTTAAAAAAAAAGTAGTGTCAAATAAGATGCATTATGCTTTTAGCACAAGCACTGTACCATTTTAGAAGATTTTTACTGTGTTTAAGTGCACTTTTGGATTCGAGCAAGTTCTCATTTACTCTGCTTCAAAAGTTTGCTCATGTTTGAAAATTACCAATAAACTACCGGTACTTCTTTTCCTTTCGAGATGAAGAGAAATATTAGTTTCAATAGCTTGAAGCCAATTAAGCCTATTAAGATATATGTTATTTACTTTAATACCTCTTTATCCTATTCATAGATATTTTCTGAAGTAGTTGTCCTTACTATGTTTCTAAATGTTTTGGTGATGGTCCAACTCATGCATGGATTTTATTGATTTGATGCGGTACATCAATATGATTTGCTGTTGGTTTTGTTTATTCCATAGCAATAACAGTGTTCTGCATTTTTTTTTTCTGCACTGAGCATAATTTCAATTTAATTCAATAAAAGAAGTTATACATTCCAAATTTTTTCTTTTTATACATTTTTTTGATATTTCTTGTCTAATTTTATTTTAATTTTTTTTTTTTTAAATATTGCATATGACAGCTAAGAATTTGGGTGTTACAATGGTGTTTATGCATGATTGGTGCCACATGCAATACTAGACATGGTGAAATTGACATTTCAAAACTGGTCAAACCAGGATTCACTAAAAATATGTCACCTTTTGCTGTATCAAACTTTTTTTATCGCACGGCATCGGCATGTAGCATGATAAATCATTTGGCAAAAGAACATGTCTCAAGACTTGCAATGTGGAGTTTAACATCAGGTGCAGGGAATATCCTTTATTTATCTCTTATACACCTAACCTTGAGAGGGGGGGGGGGGGAAGGAATGATTATTATTGACTGGATGAAATATGTAAACAAATCCTTTCATTTTTTATATAAATGTAATGCTTCCTGGGAGAAATTTGTGGCTTACATCCAGTAAATAATTGATCAATCTGTATTGAAAAACAAGTCAGATAAAATCTTGGAATCTTGAATCAGGAGAGCTTCAGGTATTTGTTCTAGTTCATCGTGACTGTGCCATGGACCAGTGATGGCCTGGTGGTAGAGTCGCTGCCCGGAAAGCAGTAGATGTAGGTTCAAGTTCCGCTGGTTCCAAGATTTTTTTGACTTGTTTTTCAATACAGATCGATCAATCGATCTTATTTACTAGGTGTAAGCCACAAATATGTTTAAATAAATCCATTCATGTACAATATACCGTGTGAGTCAAAAAAAAGTTAACACCTAGAAAATTGCTAATTATTTTTAAAATCATCTATGAACAGTAAATTATTATACATCTGATGAAAGAGTGTTTTATCCCAAATCATTTGGTACCATTTTTGTGTGGTATGTGTTCACGCTTGGATGAACAGGTGGCATTGTTTACGAGAGTGCAAAAATCGACTTGCGCCAAAGTGATGGATGGCTTCAGTATGTATTATTTTGGGATTAGCGAAGTGAGAAAATGGATTGAATGCATAAAATGAAATGCATTGCATATGTTTTTTGCAAAGGGCAAAGTCACACACCCACACACACGTGCATAAATGTTCGTTGATATTGATATTCGATATTCACTATGTGTGGCATGATTAATTTTGTTAGGGATGTTATTTGGATCTGCAAAGACTGAATTAATACCCAAATCCCAATTGTTTTATTCAAACATTACATTAGCAACTTTGGCGCAAGTCGATTTTTGCACTCTCGTAAACGATGTCTCCTGTTTATCCAAGCGTGAACACATACCACACAAAAATGATACCAAATGATTCGGGATAAAACACTCTTTCATAAGACATATAACAGTTTAATGTTCGCCAATGATTTTTTTAATAATTAGCAATTTTCTAGGTGTAAACTTTTTTTTGACTCACACTGTATTGCCTGTGTCAAGAGAAGATCATGTAATAAGATAAGCTCTTTCTTTTCATCACTATGTCAAACTGGTGATGGTTTACCATTACATTGGATAATTTACAAGCTAAATTATATTTGTTACAGTTATAAAGCCCATGTGTCAGGTTCAAATATCTACCTGAGATATAGGAATGGGTCCTGTAATGAATCACTGCTAGTAGTATCACAAAGTGAATCCTTTGACATGAGAGGGATTAAACCGACTACCACCGGTCCAGTTCTCTAATTCCCATAAGCTTGTGGGAATAAGAGAATTCAGGGGTCAACAGGTTAAATGCAGTATTTTGTCATCTTTCTCATTTTTTTTTTATTGAAACAGTTCCGAGCGCTCCAGCTCCACCTCCACCACCAAGTCAAGGTCCTGCTCCACCTCCAGTCAGCTCCAATCAGCCTCCTGAACGAGGAGCTCTCCTCAGCTCCATCAGCGGCTTCAACAAGGGAGGATTAAAGAAGACCCAAACCGCTGACAAAAGTGGCCCAAAAGTATAGATCGACATATCACTGGCAGGGAATGCTTAGGCAAATCCAAGTAGTTAGTTGGTCATTTGGTGTCCAATACGTTACCTAGTATTGCAGAGTTTGGCTATAGCATGGTTTAGGGAACCACTCACTCGTTTAGCATGCACACACTTGTGTATAGTCTGTAGACCCTATTTCTCTATGGAGTGGGAAAGAGGAGACCAATGCGTGGGATAAAGTGAAGCGCTTGTTTGCGAAGGTTGAATCCTATTTCATGATAATGCCAAGAGTTGTGAACATAAATTGACATCAAATGTGACATATGTCACTTCATATATGGTCTGATCTAAGCTCCAGCGAGGCTATTGACTTTGTAAAGATTGATGAGGTTCACTAAAATCTGAGATATAGTCGATTAGTCGGTAACGTAAGAGACATAATATCTTGGTCTTACCCACATATCATGAAGCTGTCGTATTCCATATGTCATCACTGATATATAATTTATTAGTAATGTATTGTAATAATTAACATTGTCTTAGCCATCACTACATTTATACCAATCATGTGGCGGTATAAACATAACTTGACATCGAATGTGATTGCCACTTCGTATTCGGTATGGTCAAAGCTGTATTAGAGCTATTATAATCAGATAATTACTATGATCTGAGATGCGATCAGTAACATACGGGACAAAATAGCCTGGACTTGCCTACATATATTGTAGCTGTCATTATGTGCCATATTCTATTTGTCAGTGATATATGAATTTATTAGTTAATCATTAATATCCATTTATTAGTTTATCATTAATATCCACACATCAATGATCGATATGACCATAAGTGTAATACCACTGGGGGGGGGGGGGGGAGATATAGGTAGAGAGTACATGTAATCTTGAGCTGTTTGGTAGTGCCAAAAGAATTACTACCACATCATAATCTTTTTGTATGATGATTTCTCTTATTTAGAGTCAACAGGCTAAGTTGTCGTAAAGACATAAAGAGCCAGCTATCTAGAAATACAAATTTCTTTTTTTTTATTTTGGCTTTGAAATAGTAATCATAATCAGCTCTACCAACAGTGAGTTTATTTTTAAAGTTTACTAAATTACACAATTTTATCTGAAAACTGCCAAGCAGATGTATTGTGTATATTTGAAATTTTTTGATTCAGTGATTGATTTTAAAACTTCTCCCTTTTTATACAATATTTATTTTCCTGTTATTACATTCTTTATCATCAACAAAAATGTCAACCACAACTTCCTCGTCATTATCAACATCAATGTCATCATCATCATCATCATCATCACAACATATCTCCATTTATCTTCATATACCCTTCTAAAATGAACTTCCCCATAAAATGTATATTCTGAGTTTATATTACCCATGATTTATCTTCATGGTGTTACTTTAGAAAGCATTCCATCATAATATTCCTTTCATATTTTGTATATATTTATATTATATTTGTGTATCAGAATTTATTTTAAAATATTATTTTTTTATTTTTACTTTTTATAGTTTTGACTATCAAGTATCAACCTTTCTAAAACCTGATGTTGAACACAATGGTTGATGTTTGTAAAAGTGTACTAGTATAGTTCCAACTATGTCTTTAGAGTAAGTCCACTTGTGTTTGTGGAGCTAGGATTGTTAATCTCTTAGCCTTTGACAAATTTGCATAATTCTGTGATTAAATCAACATAATGAATGTTTCATTGAAATCAAATTCTCATTTGCATTTGTAGCTGGAAATTTTGTATAGAGTAATTCAAGTACAGGACTACACTATGCCTCATGTGTACAGAATGATAATGTTGACAATCTATCCCCCATTAATGAGAAGAATAGTCTGTCAGTTATAATTACATCAGTGTTTATTTAGAATAAAAACCTTTTTTAATGCTTTTATGCTATATGTTTCATCTTGTGTGACAATGAATTTATGTCTGGTTTTTGAGATATATCATTCATTCTTACGTGTAATTGTGTTACACATACACACACAAACAAATTGCAATTGATGTTTGACATGTTGAACATTTTATGATTGATGTATTACTATCTGTTTATAGATGCATTATGGAATTAACTGATATATTATATCTTTATTTACGATTATTTCATCATTTGTTTATGTCAGTGGAACCCTGAACTTGAAGTACCAAAGAATACAAAGAATTTTGTATTTTGACATGAATGTGTTTCAGATTTTCATTTTTGTTGTTGGAATGATCAGCTGCCCATATTCAAGGAAAATCATTATGTAATAGCAATTTTCAATTAGAAAATTGTTTTCATTATATGCTTATTGGTATCTTGAAAACAAGATAAGTTCAGTAAAGAGAGTATCATTTCCATGTGTGTGGTTTAAAGTTAGAAGTCTTGTATTTAACTAAGATGATAGTCCAAGTTTTTACCTTTTACTGTCTTTTCTTCTTAAAATGATGACAATAGATGTATCATATTTTCTGGCCACACATGCTACACACACATGTTTACTAATTAGTTAATACAGAATACTGCTTTTATTGTTTAAAATTTGAGTATACAAAACATAACTTAATATGTGACTAGTTTCTGGTTATGATTTTTACATGAAATAATGTTGGTTCAGATCATTGAAATAGGTTATAATCTTTTTTATATATAGTTCTCTGTAATATAATCATAGTCATTTATGATGTTATAACTCCCTTTCTCTCTCTCTTTCTTACCCCCCCCCCCCCCCCCCCCCTATTTCTTTGGAATAACAAATTGATTTAACCAATTAGTTGTAAGCCCGAGACAGGCCAGAGGGATTAATGTTTGAGAACATACAAATTTTAAGCTTATACTTTTTTGTGGGGGGGGGGGGGGGGGAGGGGGATTATTTACATGATATTGGATGTAGACATCTGTACATATACCACATTTGTACTGTTATTATAGGTTTAAATTCATTTATGTGAATATGTTGTGCATTCGTGTTTACAATTCATTTAAAACAAATTGTATCATGTTTTTTCATATGACAACTCAAAATATGACAAATTGATAATCAATGTAAACTGCAGAAATGTTCCTAGGTCATAACTTTTTAGTTACAAAGTACCTCTTTCAAAATGTAAGAGTTTTTTAATCCTTCATGGAAGAGATTTAAGGAAATCAGTTTCTCAATATGTTATGGGAATTTCTTTTCTATGTCATCACAGAATGTAGTGAACATTGTACATTTTGTAATTTGAAGAAGACTTTATTTTCTTCCTAGAATTGTGACTATATTTTGATAGCTATACTTGCATTGTTTGTTGTATTTTTCTATGATAATGTTGTTTTTTCATTGTCTTTGAAATCACTGTAAAAGTTAAAGATTTCGTGTTGTGCAACACAAGAATGTTTATACTAAATTTATAGACAAATAAAGGTATATACAGAAATTCTATCATATCACCTGTCTCTGTTTCTGTTTCTTTTCTTCAGTCTTGCAGTAATGCAGGGATGTTTATTTCAATTGTTAAAATGGTGATGATAATGATGATGGTAATAATGATAATAATTTTAAGAAGAATAAGAATAAAAAGAATGATAAGAATAATGATAAGAATAAAGAATAATAATAACTACAATAATAATAATAATAATTAAGGTACAGAAAAATATCAACATAAATTTCTGATCACCATCCAAAACCAATGAACTCTACTTATGTGCATGAGACTTTGCAGACAATTTTGGAAACACAAATACATATATAAATGATTTGACAGATAAGCGTCTATAATCATATGAAATTTAATAAAGATTATTTTTGAGATTAACACATATAGGTGTGACATCGTAAATTTAATAATTAATGCCAACCAAGGAAAAAACAGAAAGTGACCACACGAAACAGGCGGCCTTTGTAGACAGGTTCTTCAACATGTTTCCTCCTAGAGAGAGGCAATATCAGTGGCCTTTATAGTCGATATAAACAGATATAATAATAATACATAATAATAATAATAATATCTAGAAATGCGCCACAGGTTTGACTGTATTATATGAATTGATGATTCCAAAATCAAAAAAATGTTAAAGCCTTTATTTGTTTATGTGATTATGCTTCTGGGCAATGTCTACCAGTACATTCTTAGTTGTTTTGCTGGAGAATTGTTAAGATCTGCATCCATATTAATGGTATGAACTTCCATATAAATATACATATATTTATATATTCCTTAAACTCGTACTCTCATGACTACCTTACAATATGTTAAAATTGTGATCTCCTAATTTTCTTTTCCGAAAAAGGGGATTTTCGCATCGCGCGCTCTGTACATAGAGACCTCAAGAACTAACTGAAGCTAGAGACTATATTGTAGATAAGTACACGAGCACTCCGCAAATCACTGAATGACACTAAATTCGAAATAGCCAGCCGTTTACGTGATTAACAGTGTCATGGGACTCATGCGATGTATTTGCATTTTTGTAAAACAAACATCGCGGTGACTCAGTATTTCGTGATTTAATGAACTTGACATCTTCAACCTTTCTATTGCTTTCTCATCCGAGCTATAATATAAGGAGATTTTCAAAGACCATCTCCCCGGATCTACCTCAGAAATCACCAATCGCGTCCGGTGAATCACATTCGCACACTATGTGAATTGACAATTTGCAAGCAAGGACCAAGGCGTGTTGTGTGTGATTTCTATTATTGTGAATGCGTCACGTGTATTCTCAATGCCCCAAAGTTGATGATGGTGGGAAACGACCAAAAAAAGACCAAGTCCAGGACCAAGGAGAGTAAGACCGGTGACAACATGAAGAAGAGTAGCAGTCGCTCTGGAAGAACTTCACCAGGGTTGAATGTGAAAAGATTCACCATTCCAAAGAAGCAGAAAGGTAGATCTAGAGGTCTAGACTATTTGCACCCCAAAAAGTAAAACAATTTTGTGTGTGTGTGTGTGCCGAAGGGGGGGGGGGGGGGGGGTTGATGTTGAGCATGTTGAGGAAAAAAAGGAGTGTTTGCCCCTTGAGCCAATTTTTTTTTAGCACTTTGCTTACCTTCAATGACAATGTGTCCCTGATGATAAGCTAATAATCGTGCGATTTACATCTCAACAAAATAATGCAATAGGCCTAGAATCTACTCAATTTCATGTTGACTTTACCAGCTGGTCTGAGAATGAGGAAAATAACCCTAGTTCACCGTCTACTTTTATGGGTTGTCCGTCTTCCCAAGGATTTATTGCTCATAATGTTAAGGTCTCTTCACAAAGTCAATGTAAAATAATGCATCAAGAAAAACATTGCGGAATCCGTTTTTTGCATCGCCAATGCGCTGATCAAAAATATGAAACGTCTGCGAAAATGCAGACGATCCTTATTTTTGAGGACGCATCGGTCTGCGTTTACGAAGACGATCCTCGTTTATGAAGACGATCCTTATTTTGGACCAGCGCCCCTACTGTTTACGATATAAAACTAATTAGCGATGAGCCAAAGAGTGTAATGTACTGAGGCGCATGCATGCATGGAGTTAAGTTTGATGAATTTAGCAAACTCCATGCGCCTGCCTTTTTACACCCAAGGCTTTTGTTGTACAGTAGGTATCAAATTGGCACCGGGAAAACGGGCGTTATTGCATACACCTACCTACCATGTGTAATTGAATCAACATCGCAAGGGTCAGCATTTTTGTGATGTAAATGTTGCTCATTATCATTGGGAAAAAGTGGAGAGTAAGAAAAGTGCTATCTCTCCGGAAACAAATTTCCACATATTTTGGTGTTGGTTTTTCTACACATTGTAAGCTGATAAAGCAACCAAAATGAAATAAAAATCAAATGGGGAGAGGGGTAGACGTTTTCCCTGTAAGTTGGAGTTATGATCGGATCGGATGATCGAAGTGGCAGTTTGGCTCCCCTTATCAGATCGGTATCAGATCGGCAGATCGGGAGGGGAATCTGATTAATTTGCAAAAATTGCCCAAATTTGACAACTTTGAGCACTCTAAGACCGAAATTCACTCATACCTTGAATAATTCTCTTATTTGAAGTTGTTGTAGTCCATGTAAAAAGGTGTTTTCATGCTGTAATAAAAAAAATTATATTAATCGGCCAGCGATCGCCCCCCCCCCCCCCCCCCCCCCCAATCGGATTATCTTTTACAGGGCTAGGAGATGTCCCCTCATTTGGCTATATCGATTTCAGCCCCCTCCCCCAATGTTTACCTGGTCAGTTCTATGTCTTCGCCTACAATTTAAAGACTGACTCAGTCAGACCCAGTTCGAAACTGAGCCTCTTATAGGATGGTGACGTTAAAGGGCGGTCCCCAGACGTAACTAATCATCTGATTGATATACTGTACATCTGTAAAAACCTGATTACACACACTTGACTTTCCAAAACACAAATACTACCTTTCAACCCATGTTATTCAGGACACTTCAGACAGCAGCACCAGAAATAATGAGCATCTTGTTTACCCATGTTACGTTGCTGCCCCTTACAAATTAGAAATAAATCCATAGGGAAATAATGTAAATTTGCACACACACACATGCAGGGGAAAGCCTCAATGTAGTCAATATAGGCACTTCCCGATCCGTTATAAGGAGAAACCTGATAATGATGACAAACATGTAGGTTTGATTCTCCCCTCTTAGGCACAGAGGTGTTAAATAGTGTTCCTTGAAAGGTTAGACCCTCCAAAATAATGTTCTCATTGTAGACTGGACACTTTTGGCAATAACACCAAAAGATGCAGTGTCAAACTTTCTTCCCCAACAAAATAAATTAATTGAAATCATTTTATTAGCACTGTACAGTATCTATTTGGCATGCTTTATGCTGTAAGTGTAATTGTTATCACTTCAAAGGTTGAGCCAGTTCATTCAGATATTTTTTGTTTACATGGAACATCACCCATTAAAAAAGGTGATCATTGATTGAAGCACCATGTCCATATACTGTATGTGCATTTCATAGACTGTGGTCAGCCCTAGCAAGGATTAGGATAATAAAAATAATAGTGGGTTCTTGTAAAGCGCTCATGTCTGTCATACGTGACACTCCCTGCGCCCCCATTATTACCCTGATTTTAACACGGCTGCCATACGGCGCTCTAGCATTTCAAGACATTAATTCCTGCCAGGTACCCATTTACATCACCTGGGTTGAGTGTGGCAAGTGTAGATCAATGTCTTGCCAAAGGACATTAGTGCCCAGCGGGACTCTACCATGACACCTCTACTTCCCTATCTATTATATTATATTTCTGTGCTTATCTCCCAACAGAGCTGCTTAATGAGGTTGAATTGGACTCTAGTGAATACCTCCGGGAGGTGTTACCCATAATCCAACAAGGGTACAGAGAGTCGTCTTCAAAGAACAAGTTCAACTATGAAAAAGTACAGCTTATCCACAATCCTGTGCTGAAGAAAGAGGTATAATAAAATGATGATAATTATTATTCAGTAGGCCATTTGAAATTTACCAATGGCTTCATACAGGTAGACTTACAGGTACATATGTTATGTTGAGGTCTTGTAAAGATGATATTTTGTGATTTGTTTTGAATTTTCTCCCCACCACAATGACATGAATATTTTTGTACTTCATGTAACAACCTACTCACCGGTATCAGATGTCTGCATGTCGTACATTGTATCAACGACTGGTAAAGAGATTTTTCAGCAATTCATTGATGTGCTTTTAAGTGCAGTTTGGGTAATTCCGGAAGTTCAATTTTCAGTAAATATACATGTGATGTCCTTGTATGATTTCAGAAAAAAAATAATGTAGATATTTGTGTTTCAAATGTCCCCATGATATGGAAATTCCATGTTATGTGATCATCGGTATGAATAGTTTATTAATTTCACAATTAACTTGAGTTCGGTAAAACATACATTTTGAAACAGTAATATTTTCAGTGCAAGTAGAATAAATTTTGTTTCTTCTCTGTTAATTTGTTTGCAGTTCATAGAAAAGAAGAGAGAGATGAAAGATGCAGGCCGAAATGAAAAAGAGTTAATAGAAAGCTATGCATTCCTCTATGTGAAGACGGAAGAAAAGGTAAGCTTGAAATGACTTTTTAGATGTATGAAGTATGTATTGAAGTTTGCTAGTGTCATGTTTCACATATCCTTCACTTTTCTTATACTTTCTTTCTTTTGTTATTGTTGTTGCTGTTTTTTTTATGGAGGAGGTTTCTTCAGGAAATTATTGGTTAAATTGCTGATAAAAGTCAAAATAGAAACTTGTGTGAATACTATTGTTGAGATTGAGATTCTAGAAGTTCCTGCCTTGAAATAAGTGAATCACAACTGACACAAAAGTTCCTGTGAAAATAACCATTTACGATTCACAAAAGAGTCATGACATCACAGTTTTGGTCTTATAGTATCTACATGTAAGTGCAGGTTTCTGTTGGATAGAAAGACATTCTTTTGGAGTGTTTTTTTCTCTTTTTATGTATGAATAAACAATGTGATCATAGAAATGCCAAGTGTAAGTGCCTTTAAAACATGTTCTTATGCAGTGAAAAAAATACACGGGTGCTCGGGGCGAATTAGCCCCCGCAACGTCCAAAAGAGCCCTCGTAAGTCATAAAAGAGCCCAAAAATATTTGCATAGAGTTCAATGCAAAACAAATTAAAAAGTGTTATTTTCATGCAAGCAAGCTTGAAAAGTAGCCCCAAAAAATTTATAAGTATTTTTTCCCTATTCTTATGGCCTGTTTTTTAATTAACGTCTATTTAATCTTGTTATGTTCCTTTTTGAGGCAAAACAACTCTGTCAAGAATCTCTACATACTGGAACAAAAGAGAAAAGAAAGCACTGTCTAGGCAGTCCATCAATGGGTAAGTTAGACAATTGCAACATTAGCGTGACAATATTATTTTGTATAAAGCACAATATTTCATTTATGTTTAAGTCTGACTGAATTTTTATATTTTTAATTCATCAAATTACATGAAGAATGTTTTGGTCATAATGACAATTCAAGACACATACATGTATATTAGTGTATAATGTGTATCTTTTTTGTAATAAATGAAATTTGTCATGCTTCTTATAGGCTAATAATGGATTTATTAGCATTGAATTGGAGAAGAATATAATATGATTGTACTTGCCTTGTTCTCAATGAGTTCCTTTGACAAAATGAAGTAAAGGATGCACTTGTGTGAAATTAAATTATTTAATGTTCACTTTCAATTTATTTATCATTCAACATGAACATCTTCTAGACTACTGGAATAATTGTAGTATCGCACACCTGAATGGAAAATAACATGTTTTTCAGGAGGAGCGGGGGGAGGGGGGGGGAGCGGTAAACTAACACAGAACTTGTAACTAAGTGTTCTCCTTTTTAAAAATATTCTAAACAATAGATTTATCCATATATATGTTTTTCTTCTGGTATTCAGGTGTTCATGTCTGTAGATATTCTGATGTATTACATCGTAATACAGTGCCAAAGGAAGGAATACTCCTACTTGTCAAGGTTCTCAAGGTAAAGCAATTTTTTTTTCTTTTCTTTTCTTTTTTTTCCATGTTATCCTAAAATCATATTAGGCCATATTATATTTCAAAATATTATACTTGAAAGGATTTATTGAATATTCCAATACCAATATCATTCTATCATGATAACTAGTATGAAAGTACAGTGGTTTCTTTCTTTCTCTGTTATAATTATGCCGTATCCTGATTTTCTGTTTGAAGAAATACTTGAATGAAGAATTTTATCTAACATAATCCTTGTTTTGAATAATAATGCAAGGAAGTAAATGTGTGGTATGAATTCATAATATCGTGGTATCTGGTATCTTGTTAAATAAACCACTTTATTAACTTTTTGATATTCAATATTTTTTAAAGTTCATGTTAAAGCAACCTTCCATAAATAGTCACTAAAATTGAATTAAAGAGACTACATATATGGCCAATGTACTATCTCTTTGTACCATCACTAATAACTTGGTAGTCAATTTCTCCAATTGATTTACATCCTCTTCCCTGAGGCAATATGCAATTTGCAGTATAGAAATATCTTATTATTATTATTATTATTATTATCAGTGTTGTATTTATTTCTGGTTGCAGGGCAAAGTAAAAGCTGTACCCCTGGTGTATGGAGCTGCAGAAATCTTGGAGCCTACCCCAAACTACGACTGCCATGTAGCCAAGAACTCTGGGGAAGAAATACCAAGCAGTGCCTCTCATCGCCTCTTTGACTCATCAGAGGTGAGCTTCTCGTTAGCACTGCAAATTTTATCAATCCATCAGCAAGAAATAAGGCATTTTTGTTACCAGGATCCACACCAGAATGATTGTTTTAGTTCTGATTTACTGAAAGCATAGTGATTATTAAAAGATAGAGAGAATTTTTTTTAATGTGATTTAACGTTGCAGTTAGTGTCATTTGTCGTGTTGGCGTTTGGGTATGATATAGAACATGCAGTGTGAGTTCTGACTTTACCCATGTAATATGACATGTTTTTCATTTCATAGGCATCTCTATGTGTTTTTGTTGCATAAACTGTAATGGCAGTATTCCAAAGCGTTATCAGAATTTTATTCAATAACCACATGTCTGAGGTTAGAGCAGGGTTTAGCTGACATATGGATATCTCACTTTATTGTCAGTTCTTTACTTATTTGTGTTCGAGTAATTTTTTTTAAAGAAATTCATTTAAAAGAGATATGAATTGCTACCATTATACAAAGCAAATGACCATTCAGGACTTAGTTATAGTTATAGGTGATGTTAATGTAACTATCATGGGTTAAAACAAAAATACCAACGTAATGCTTGCAATTTATCTATACCAGGATGATATTTTAATATGATGTCAGTCAGTTATTTGGTAATGTTTTACTTGTTGAAATATGTTTATTTCATTTGGAATTACAAAGGTTCATGTACATGCACAGCAATGATGGTTGCATTCAAAGCAGGTATTCTCAGAAATCAGATGAAGTAAACTGTTTGTTTTTTAAATCCTATAACAGCTTTTCATCTATGACTTTGATGAAGATGAAGTAGAGTTTCGGAAGAGACCAAGGAATATCTGTCCATATGCCGTAGTACACTTCACCTACTCAGATACCGGTGTAGCTTCAGCTCTACCTTCCTCAAGTAATTTCAACAGGTGAGCAATTCCAGTTAGGGCTACAAATCAAAACTAATCTAACTTGGCAGGTTCATGTCATATTTGCTTTCTAATTAAACAAATTATGCTCGAGAGCATGAAGAATTAGTTTTTTTCTTTACCCTGTTGGTTACCATTGATAAATTCCAGCATCCGTCTCTGATGAGATAGTGAGTGTCGGCCTGTTTGCATATTGTCTGTTTCTGCCCCTAAACAGACTATGCATTGCGGTAAACCATTGCAGGGATTTTGTGTGTGTGTGTGTGTGTGCGTGCGTATCAAAATAAAAGGCTTGTGGGAAAGAGGGGTGTTAGGGCTAGGGTTAGATTTAAAATTAGGAATAGTGTTGCAACCAGGAATAAAGTTAGGAAGTGGACTACGCTTATAGCAATTGACCATTGAACAATTAACGTTCAATCGATATGATTGGTATTTGGTTCAGTTTAACACTTGAATTTGGAAACTGGATCATAGTTCGAGATAACTTTCTTTCCACTTTATTTCCAACCACACCCACTCTGCAGAACTCCCGTTGCATCATCGAATGAGACGACGCCCTCCAGAAACATCTCTGTCCCTGATACTGTGGGTATAGCTGTAGTGGCTCCGTGTTTCCCAAGAGATGAAATTTTTACTCAGCTTCCAATGAGTGATGCAGACCGCCCATTCAGTATGTATCAATCTTATACAGTGAAATGGTAATATTTACAGTAACTGATTGCATGGTTTTTCTTACTATGACACCATCTGATTAAACTTATATCAAAATAATTACAAATACTTCTATTGAAAAAAGTCTGTGATGATACATTATCTGCTAAAAAACCAGAAGGGAATAAACTGCATGTAAAATGATCGAAGCAGATGGTACATGAACAATATTTCAATCATCAATTTTATGCAGTTGTTAAAAAAAATGTTGAGGTACAGGTGCATATACCTGTACCTTTATTTGCAAGATATACATTTTCATGATTTCCTTAAATTGGAACTTCTAAACTGTATGAAATGTTACATTGTTTTGGTAAATGTGAATTGACTCATTTTTAATATCTTAATGTTTAGGAATTTGTTTGTATTGTCATTACAAGCATATACATTATATTAGGGCTGTCATTAAAAAAAGAAGAAGAATGGTAATACAGTTGTATACTAAACTACATCATAATATAATGTTAATGATTATATTTTCCTTACAGTTGAGAAGTACAAGGAGTACTCAGAAAGGAGTTACAGGGTTTGGTCAGGTGAACTTCTCAACAAGAATGGCAACAGCTGTAGAGTGTCTCTTCTCTCATTTGGTCTTTCATTTCTACCTTGCAAAATGTGAGTTCTAAAATCCATGGTCTCAAATTCGTGCCTAACTTTCACTTAGTTTTTTTAACAGTTTCCATCATTATTTCTAATGTTCTTTATGTATTAGTAAAATTCCGCAATCAGAAAAGATTAAGAGCATAGAATAAAATATTGTTGACTATTGGAGATATATATTTTCTTATCACCTTCTCTTTTGTAATTATCAGTACTGTCTCCCGTCTCTGGTTGTAAGGCACACTGACCAGTGACAATCATTCTGCAGTCATACCTTTAAACAAACCAAAGTCCCAACTTCAATGCCCAACATCTCTATATCTGACCCCTGACCCCCAACCTAACATAGTAGCCAATCACAACCCAAACAGGAAGCCTCCACCTTTGGTGAAATTCAGGCAGAGAAATGTCCCCAGAGCAAATTTTGGATCACTTTTTTTTTTAAACATCGTTATGATCACATTCTTATTTGATGTTCGCAGGCCAGAAGCCTTGCAAGCATGTAAAGCTGTGAGGATGAAGGAACTACGACTACCCACCAAGGTCTTCACAGGAACCGTCCCAGTGCTTTCAAGAGTCAAAGAGGGTGAGTACTCTGTACATTTTGATCTAAACATATTAAAGTTTTCCCAGTAATACGTTGTTCTAGCTAGCAACGTGTTTGAGTTTGCTGTAGTCATGAAGTCAAACTTTCCATTTGTTGTTTCATGATACTGAAGATGGCTCTAGTGTGATGGTTCTACACCTAAAAATCTCGTATATTTTCATCTGATAAATCAAACCAGGAACCATACGAAACAGATAAACAGGATACTACAATATTTGGTAACATTTAAAAAATCCTACAACCTGTGATGTATAGCGTATATGATGTCATGCACTTTATGTCGAATCTCAATCTGCAATTGGTGACACTTCAAATGCTTTATTTGCAAATGTAATGGTTATAAAGATATATCTGTGTATTACTTTTTTGGCAAAACAACAGCAATTACTACTTTTATGACCTACTTTATCCCTTTCAAAACAGAGTTTTCAGGGCTATATTGTTCTTCAAATTGTCAATGACAATATTTTTCTTTTAGTCCTATATTGACTATTCTAACAAACATGCAATATCTCTGAAAACAATATACATTGTTCTATGTTGTTGACAAGTTGAAAATATGGCAAATTGTTATCAACAAAAATGATTTTGATCCTTCCAACATGTTGCCAATTTAAGAATTTTAAAGCTTCTTTCCCTTTTTTTTTAAATTCCTGGTGTTGAATACAATGTGATCATGCAACAGAAATGGGCACGACATGTAAAGAGCGTTTCGCCTTTTCTTTTCTTGCATGTGGTATATTTTAAGGGCTATGAGTAAAAAGTTACCAACCCAAACCAGAAAATGTGGAATGCTTATCCCAAAAGGCATGTACCCATGGAAGCCCAAAGCAATTTTGAACAGGATACCATTCATAAATGACTTACAGTTGTGATTGGAGGAAGTTGATGTATTTGATTATTTTCAATGACCTAAAACCAATGATCCAGCATATTGTCCTCCTTTTAATTTAATGTATTTACAATTTTATTTCTGTTCTTTCATAGCCCAAGCCAATGGCAAGTACTACTGGTATGCTGAGCTGCATTCACTGAGTCTAGATGATAAAGTGTATTCAAGGTTTCTCAACTACCTCTCTGAAAAAGAATTGGTAAGTGTGGGCTTCATTCTGGCTTCAAATCTACAGGTCACCACTTCAATTAATGGGACTTCATATGTGGAATTTTATTGTATGATTTTTAGCTCTAAGTTGTGCTTTGAAATACATGTAAATATTTGTTGAAGTCATTTCATATTTGCTCAAGAGATATTAAAGAATAATATAATATGATATGCATTGTATTTACCTTGTTGATTGAATCACATTCTTTAATCTTTTTTTGTATGTACCAAGGAAAGGAAATGCCTGGGTATTTCTAGCTGTCATAAATAAAACATGAACTGAATTTTATGAGGGAATCATTGTATTTTCTATCTTAGGTACTGAAGAAGGAACTTGGTGATAAAGTACTGCTCTATATCCTACCAACCGGCAAGACAACTCAGAATCTAGGACTGACTGCAAGCTCTCATCCAAAGATCTTGCATTGCCTTGTAGAGTCATATGTTCCCATGGTCAGTCACCTGACAGGTTAGTTAGCTCTCATGATCAGTCACCTGACAGATTAGTAAGCTCTCACGATTGGTTAGCTCTCATGATTAGTCACCTGACAGGTTAAGTTAGCTGTCATGATCAGTCACCTGACAGGTTAAGTTAGCTGTCATGATCAGTCACCTGACAGGTTAAGTTAGCTGTCATGATCAGTCACATGACAGGTTAGTTAGGGAAGGCAACTTTATTATCACTCGCGTTCGTCCGGGTTCGGGACGCCTACTTATCTCTTAATCCCCCGTTCCCGGACGCGTATTGTACGCTGGCGGTCCCTTGGCGTCCCTTGCTCGCGTCTATTGTTGTCTGTTGGACAATAGAGCAGGCAGCCAGAAAAGAAGCCATCCCGTCCGCTAGGACCGCTGTCAATCAACCTCACCGCTATCCAGCCCCTCTCTAATCCTTTCTAATCTGGCGTCCCCTGACAATAGCTGACCCGTCTAGAACGCGTTAATCTGGTGTTCCCTGACAATAGTAGCACCCGTCTAGCTCGCGTTTAGAATACGATAGTAGATTTTCATAGATGAATTTTCAGTCTTGAAAGCAGAGCTAGAGCTGCAATCCCCCAGGTTGATTGATAATAATTTGTCCCAAAAATGTGTCGCGCGCTAAAATAATAAACCTAACCAGCAACGCCTCAAGTCTTTCTACATACAGCTGCATATGAGTAAAAGCTTCTGCGACACTGCAAATATATAAATCATATTTAGTAGTGTCTGTATTCCCCGACCTATTAATCAGTACCGCATTGCGTGGATCAGCAATTCGCGCAAATCACAACATGTGGATAGCCCCCTAAAATGCGGTCACGTGATCTGAGCCCGACAGCGCTGGTCAAGACGCAGCACACTCGAAGGCCCTCGAAGGGCGCTTGCGATAAGCCAAAAAAATCGTTACAAAATCTCTGATTTCTTGATTTTAAGCGCTTTTTTTGGCGAAGCCGTTTTTAAAACTTGGCTAAGCCACCGCATGCTTTGGAAATATGGCTCCGATTCCGCACTTTTGACAGCAATATTTGGCTTTTGGGGTGGATTTTTGGAAGTGACATCGGGATTTCCTTGTACTAGTGAGTGACGCTGTGTGTAGTGCAGTGCACTGATATGTAATTTGCGTGTGTTGTGGATGCTGGTTTGATATCACGATCGGATGCATGTATGTGTGTATGCATAGCCTGGGGTAATGCGCACGTCTTTGAGTGGTGTACATCCCCTGTGTTGTGTGTAATGTGCATGCGTGCGCGCCACAGGAATTGCCAACACGAAACATTGGCACAACTATGCATACGCTCGTTCTCACAGCCAACCTGTAGCCACGTTCGCACAGCCAAACTTAAAAAACCCGTATAAATACGTTAAAAACGTTCTGCTTGGCAGCTCTGTGAAGTCTGAGTTTTATGTAAAATCACAGCAGAAAATTCAGTGTTTTTACAAAATAAATATAGAAATCAAAATTAGGATTTACATTGCATGTACTACCTACAAGTGAAGATGTAGATGCAACTTTGCCTCCCTGTTGTTTTACTTTTCCCTTTTGTTGATTTTTTTTATTCTATGCATAATCAGGCCTCTCGCCAAGAAATTAAAAAGGTGTGGCGCGACACTAGGGAAAATTTGACCCCGCCCCCCTAAAAAAAAAAAAAAAACGTTTACAAGTATTAAGAGTAATTTGATTAATTGTTATCCCTTTATTATGTTCCGAGTCATTGTCATATTTACCCTTGCACTAAATAATCTCAATTATCAATATTTATAGTATGTTGGAATTTGTGAAATTTGTTATCCAATGTTACGAAGAAAAAAAAATGAATATGATCATAGTTGTTTGATTTTTATCGAGCTAGACCAAGTCATGTATTTAAAGCTGTAATTATTTTCCTTATATTTAAAACAATATTGCATTTTCTTATTTTCACAAAATTGCAGTACTCAAATTTTCTGCCTCAAAATGACATATACACCCGTCGACTCCGAGACACCAAAAATAAGAAGAGCTGTCGACGTGTTTGTACGCCCGCGTCATTAACATGGCCAGTTCATATTTTTAATTTGCTGGAAATTGTTCTTTAAAAATGAGAAATTCACGAGTTTGAGTAGGATCTCACTATATGATTGTTAAATATCAAAATTTTGAGCTTTTTTTATTGCCCGATATGAAAACATGCAGCCACAAATGAATTTGAACATTTTGATTGACTGCATAGTTGCTTAGTAACCAGACATACTAGTCAGTTCATTCATGACTTATGAAGCCGCCTCTGAGCTAATGTAAACAAAAACAAAGCCATTTATGGGCCGAGTGAATGAACTCAAGTGAATGTGACAGAGAAGAGAGCGTGAGAGAGGTTTTCCCACGCTCATCTTTTCAGGGGAAAGGGGGGGGGGGGGAGGAGGGGATAACTTCACGAAAGAGACAGCGCAAGAGAGAGATAGAGAAAGAGAGGGAAATGTATGATGGAGAGCGCGCAAACATGAAAGGGCTAGGCCGCCAAGAAGGGATCGGAGCTGAACAAAGGGGAGACATTAGCATTTTGATAAGATTAGATCATCGACCAAGGCCACGTGATGAGTGATGGCTCACTCGATCGTAGTTGGTAGTTGTAGTTGGTTTCTCAAATAAATAACAGATAGTGATGAAATGTTCCAGAATGAGTGAAGTGAAGTTGTGGGTCTATCTTTGCCTTCCTGTTGGTTTTACTTTTCCCTTTTCTTGAATTTTATTTTGTACAATGCATTTTCGTATTTAGTCGCCCTTTTTACCTGCGGCTGCCATCTTTCCGTCTCCCGATCCTTTCTTTCTTCTAATATTTCTTTATTTATATCTTCATCACCAGGCGCGCACGCAGTGAGGGGGAAAGGGGAACCCCCCCCCCCTCATTTTGTGTGTGTGCTTATGGGTGACCCCAAAAACATCATTTCCTGGACCAAAAAAAAAAGTGCTCTACCCCCTCCCCTGCCTGTCAGTACAAAATTTTCAGCGCAATTTAACCCCCCCCCCCCCCTGCGAACAAATCCTGCGTACGCCCCTGTTCATCACTTACTTCATCTAATTTTGTAATTCCATCTCTTAGATTTTGTTTTCAATGATTAATGATGATAACGTTATTATATCGTTTTTCAGAATTTCATTGAAATTAAAAATTTGAATTGTGTTCAAGACTGCGAATTCATTCTTTAATACGTCTCCCGATTTCTTTATCTTGAAATTCAATATTTTTTCCTTCACCTACGCCTACTTTATCTGCCCCCTCTAATTTTTTAATTCCATCTAGTCTTTTAAATAATGTTTTTTTTTTGTTCTTCTTTTTTTCTTCAATTAAATACAAACTTTATTTTTTCATATATTTTTTTCTCGGAATTGAATTGAAATTGGGGAGGGTGTGCATATTTATTCTTAAACAAAACAGAGAATGTCATAGATCATTGGAGAGTGGGAGAGAGAAAGACCGAGTGAGAGGAGAATTGGAGAGAACGAGGGAAAGAAAGAGGATGCAAGAGATGATGGATGTTGAAATTCTTATTTTAATCCTCTGTATATTTACGAGAAGTAAAAAGAGTTCTATTTCTTATTTTCAATCTAAATGGTCCGTATATGCTCTAATAATTGAACAATGTTGTTCTCATGCCACATGGCATTGCTCGTTATCGTAGTCTAGTCACAACGGGAAACAAAGAATGACAGATTTATTATGACATTCCCGCTCTCAGAACAAAGGCGCGTAACGATGTTAAATATACGCGATGTTTTGGAACTTTGGTGTTGATTGACATGACGCCTCATTTCAGATAAGCAATCGACAATAGTTATAATGAATAAATGACACATCTTATATTTATTATAATTTTGATTAAGTTATCATAAAACATCGATAATTCTCCGTTTCGTTTTTTCATGGGACGCACTAGCTAAAGAAAGTGTTGATTAAAGAAAGAGAGATAGTGGTAAGAGGTAGAGAGATGGTGGTAGAGAGAGATTAGAAAGGTGACTGGATGAGAGAGAGGGAGAGAGGGCTAACAAAAAAAGGGTCGTAGAGAGGGCCTGGAGAGAAAGATAACAGATAAGAAAGGAAATAGTGTTGATTTGAGATACAGATGGATTTACTACTATCGAGAGAGAGAGAGTTTCAAGGTGTATTCCCGAATTAAAAAAGGGGAATTGTTGGATCTGTTTTTGTTATCGGAACAAAAATTCTCCTCACCATTGTCCAGTCGCAACAACGACATACAAATAATGACAGATTTATTATGACATTCCCGCCACAAGTCGGCGCTCTCAGAACAAAGGCGTAGGCTTACAATCTTAAATATCGCGGTCTGTCTGAACTTGGGTGTTGATTACAACATTTCCAAGATACGGTTATCAATCCAACTTTCTACTTCATTTGTGCCTTTTCATTGCACCTTTTCATTGCACCCACGAAAAGATCGATAGAAATGTCAGAATGTCTATTACCCTTCCCAGCTCAATGGGCGGCACAGGGTATGCAAATTAGAAATTGTTCTAGCGCTGCTGGTCGCTACAAGGCGGCCGCGGCGTAGTATCATTCATTCAAAATCAGTTTTCATAAGACCAAACGTCCAAAATGATGACAAAAGATGACATATAAAAATACATAACAGTCTCGTAGAGTAAATATTTCAAAGAACAAAACATGCATGTCTACGTCCCACTACCTCTCTCTCCCTCTCTCTCTCAACCTCAAACAACGGACCTCTGCATCGATTGCGATTCACACAATTTTCATTTCATTTACATTTCATTTAAAATGGGGAAAGCCTTCCGATCGCTAGAAGGAAGGAATTTTACTGGCAAGGTGATTAAACGAGTTCTTGCCCCTCTTAGCGCGACAAATAGAAACCCTATTCCTCTCAAGAATTATGTAATATTATGTAAGATAATCCCCCCATTCTTGCCCCTTTCATTGGGTACGCGTTTGGGACGCTCGCGTTCTCTAAACAAAGGAGGGTACGCGATGAATGGAGAAGGTTTTAATCCACCATACCTTACGCGTTAAGGACAGTCGCGTTCTGCTAACAAAGGAGGGGACGCGATCGTCCTGAACCCGGACGAACGCGAGTGATAATAAAGTTGCCTTCCCTTAGCTCTCATGATTTGTTAGCTCTCATGTTCAGTCACCTGGCAGGTTAAGTACTTGTCATGATCAGTCACCTAACATGTTTTAGCTCTCATGATCAGTCACCTGATATATTAGTTAGCTCTCATGATCAGTCACCTGATAAATTAGTTAACTGTAATGATCAGTCACCTGATAGATTGGTTAGCTGTAATGATCAGTCACCTGATAGATTAGTTAGCTTTCATGGTCAGTCAACCGTCACAGTCAGGTTAGTTAGAACTCTCAAATTTTCATTTTTGTATGCCTTCGCAACAAAGTAGCCGGAGGCATTATGTATTTGAGTTGTCCGTCCGTACGTCACGTTCTCATGATCGCATTATCTCAGGAACCGAGTGATGGATTCCCGCCAAACTTGAGTCATGAATGTATGTTGCAGAGGCAATGAATTGATCAGATTTTTTGGTCATAAGGTCGAAGGTCATAGGGCTCATGTATGCAAAACTTGCTAGTGATCGTATTATCATTAGAACTGATGGGCAGATGACCATCAATTTCAGGACATGTTAGTATCTTGCAGAGCCAATGAACTGATTAGATTTGAGGGTCATGAGGTCAAAGGTCAAAGATCATGGGGCTTTTGTATGCAAAAATAGCTTGTGAACGCATTATCATTAGAAACGATGGACGGATTATCATCGAACTCGAGACATGTATGTAGCTTGCAGAGCCAGGGAATTGATCTGATTTTAGGGTCATGAGGTCAAAGGTCAAATGGTCATACATGTATATAAAAAAATAGCTTGTTATCACAATAGTCTTAGAACCTGTTTATGGGTTACAATCAAACTTGAGTTTTAAAAATTGCTTCTGTATTGGTGTATAAAATTGCTCTTTGGGGAGGCATTATTTTAAAGATCCATCTAGTTATGAGAAATATTTCACATTGAACCATATTATCTTCTGTTGATACATTGTAATGTTCATGGTTGCAAATGTTTACAGATGAGCTAACGTTTACTCCTGTTTTGTCCTGTTTAAATAGATATTACCGTGAAGCAGCCAAGACACCAAGTAAAGCCAAACCTGGAATCTGCACCAATCCATGATATTGATAAGGACCACTTGAAGCGGCTAAGGTTTCAGTCATCCCTTGCGAAGCTCTTCTATGAGCAGAACCGGGAACTGAAAGACAACGGTGTCCCAGGTGATCTAGAGGAAATCCCTCTACCAAGACAGTCGTCTGTTGAACAATCATCTATAGAACCTGATGAACCAGTTGTGGAGACTGTTATTGAAATGTCTCCTGCAAGTCCTGACGAGCAAGTGGATGAGAATTTGAATTCTTATATTCCCAGAAGTCAGCATTTGGAACATCAGCAAAGCAACCAAAGAACAGCAGCTTATGCAAAGCCTGAGGCATCACCTGTTGATGAACATGACTGGAACAACTATCCCAACGATTGGAGGAGTGAGCATCCTAGTAGTACCCCATCATGGGATCATTCACATCCTCAACCCAACCACCAGAAAGAACAAAGCAGACATAGGGTTGAAACCAAAGAGAGCCGAGACCCACGTGTGCACATTCACAAACAATTGCAACCTGGTGGTGAACCTTCAAACCACCATGTCAGCCAACAAAGTCCAAGCAGTCATCCACCTAGTTCCAATCCGGGAGAGCATCATAGATTGGGTCACCAACAGTACGAGCAGCAATCAGGACAGCCAGAGAATCAGTCGGGTCACCAGTCCTATGAGCGCCAATCAAGTATGGAATGGGGTCCTCCTAAAGGTAGTCCAAGGGGAAGGGGATCGCAGTCAAGATCGCATCAAGAATCATATCATCACCATCAAAAGCATCCGCCTAAGCCTCCAGACAGTCAACAGTACAAACGTCAAGCCAGCAGTGATTGGCCAAGTCAACAGCCAAGTGCCAAACATAAACCAAATCACGACAAGAGGCCACTGGAAGGTATTAATTGGTTGAATGTAAAGAAGATGAGATTCAAAACTATAGAAGCAAAAATGATAATTGCTTCATAGAGGTACTGCTAATTTGATATTTATTGCTATCATATTTGTTTGGGTTTTTACATCTATTTTTATTCTAAAGTGTAACTTTATTTTAATGTGTATTTTCCTGTTTTTAAAATCAAACACAAGAAAACAATATTTGTATTAGAGCAACAATGTTCGGATCTCACACAAATTATACTAAGAGCAATTTTTATTGTGAGTTATGATGGCCAAGAATAATATTGTTTGTCACTGAATTTCTTATAGCTTTAATTGCCCATGACACCTAAGATGTATTCTTGCTTTGAAATATTAGTCTTCATTATATTCTGTTTCCATCATAGTTTCCACATCTACCATCAAAATGATATCAGTGTGCATGTGTGTAATGAGTTTAGTTTACATAGTTACCATTGTAAGGGCAAGAAGAAGACATTTCAATCATTTTGAAGTGTTACTGATTATAATTTTGTCTCTGCTGGATGATTCAAAATCCATAACATTTTTGTTTCTGTCCAGCTTCACAAGGTGACCTACCCCCACAGATCAAGGAAGTAGCGTCCAAAGTCCATAAAATGCTGACCAGTGGACTAGACCTGGGTCTCCGAGGGGCTGCTGGTGATGCTAACGTCCAGACGGTACAAGAGGAGACTGATGATGAGAAGATCGCTAGGATGAGGGCTACCCTACAGGCCTTGGTGGAGGAGAGGGAAAGACTCGCCAAGAGCAACTCAGATAAGGTCTCCAATTTTTTTTTATCATGACGACTGAGTTTTTTAAATATTTTTTTAACATGATTATGAAGTCAATACTTAAGTTTTACAGGCCTTGTGAAAAGAGAAGAATGACTTGCCAAGAACATCACAGATCAAGTTTGCAGTGTTTTATTTTCATGATGAATACGCAGAGTTACTGTTAACACCTTATAGGCCTTCGTGGAGGACGGGGTAATGCATGCCTAAACAACTTTCATCACATCATTTAAGTTACCATGTACATCTATTTGTAAAGGTCATTCTTCCTTGATCAAGTATGGACCTAGAACCATGAAATTATCAAGGAAGTAAACATTCATGGTGATACTTGCCTTGTTCTGTCACTTGTAATGTGCTACTTAATCGTGCACTTGATGATTTGGTAAGATATTTTTGAAACTGTGACATTGAAGGTTATTTAAAAGTATAAAATCAATTACCTTGTATAAAAAGAGGAATGCTTCTGGTTGAAACAATGCCTCCCCCTTTGAATACCAGGCCCAGGAAATAATTTAGATTTGATTTTACGGAAAACGTGGTTTATTTAAAAATCTAATTGTATCCAGCAGATGAATGTATTACCAGCTATGCTCATCATGCGTGTGTTAATTTGTATTGCTCTAAAGTAAGATGTGGAATTGGAACTGAACAATGAGTGCAATTACCTGTTTCTTTCACAGGTCAGTGGTAAAGTCCACACTTTCTTAAAATTCTGTTTTTACGATTATAATTTGATATAGTTTACTTTTTGATATTTAATATTTTATTGATATTTGAAAGGCATGAAAATGTTTTAAATCACTAACTGTTTTTAATAAGATAAGTCAAAATGGTATGAAGAATTTCCTTTTTTTAAGAATTGATTTAGATATGTTTTTTATAAGAGGTCAAACAAATTAAGTAGTTTGAAGGTATGGTATGACAATTTGCTGATGTTTTATTGCACAGTGAAGCTCAAAATGGTGTAGGTGTTTACAAAGTTATGACTTAAACATTCACTACTGAAAAAGAATGACGTATTCATCTGGAGAAGTCTCCTTGAAAATAAATTTAATGTATGTTTATCTGTACCACAGAATAGGTTAAAATAGGGCAAATCAATGCCATTACATGTGTCCCATACATTATTGACCACATCTTGATTTTATAGTATATCTGATGACTTTCAATGTATCAAGCTGATAGCGTTAATTTAATTAACTGAGTTTAATAATTGAATCAGTCAAGACATCAAATAAATTCACTATATATTTACTATACGTATTAATGTATATTTACAATACTTGTAAACAACAATAGCAATATAAAGTGCTATCTTTAAGGTTACTTGGCAACATGTAGAAAGGTATTGCCTCCTAAATTGGTATTGAATTTCATTGTAATGATGATACAGAATGAAACTCACCTCAAACCTCCACCCCCACCCCAAGAAAATATTGCCATGAAAATCTGTACTGAATTTGGCTTTCTCTCAATTTATTTGTCATCCCATAGTAATCTCGAAGGTAAATATTGATTTATGAAAAAGGATGAATTGTGGGGCTATCATTCTTATTGATTGCAGTGTGTAACCGGTGCTGTGGATATCTTGTTGGCAGTGATGTCAAGTCGCCACAAAATGCATGCTTTACTGAATTACTTTTACCTGGAGAAAAAAATGGATAGCTTGGTCAATGACCGTTGGTCACCGCTAATTCTAGTGCATGAATTATTAATTTTTATCTTTTTACTTTATCAAGTAAAGCTCAATTCTTGTTCCTGGGGTTCCTGGGGCTGGAGCGAGTGATTAAGGGTAATTCATACCTGCCATCTACTACGATTTTTTGTTTTAAATTACGCCTTACGATTTTGTGTCGCAAAATAATAACTTTTTTTTTTTTAAATTTGCCCGTTCACCTGGCACTGTCCAGGCCGATGTTACCTGTGCCCGGGAGAGCACCGGCATGGTACCGTGGATAAAAATGTTTTCCAGCTCAATCACTGTCAACTCACCACTCAGAAACTGGGACCAAATGTCCCATTTCTGTTTGGACTCTGAAGAAAATTAGTTTGTCATCTTTGGTTGTAAAAACAGCATATTTACTATCATTATTATGAAATCAGCGCCTTCAACTGCAACTCAAAGTAAAATCGGGTGAGTTTTCGGTGACGGACCTGGGATACTTCTACCATAATATGGTGGTGGCAAAAAAAAACACATGGTGTCCGAGTATTCAAGTATTCGCCTGTAAGCCTGGGAGTGTACTCGAGTACCTCATTACACGCTTATGCACAGCCCTTTATTTTTCTCCTCAAGGGTCTATTTCATCAGGGGAATTTTGAGCTGTTTGTCCTTGGGTTTTTTTTTTGTGGTGGAGGGGGTTGCATAAGTGATTAAAGATGAGTTTAAAGTGAAGGAAAAGGGCATTCCTACATGTTGAAAATACCAAAAGCTCCCTACCATGGGAGGGGGGACAGCCTTCTCCCACACCCACCCCCACTCCCTCGTCCTCGTAAAAAATGATTACTATTTTAGTCTTCAAAGGGTGGCAGGTATGGACCGATTCTGTGCAATGTGTCCTCTACGATGTAACCTTTTCCAAATATTTCATCTAAAATGAAGAATTTCTTGATATGACCATGGCATTGAATAATGGTGCTTTCTGGTATCACTCTGGTATCACTCAGTCATATTGAGAGAATCTTCATTCATAGATGAAATACATGCATGGAGTCTGTTTAAGATGATGCATTCAATTGCTGCAGATTTTATTTTATTTTATATGACGATGACAGAAATCAAGGGAGAAGTGTAAATAGTTTTATTTTTTAATAGATTGTCATTTCTTGATATAACCTTGCGGAGAGGTTCTGATCACTTTATATCAGTTTTAATTGATGACTGTCTTTCATCGAGATGCATGTTTTTTTTATATTTCTCTTAAAAGAACTTTGACAATACAATTATGTTGCTACTATTCTCTACTTCCTCTTCATTTTCAATGTCTTCTTGCCTTTGATAATACAAAACTGTCTTCAACATTTCCAGTCATTCTGTAGAGTGGTATAATGCGGTGTAAATTTCTTGAGTTATTTTTCCAATAAATTATTGTCTAAATACAGGAAAGTTTGCCCAATTTTGTGCCGTGTACTGAAAGTCACTATGTGTTTTAGTATTTCTTGAAGAGTATCATGATAAAGGATGGAGAAATTGCTAATTGGTTCTTAAAGAGATTCTGATATGTATCTTCTGACATTGCCATTTCCTACAATGTAAGTGCCATTGGCATTGGGATAATTTATTTTCTTTTGTTTTAAATCCTATTTGATATTTATTGTACTGCTGGCAAGGGTAAGAAACATATGAATTCAGAGAAAATTGAGAATTGTTGAAACTGAAAAAGGGTACAAAAAGACTGTGAATACTTGCAGATTTTGAAGGATACATATCCACAACTTTTTATTAAAACTCTGATTTCTATGTTTTCTTACCTTGCAGGATTCTGCAGACCCTCCCACATCAGTGCCACCGCCCAAGGGCAATGAGGTCTTGAGCACCCCACCCACCATCATGGACACTACCTCAGAACCTAAACACCCTTCTCAAGATAGTCCCAAGGAAAGCACAGTGGTGGAGAAACCCAACAAGACCATAGTAGTAGAGAAACCCAAGGGAGATGCACAGACCAAGGGAAATGGCAATGAGGCAGATGTAAGGATGGAAGAAAGAGTGGATGTATACAAGGAAGAAGCAATGGATATAGTTGATAGTGATGAGGGGGAGGAAGAAGCGAAGATTGTGCAAGAGAAGGATATTGTGAAGAGAAAACTTGAGGAGTCGGAAGAACCTGCTAAAAAGAAAATGAGAGTTGATGATGTGCCAACTGCAGAAGCAGAGAAGGACAAAGGTGATGTGACAAAGGCTTATCCTGTTGTGCCAGAGAGTGTTGTGCAAAAGAATATTGCAGTATATGGGGTTAAGACGGTTAGTAAACCCATAAGTAGAACAGACAGTACAGAGCAACAATCGCAGGGAGCTACAAATCAAAAGCCAATAAGTGCAAAGGGTCTTGTGGATCCAAAACAACCAGAACCAATGACCAAAACACAGAAAGATCAAAATAAAATACAGGCTCCTGAGAAGAAGCCAAAGAGCGATGTAGGAGAAAAGAACAGAGTTTCACAGACTCTTGAGAAGAAGCCGAAGAGTGATGTAGGAGAGAAGAACAGGGTCTCCAAGAAAAGTGAGAGTGCAGACAAGCCAAGTAAGGTGTCCAATGAAATAACCAGTGCGTCGCAGATGAGGGAGTACCTTGAGAGAAGGCACAGCAGTGACAAGAAGGGCTCGAAGGAACACATCTCCAGTGCATCAGAGATGAAGATGTTCCTGGAGAATCCCGACAAGGTTTCCATCAAACCAAGGAGAATCAAAAGTGCCTCTGAGATGCGCCAGTTCTTGAATCAGCCTTTCACCAGAGACAAATCATCCAAGACGCCTGGGTTTGAAGGACATAAAGGTCAGTACAATTTCAAATGCATTGGGTTTTTTTCTCCCTGTAAAGTAGTTTCTTCTCTTCTGAAATTCCAGTCTTGGGATAATGGAAAACCAAAAACTTTTACAAATCTTATATAAGTAGACTGAGTTTATAAAAGTTGCATTTTGTGCAATGATTGAAAGAACATTAGATTGTTTGGATTAATAAGTTTTTTACTGCATTTCTATTGGCAATGTAAAAGCAGCAGCAGTATTGATAGCTGTGATATAACTTTTTTTAGAAGCTCGAATCGTAATCATAAAGTTTTTATCTGATTTTGAGAGGGAGAGGAGGGGGTGTCAAATAACTTATTCCCTAGGAAATTTGAGATAAAGTATGACAAAAACATCGTGAAATGTTTTTCAAGCAATCCTATACAGATAACGTTTGCAACTCATTTTGGAAGAAGTAACTCTTTTCAAAGATTCATTTTGAAGTATATGTAGCATTTTGTAGTCCATGAAGCACAGTAACAAACTAACATTGCAAAATTGATAATGGAATTTTTTTTGATGAATCAGTTAGAAATAATTTTTTGCCAGCAGAGACTTGTCCGTCTGCCTTTGATTGAAAGCTGTAGTTTATGTCTTTAATTCTACAGGGCGGCCAACTGCTGCTGCACCGGACAATACTCCCCAATATCCCGAGCTCGAGGGCAAGTCGAGGGATGACCTACTCAAGAACCATGATGGTGAACTTCCAAGCAATCATCTACAGAACTTCCTCAGCACCCACCACCAGATCACCTGGTCTCTGTCCCAGGGGGTTAGGGTCACTGTGGGGAGGGAGATGGCAGGAGCTAGGCTAGGTCCTCCACCCCCCGGTGCTAAGAAGGAAGGGATGGAGGAAGAAGAAGATGACTGTACCTCTAGCATCACAGCTGTGTGTCATGGCTCTTATCGGTAGGAAATTATCACCAGATCTTTGATTCACATTGCATGTTATTTTCATATAGTACTTGGAAGTTTTGTAAGGCAACCTCTTCTGTTCTGGCATTTGTGCAACGTAGAGGACCCTCATCCCATCACAAAATTGACAGGTCACTACATCTTGAAGATATGATGAATTGTACATGATATGGGCATTTTTATTGTATTTCTTTCATTCTTTTTTGGCATAAAAAATTCCCAAATAAAAATACCTTTAAATGAATTTGCAACGTCATATTATTTGGTATTCTAGAACATAATCTTACGAGTATTGTTGTCCAATTTTGCTTTAATAACTTTTAAGATTAAATGTTGAAATGTTTTAATCTGAACTTTGCTTACCATTATGTAATGCCTTTGAGCTTTAAGTAAGTAATGATAGAACAATGCCCCATTGTTTGGAGAACAGGTCAATGAATGGAACACAACCAGACACCAGTACCAAAGAGGGACTAGCAGATCAGATACGTCAAGTTATTCATCATAGCCAACCGGTCAAGAAAGTTGAAGCAAGAAAGGTACTTTATAGGATACATTGATCTTTTCATCCTGCAAGTTAGGAAAGACTGCCTCCTTGGTCTGCAAAATGAATGTTTGCATTTTTGTATTGAACAATCAATAATTGTCCTTTTTTATTCTAAGTGATCATCAAGAAGTTAAATCAACAATTAATATTCTTGCTCCTTTTATGGGTGGTGTCATAAATCACTAAAATGGTGTGTAGTAAAACTTTGCATTCAAACTTAAAGGAGATTTCTTGACATAACATATTGATATACATTGAGGTTAGATAACAGAGGTGATTTATCTTTATTAATGACAGTAATAATTACACAGGCACCTAATGTCTTGTAAAGAAATAGATTTTAACCTTACATCTTCTCATCAGTAATAAACATTTATATTCTTCTAATTTTGTCTCTTTTTCTGATTTTGATTTACATGTAGGGTTAGGGGCTTAGGGGTTTAGGGGGGGCTTTGCTTGTGATTCAGATTTGTTTTGAGGTAAGGTTTGGATTAGAGTTACTTGTAGGTTATGTAAGAGTTAAGGTAATGGTTAGGATTGGGTTAGGTATAGTGTTGGGTCCCGTGTTAAAGTGTTAATGAAGTTCTCCATAGAAACTGACCATGAAGCAATTGTCCTTGAAGTATCTATTCCTGCATTCAATTGTTGTCATTCCATTCTGTCACATGCACAGGTGAAGGAGATCCAGAAGGGGGGCAAGCAGAGGAGAAAGAGCTCAACTCAACTATCAACGGAGAGCCAAGACCAGGGGAGAGGGGAGAGTCCAGCAAACATACCAGATGGTGCGTGTTTCCTGGGAGACCTAGACAATGAGGAAGAAGGTGTGGCCGTAGCCATGGCAACCTCACATGACAACAACACACGGACACAAAACATGGAGTATGCTCCGGATAACATTTCTCCCCTTCTCGTCTGTCTAGCACTCTCTATATATCCAGCAGCGTGATTGCATGTGCCTGGGCTGTTGCGCTTCAAAAATGCATGATTTTTTTTTCTTTCTTTCTTCCATGTGCACATCAAACAAACCAAAAAATTGTTTCTAGTTGCTCAGTCAGAATATCTATTTCTTCCCTCCCGACGGTGTTCTTGCTTATGTACTGTCCAGTGTGCATCTTTCTACTATTCTTATTCTTTTGACCTATTTATCACCTTGTGCTTTCTTCTTTCCTTTAAACTTAATCATCATAAATATGTTCCTTGTCCCCGAACCGTCCGTGCAAAAAAGGCTTTCCCATCGAAAAGTGACAATTCTTTCAAAGCTACACAAGATGTAAATGCTCTCATCCATTATTGCATACACATTTACAGTGTCTACTACCAGAAGTAGAGTGCACTGTTACATACACGTATATATCACATAAACATCATATGCTACATCACCATCTCTATCTGTTGTTTTGAAAGAATCTGATGATTTTTTTTCTGTTGCACACTGCAACAAGGATATTTTGACTCCACGTGGAGCAATCATGATCACGTCAAAACATTTTTAAACTCTTATTGAACTGTGATTTTGATGGTACGAGACACTGTTCTTGCATTAACAAAACGCATCATCAAATTCATCATTGTGCATGCCTCAACTCTATCACAGCGCTATCATTTCAAGTTTTTAATTTTAAAGATTTTATAACTTTCTTTTACTTTATGATATCAAATACATGGCGTCTAAAAATCTGCTACCAGTATTTTCCTTCTATAACCCTTTCTAGTAAATATTTTGTTGATTTCTGTTGCTTTCTGTGCTGTGTAACTAACTGATGATTGCTCTCTAATATGTTCCCTAAATTTAAATGTAAAGGAGGTGATGGGGTTAATGGGTGTGATAGAGATGTCAAAACTAACAATTCCAACCCAGAATATTTTGTATAGTTTGAAGTGACTCCCTCTCCATAAAGATAGACCTACGCTCAAGTGTAGTGGTTAATAATGTATTATCGCATCTTCCGATTTGTTTCAATTTTAGACTGAATGAATATGAAATTATTTGAAGGAAGCTAACATCATATATAGTTCCTTTAACCCTAGACTGAATACTATACCTAATCCTAATAATCCTAATTGCAACCATTTCCCTAACCCTATATCTTTGACAAAATCAATCCTGGAGAAAAAGCAAATTTCAGAGCACTCATAGATATCATAACTGCATTATGAATATAATAATTTCTTGATTGAAAAGTAACTAGGTGTAATTGACCTGCCCATGTAGATGATTAACTACTTGAAACCCATGGATTCCTAAGAATTGTTAAAAAAAAAACTTGCTTTAATACCTATGCTGTGCATGTTAATCATAACTATCTTCATAAAAACATTACATATTAAAGGCAACCGCTCTAGTTGAATGCTTTACTTTGGCTTGTCTAACAATGCTACATTAAAAATACTTCTGCAAGAGATACATTATACACACATTGTTGCAACATTTCTATATCTAAGGTTCCTTCTTGCCAGCTATCAATTGTACATCAGTATGTATTCAATTTTGGATGTAGAAGAACCCAACAAATATTTTACCAGTATGTATAACTATCAACTAAAACAATTCCGATAGAAACCATGCAATTTTGAATAATTAGCACATTAAACGCTGAAATTTGGTGATAGTTGAGACTCTGACCATGCATGCATATTTGTGTTGGCTCAATGCATTTTTCTTTTGCTGGTCCAAATTATATCACCATTAATGAAGATTCTAATTTGCTGCAAGTAAAAAAATCATAAGGATGAAGATAACGAAGTTACTTTTGAAATGAAGTTCACTGCAAATATATAAGATTTTTAAAAGATTATCATAATGAAGTTCTGTAACCAGATATACTGAAATGGAACTGTATACTTACCCCATAAAAACACAAAGAGGTGTAAATATGATAACATCCCATTTTTTAAAACATATATATATATATATACCGGTATGCCTCTTTCACCAAAGGTGGTGCCTGTGGTATTACAATTGACTAACATAGAAGAAAAGAATACTCTGCAGGTGAAAATCATGAATACAAGCATCAAAGTACAAAAGAAATCAAAAGAAAATATGGACTGTTATGGATAATTAACACACTGTATACATATGTATCCTATTTATGTCGCTTTGTGATAAATTTTATTTGCGTTTTGTTCTGAATATATATTAAGACATGTTTTTAGTTTGACTTAGTATCAATACTGTTTTAGATTACACAGCAATTAGTTGCCTTTATTTCATACAGCTTGAGTATATTATTATTTTGCATGGATTATGTTTATTAGTTGCAGTCATATTGACAAGAAATTCATAAAATGATTATTGAGAAACTGATCATCAATTTATTAAACCAGCATCGTGTGTTTGAAACATGTTTTAAAAATACACATTTTCACTCCATTTCAGCACACATAACTAAAGCAGTTAAGCCAACGATTATTCTATTGTCTATATTTAAATTGTTGATGACTTAAAAGAAATTATTTTGCTGGATATCAAGATTTGATTTAGAAGTTAAGTATTAAGTATTAACTATAATCATGAGCAACAGAGGGTGAAACTGCTACTTTTTAATAAGAGTAGTTGGTTTGGAGTGATGACTATCCAGTTTGGCTAAGATATTAATTTTGCTCCAATTTGTTCTACTTTTCAGGAAAGAAGAGAGATAACAGTAAATCAACATCTAAGAAGCAGCCAGGAAATATAAAGCTCACAACCAAAAAGAGTCATTTAAGTAAAGTTGAGACCCTAAGCCATGCTGTTGGAAGTAAAGAAACGTCCCTGCAAGTCCCAATGAAACACATCAAATTGAAAATCAAGAAAATTAAGAAATCATGTACAACAATCTCAAGCTCAGGAGAAGCTGCAGAGAAAGAGAAAGTGCCAACTCAAGCCAGACATGCCATGGATTCAACTCGAGGTCTATCTCAGAAGAAGAACAACAACAACAAGGTACATGTATTCTAAATAATTTTCTCCTTGTCCTCTCAGTTCTGGCCTCGTAGCACATTAACTTGATTTTCAATCAAGAGATTGAGATATGTGCGTCACAAAGGCATTTTACTCAATGGTGTATCCAGAATGGGGTTGAGCTGGCCAACGTCCTTGTTTGAAGGCCCAGCATAAAAAGTCAACTGCATTTTTTGCTGTTTGTTAAATGTCACACAGGCTAGCTCTGCCTGGTGGGCATGCCACTGCCATGTTTTTCATGGATACATAATCTTTGAAGGCTTCCTTGGTGAAGATATTGATTTGAGTGATGCTTGGGGTTACATAATTTTTTCTTTTGAGAGTGATAAGGGCCCATTCGTGCATAGGTCATACCTAAGGTCTTCAGGTTTCTGGATACGCCACCGTTTGAACTAGATAGGATGTATCCATTACAGGCGCGTACATTTTTTGTGTGTAAACCCCCCCTAAATTTCTCTAAAACCCCCCCCCCCCCCCCTTTTGGAATTTTTTTTTTTTTTTTTTTTCCAATTCCCATGGTTGACCTAAAAAAGCTGACCTTACCCCCCCCCCCCCCCCCCAACGGAGCAAAATGTCAAATTTTTAAATTTCGAGACCCCCCCCCCCCCCCCTCCGCTTATTCAGCGGCTGGCTGAGGCGAAATTTTTGGCCCGATTTATAAATGTTAAAACCCCCCCCCCCTTGAAAAAATCCTGCGTACGCGCCTGATCCATTATAATGCACTTTGCTCAGATAGTGCCAGCAGATGCTAAACCTGGAATGATCAATTCTGAAGCTAACTGAGGACCTTTTGTCATAATTTGAGGTTAGAAGTATTATTATTACAGTCTATTTTAGATGGTTAAACTGATATTCCTTTTCTTTATCTTTTCAGGATAATTCAGTGACACAAACAGATACACCATCTGGTCCATATGTCTCTGGAAAATACTTACCTAAGACCAAGTTGAATCATCAATCTTCTGCTGACAAAATGATAGACCGAGCCCAAGCTGCTGTGGATGTGACAGAAGCAGTGAGAGATATGGTGACGTGTCTGTCCACAGACGAGATAAGACAACTGCTTGGGGTGTTCGATGACTTATTCAGCAGTAGACCTGACACTAATCAGAGCCAGCCAGTACCAAGTGACAACAAAGACTGTTTTGATGCCATGCAGCTGTCTACAGTGGATCCACAATCTTGTGGAGATGCCGGACACTCTGGAATGCAGAGAGAAGATCAAGGTGGTGGAGACAAGGAAAAAATGGTCCTTATATCTCCTAAAAAGTCTGTATCAAAGAAAAGCAGCGACAGGAAAGACCATCTTGCAGATCAAGGAAGTCCAAGTCAAAATAAGAAGAAGGCAGAATGCCAAGTTGATGATGTCGAGCAACTGGAAGAAGACCATCCCCTTGAACAGAAGATGGAGGCAGGACGTATCGTGGCTGACACCAAGCAGCTGGGAGAAGACTATCCCATGAAACAAGGTGTTCCTTTGCTTCACAAGGTGGAAGCAGAACATCTTGTCGGTGATGTAAAGCTATTTACTGATAACCATCCTCAAGAAATGCCAACTCTTACCTTGGAGATAGATGAAAAAGAAAAACCTGGTGGTGATACCGAGCCTACAGAAGATGAAGATACGTTGCCCTACCCTTTAGAGCCTGTCCAAGACGGGGCGAGTGGGATTGATGAAGCTTGTATTCACTTGTATGACTCTGACAGATGGAGTGAGTTAGATGAGGACATGCAGGCTGATGCTTCCAAGGAGCACACACCACAGAAAAGTGCAAAGCAATCTAGGAAAGTACAACCCCTTGATGTTGCAGCCACTTCTCTGGAGAAGACAAAACAACTTGTCAAAGATTCTGCTGGTGAGACTGCTGTTTCTTTGGTATCTGATACAGCTCAATCTAAGCCTTCAAATAAAGTGAGTGCAGCTAAGAATCCACAACGCGCAGATATGCTTTCCATCCTTATAAGAGAATGTGCAAACAAGACACCGATCAAAAAAGTAACGGAGAAAGAGCACAGGGAAGGAAGCAAAAGAGTCCCGGTATCCATCTTTGAACGCCTCTCTGCAGTTCAACCCAAAACAAGGAATGTGGTTAAAGATGAAAAGAAAAGTGCTGATTATCATGGGATTTCTTTGGAGTCTGGAGATAAAGTGAAAAGAAATGATAGCCCACAACCCACTAGCAGTCTTCCTGCATTACCAGAAGCTTCACAAAGTGAACTAGCAATTAGTGTAGACAAGGGCACAGAGAAGGATGAAAAAACCACAAGAGTTACTGTTTTTGACCGCCTCAACACCAAACAGCCAGGTCAGGAGCCTCAGAAGAAGAGGGTCTCTGTATTTGATCGTCTGTATGTACCCAAAACTGTTAAGCCAGAGCCAACTCTAACAGAACCTAGTAATTTGGAGAGGGTTTCAGCATTTGATAGACTTTCTTCAAGAAAGATCACAAAGACATCCACTCAAGAGAAAGAAAAACAGAAAGAAGATACGTCATCAAGAAGTTCTTCATTAAAGGTTAAAAAAGAGAAAACTACGGCAAAATCAGTGTTGTCAAGCAAGGTAAATAAGGTAGATTCTGGTAAGGTAACAGCTGGAGTTGCAAGTTCAGTAGGCACTGTCAAACCCTTGAAAGCTCGTGGAGTCGTACAAAAGGATATGCTCAAGGATGTACTTAAAAGTAAGAAGAGAGAGCTTCCAAAAGAAGATGTTTCAGCAAACAAAAAGTACAAATTGGCCATAAAAGATCAGCAAAAAGAAAATGTCACATCTAAGAAAGAGGACAAGTTTGTGAGTAAGGACCCAGTTAGGAGAGCACAAATATATAATGATCTACCAAGAGAGACTGTTGCTTCAAGCAACAAGAATAAACAGACCACCAAAAGTCATGGAAAGAGAGAAGAGAAGGTAATAGACCTACAAAGAAAAAGGGATACTTCAAGCAAGAAGCCCCTTCCTGATCCTAGAGATCAAGCAAGAAGGGAAAAAAGGCATGTTAGCAGGACATATGAAGAAAGGAAGGATAAAGAACACAGAAGGCATGGCTCCAGGGGGAGAGACTCTGAACATAGTTCAGTGAGTACCAAAGAAGACAGTGACACAATCCGCAAGAACATCCTTAAAAAAGCCAATGACCTTGCACCAGATTTTTCAAAATATGTTGTCTCTGGGCGATACTTGGAGTTGGAAGGAAAGTCACCAAGCCTACTAAATGATCCTGATCCAGTAGAAACACTATCCAACAACATTACAGACAGAGCAGGACTTGAGAAATGTTCTAATATGGCTAAAGAAAAAACAGCAGTTGATGGTTATCCACGGGAAGTTCAATCTAAATGTGTTAGTAATACAACCAATGTTGCAATTCAAAACAATGAGGAGATACAACCATTTTCTTTTCAAGAATCATACCTGGTTTTAGACCAAACTCAAAGGGACATTAATTACTCACAAGTCAATGAACAACAGATACACACTATATCAGTAATAGGGGGGTCCACTGCAAACTCAATGCGCCCATTCCATGAAATGAGCGTTGACAATGATGCAATAACGAATGGCTTACCTGATGATTTACCACTTGATAGGATCGCAATTATGGGGAACAGGGAAGGTGATGGGTCTTCTTCAGAAAAGATTCAGACACAAATACTGGGTGAGCCATACAATTCAGTTTCTCCTGAGCCCTCAACTATACTTTCTCCAGAGACTAAGAGAGCTTTTGAACAGGCACTGAAAGGTTCAATAGGCTCACCTACAAAACAGGATTACCGTCCTGAGAGTCCAACAAACAGCATAAGCTCCCTGTCGAATGGTCACCAAGACCAAGTCTTAACCAAAAACGATGTCCCCCCTCCAACATCAAGTTATGAAGAAAGTACCTCTACATTCACTCAAATCACTTACGAAAGAGATGAACCTTGTCAAGACCATGAAGACTCCAGGAAAGTGAAGACTAGCCTCAAAGCACCATCCTCTCGGCAAGTTTACTGTGGTAACCGCTTTCATCCATACGACAAAAGACTCAAGACCTTTCAAGGTCACTGCCACAATCTCCGTGAACCAGAAACAGCCGAACTGATTGCCAACTTCTGCAAGGAGGAGTACCGCTTGAGGAAGCTGAGGGCTGCTGCTAGAGTGTCTGCTCTCTCCAAGGAGGAGGAATTCTTCGATCAGGCCAGGCTGTCTCCATCCCGCTTTGGCTCGTTGAACGAGATGAGCCATGATGAAGGGGTCATCCAGAGGTCAGAGGAGGTAGAGATGACCCATTCTAGGGAAGGTGCAGGAGATGCAGTTGCTGGCCAGAGAGAAGACAAGTTGCAGATCCTGGACAAGCAGATCAAGGATCTGACAGCAAGCGGCAGTGGCATCCAGGACTTCTTCATTCTGGATGCAAATGTGTACCCAATCAAGGTGAGCTACTACAAAGACTTCATTGTCTTTTTGGTGATTCACAAATTGGCCTTCACTTTATTGAATTGTAATCAAGGACGGTGAATTACTAGTACAAATAAATTGCATAGTATTTGCTAATTCATTGGATTTTATATGAATGTCATAAATTCTAGTGGCAGATGTGATCTTGTCATATATGAAACTTCTGACTATTTGAAGATAAACATAAAAAAGTTAAAAATCATGTGGAGGATGAATGAGATTCTTTGTGCGCATGTTCTTCTATGTTGATATTCTGAAATAATCACCAAATTATCAAATTAGTGAAATTTTAGTCTTTGTCCAGCTTCACCATACTTCTCTACTTTCATATTGTGGATTTCAATATTTGCCTCAAGAAACTTCTTAATATTCTTTCTTCTATTTATTCATTTAATTTCAGAATGGGGATGACAGTGCTTTGTCTGGTGTGCCTCCTAAGACAAGAGCCAGGTAATACTTTGAAAGGAAATGAGGATTAGGTGTTAATAATAACACATTTCATATTTGTTGTACAGAGGACCAATTTAATTGTTGAACAACATGTTTATAAATAAGCTAGTGGGTAGTTTCTCGGAATCAAGAGCTTATGAAAACTTGAACAAGTACATGTATATCTTCTTTCTCTTGTTTTTCCTATTTGATTGACAAAAACATATGTTAACATCGCTATGCATAGGTCAAATTTCTGTATCTCTTTTTTCTCTTTCCTGTATCATTTTTTTTAAATCATGCATTTCACAATAACTTTAAGCAATAGTGGAATGCTTTTTAAAGGTAAAACTACAAAGATGGTAAACCTACAACTGGATATACCTTATCAATTCCAACCATGCCATTTCTGTTTTTTTTTTGTTTTTTTTGTACAGGAGAGGGCGTGGCCGTGGACGGCCCCACGCCAGGCGCCATGGACCCCCTCCTCATCCATACCAGATACGTACTCACTATCAAGGTCACCCTAGTACCTCCAGGGATTACTCCCAAGATAGGTGGAATGGACCTAGTGACAGGTCGTGGAATGGACCAAGCCAGAGGAGCATGAACCAATGGGATAGGTCGCCCAGACATTCCCCTCAAAGAAACTTTCAGTACAGGAAAGGCCACTGAGAATTCTTAATCTCTGCAGAAAACTCTCATCAAAGCTCACTGGAATGGACGTAGCCACAGGGCCTGGAATGGACCAAGTCAGAGTAGCTTGGGCAGGAGGTGGGATAGGTCATCCAGGTATCCACTTCCGAACAAGTTCCACTACAGGAAAGGCCACTGAGAACTCAGATCTTTGCAGAAAACTGTTGATAGGCTCAACACTTAACAACTGAAATGGACCTAGCCACAGGGCCAGAAATAGACCAGTTCAGTTTAGCTTGGACCGAGGGGAAAGGTCATCCTGATGTCTGCCTCCTAACCAGTTCCACTACAGGAAAGGCCACTGAGAACTCTTTATCTCTGCAGAAAACTGTTGATGGGCTCAACACTTAACAACTGAAATGGACCTAGCCACAGGGCCTGGAAATAGACCAGTTCCGTTTAGCTTGGACCGAAGAGATTGATCATCCTGATGCCTGCCTCCAAACCAGTTGCACTGTAGGAAAAGCCCCTGAGAACTCTTACTTACATGATTTTGTACTTGTCATTATACTCTCAAATTTGGTTGATAAATGGATGCCACTAAGATGCCTCTATTTGATGATGCCTTTGAACAACTCTAACCAGCTTCAGACACATCTTGCCTACCAGTGGTAACCAGTTCACCGTCTCTCTACTCAGTAGCTTGTGCCAGTGGGAAAATACAATAAAAATGATAGAAATTATAAGTATTTCATGACATTTATGTCAAGACAATCTAACAGTCTAACTCCTTCCAACATTGTCCTTGCCAGCTAGGCTTTTATTTTTACATACAACAGATTATGACTTTATCGTCTGTAATTTTTTTGAGTAACTTTTGTAACTTTTTCACATAACATGTATTTGGATTAAAAATTGAAATTCCCAAGCAGTATTATTTTGATGAACAAAAGAGACTTACATGTGCTTGTGTATCATGAACTCAACCTGAAAATGTGAGGTCAAATGTTGGCATTTGATATAGGTGGATGTAAGGGAATTTTCCAGACTTTTTAGCAATATGAAGTTTTTAATGAAAGAGCTTGTTTCCGGCAGATAAAGTTGTTGTTTCCTTTTGTACCTTTCATTTTTTATATAATGTTCATTTTTCTCTCTTGTAATTTATACACAGTCAGCTTTTACATTTGATTTCTTCAACAATGTTTGTTGAATGCTTAAACTATGTATTTTGTCCTAAATTAGGTGTGATTTTTCTACTTTTTTTATGAGAACATCTTGCTGCCATTTTACTAGGTGCTCTTGTCACTATAATTCAAAATGGGCACAAGTAAAACTGCAGCAACTTAGTATGTTCTTTTAAAAGAATTATGTGAAGACTATGTTTCATATGTTTAATAGCCATTTATATCCTCTTAAGTTTACAAGAGTACTGAAAGAAAAGGGGGAAAATGAAATACAATGTATGTCTCCTTTGCAACAAGACTAAATTTGTCAAATTTTGCTTCAACAGTATTGAAATATTTGACTACAAAAACTCTTGTGGGCTTTAAAATTGTAAAGATTTACTCCCTTGTCTTCTTAGCCAATAATCAGTTGTAATTGTGCTATGTATTACAAAGCTTATCTGAACCCAAATAAATTATTGTCAAGATTGTGCTTTAGAATTACTCTGAGATAGAATGGTTCATTGTATTGATTAGGCAAAGTAAAAAGATGTGTATCAAGTTTCCTATTCTTGCTCCAGATTCTAAATACATGTATTATGTCACAATAATTTAAACAAGTTTAAGGTTTCTCTTAAAACGTATTTATTCAATGTTAAAAGTGTACACCCATGAACTCAGCGTCCCACACTACATGTACTTCTTTGCTTCTAAGTGGATTTTCTCATTTGTATGACTTTTTCTTGTAATTTTTTCTTTTCTATATAAAGCACATAGGGACATGCTATCCTGTAATGTGTTATGCGCTATAAAAGAACTGAGTATTATTATTATTATTATTATTATTATGTGTATTTTTGCTCATTTTCTTCCACAAAGCAGCTAAGATCTATTCTTAAACGATGGTACATGTATTTCCTTTTCATGTCAATAATTTGCTTCCTACAGTAGTTTCCAAATAATGTAGGAGCAATGCTTCTTCAGACATTGTCGCTATGTATTCATTTGTTTTTCCAATGTTCTCACCATGTGCTATCCAATGAACTCAACAGCTTATCGCCTAATACTTTAGTCACACCAACAAGACAAAAAACAGGCTGATCACAAAATTACATTGCTTAATTTGCTCCAACGGCCAATAAGTGGTCAGAGTCGCTGTGGCTGAGGTGTATAGGTCTGTTGTGTATTTTAGTTTCGTTGGAAAGCCTTCCGTACGTTGTGGAATTCCCAGAAGTAGTCATTGAAAATACAATGGGACCTCGTTATAACGAACTCCTGGTGACCAAATCAATTACGTTCTTAGATACAAATCTTGATGTACAATGTATCAGCGCTCAAAATCTGTCAGAAAGAGAGAACTTGGATCGGTATAAATACATCCTTTTAAAGGTAAAGACCAGTATTGGAAACGCCCCAATTTCAAAAAATGAAATGGAAGCTCTTACTACCAATCATGTGAAAGAATATGTTTTGACTAATACATGATAACAATTTTGCCGGGAAACCGCCTACTAATTGATATATTTGGTAAATTAGTTTATCTACATGGTCTGTGAGAGATAAACGCACGTGTGCATATAGTCCCATATACATCTTTCTGTGTACAGTGCTTGTAACTTTATGAAGACTGGGCAATATTTCTTATCATTTTGATGATTCCAGAACCTTGCAGTACACACCAATACTTATATGCTAGATGATCAACCTTTTCTGATCGATTCCACAACGTTTCTTTCACAATGCAATCGCATGACTATAACTGGTCTTTACCTTTAATGAGAGATTTGTGTAAAAGTGCTCAGTCTAACAAGGTTCCATTTTATGTTTGGGATAATGTGTTGACATATGTACATGTAATTTATACGTATTTGTTATCAAGGGCAATGTGACGACACAAGCCAAAGCAAAGACTTCAAATTGCATATACTGTAAAACCAGAAGTTTTTGTGATGTTAAATTTGTCTAAGTTGTAAATGATGGCTATTTCCATGGGGGAAGGGGGGAGGGGACTTGTTTACATTGCAAAATTTCAGTGTTGACTGTTGTGTCAAATCTACAGTTTCTGGTTTTGCCGTATATGCATGAATATCTACATGCTTGATCGTATACATGTAAATAATACAAAATTACTTTTGTTTCACAGCACATGTGACATACCGTAGTCATTGACCTCTCCTCCTTTTATGGATGGATTGGTGGATGAACAATGCAGTCTTTTATGTGTGCTCATGTGTAGCTTTATTATGTTTATATGATTATACAGTACTACATGTAATTTGCTTGCATTTTGCCAAAAAAACTCATGATATTGTTACGTAACATGCAAATTTCAAGAACAAGATATATATTATTACTGCAGGTGGATGGGCTATACATAATTTGTTATTTTGTTGTTGCTTATGTATGTACATTCTTTACTTCGTGTTCAAAACAAAGACCATGTCTGAAAAATCGTATGCTTATTTTGCTGTATACAAGTTTAGGATACATGTATCTGGTATTGGGGTGTGGGGGGTATACATAATATACAACTTTCGAGAACAAGATATAATTACTGCTGGTGAATGGGCTATACATTTGTTATGTTGTTATTGATTATGTATGTACATTCTTTACTTTGCTTTCGAAACAAAGACCATGTATGAACAAATTATTCGCTTTTCTTGCTGTAAACAAATTTAGGATGTCATGTATTGGGGGTATTATTTGTTTGGGTCGTCTGTCCGTCCATCTCTCGTCTTATCTTAATCTCACTCTTAGAATTGAAGAACCATGGAAAGGATGAAATTCAAGACTTCCTACCAATAGTGTCAATGTGTAACAATGAATTTATCACTGAGGGGTCATTGGATCAAGGGTCATAACACTTCTGAATCTTCATGTATGAGTCATCAAAACATGGACTTGATGACTCATATTGAGAGCTGGCTGTTACTTTAATAGCACATTTTTGTAGATGAATAAATCATCAGAATCATACTGCTCTTTGTCTAACTCTTTTTCATAGTCAATTTTACTCCCGTTAAATGTAGTGTGCCAAGTGATACCTTTCTCTTATAAGCCTACTTGATTTTGATTTCTCTCTGATTTCTTATTCATGCACAACATAGGATAAAATTGTCTGCTGAGAGCCAGAAGGGCGTTAAATTGCATTCGTATACATGTACACTGGGTTAATTAACGCCCTCTGGCTCTAAACTAACGATTGATCCGTTCTTTGGTTGCTATGTGACCTGTTACTGTCACTTCTGCACTAGTTGTGGGCCTCCATCTTACAAAGAGTTGCAGTTGATCCGAATCAGTCACAAGTCTTCTATTGTGAAGTTACCATTGCCTGTATCTGTTTGTTTTTTCATGTTGGATGAATCCGATCCATTTCAACTCTTTGTAAGATAGGACCCTGGATTACTGTCAGAATTACACTTCAATCATTTGATTTTAATTCTTGTGGTTTTAATCAAATAATGACTACCATGCATTTGGCTCAAAATGAAAATCAACCATCCCAAGGACTTACTGTAGCCTCATTCTTCGGAAGAAAGCTTAATACTTTCTTTGTTCCTGTATGTACATGTATATGTTAACTCAGTCATACGATTGTGGTAAAGATTGTGCTTTCATTGTGATCTTTAATGTAAAATATGTGTGCATTTTATTGCCAAAAAAAGCGATGCACATAATTATGTTGTTGTTTTTCTAATAAATTTGTTTTCAACATTACTTACAGGGAGTGTATTGTGCGTGTTTCTTTTTCTTGTGATACTGTCTCACAGAAGAACTTGATCAGTGCATCAATCTGTTTTGATTTGATTTTTGTTAATCATGACGTGGAAAGGAAATTTGCTGTAGGCCTAGGACTAATGACAAACAACTGCTTTAGTGATCATTGATGAGAAGAGTGTATGCGATGATGTTCAAACTAATTATGAATTTGAAGGGTTATGATGATTATAATGACGGCAATAATGGTGACAATGTTTCATCGCAAATCGGGTATTGGTGAGAAGTGAGTGAATGCTTTTCATTACCATTTATTAATCATTTCCGCCTCTATAACCTTATTCTGCTATATTTTCATTTTTCTTATTTTTCTCCCCTTTTTGTTTTAATTCTATTTCTTCTTCCTTTTCTCTCTCTCTCTCTCTCTCTCTCTCTCTCTCTCTCTCTCTCTCTCTCTCTCTCTCTCTCTCTCTCGTGTTACCCTGATCTTTCTTCTTCTTTTGTTTTCTTCATTCTTCTTTCCCACCCACATTATTTTCGTTTTGTTGTTGTTGAGCGAATTGAGAGAAAAAAGAAATATGAAAATGAGGGAATAGGAAACACAGAAATATAAGTAAAAGATGATAGACCTGAAGAAGCCCCGCAAATTGACCTCTAAACATGTGAACGTGATCCAAATGTGTTTCCCTTTGTCAATTCCACATAAAGTACATCGTTTTGGCAGTGAAATTTGAAAAGGAAATCAATTGGTTTATTTGACGTTCTGTTGTCTATTTTCATATCAATCTACCTTTTTAAATGTCGGGCCAGGGTTATTTTAAGCTCCATAAGCCGATTCTAGTCTTATCCGACCAACTATTTAACGATTTGAAACAGCTGAATAACATATGACCTTGTCCCTAGCAACAGGGAGAAGAAACGTGAGACGGATCAAATACATAATGACATTTGTTCTTCGCTTAAAGACAATGATTGTTCTGACATGTTCTATTTCCGAAAGATGAGATTACAAACTTCTGTTCAACAAAATGAGGTGAGACATTACAATAGGAAAAGAAAACAATAAATGATGTCAATCAATAGAAATAGCAAATGGATTTTTTTTTTTGGTAACTCTAAATATTTTTGTAATTTACTGCCCCATAATAACAAAAATAACAATAATGCCTCTTCCTTCTCCCACTTATGACGTAATTGCCATGATCTATCCGCATTCATTTTTGAAGAGAGGCCTGTCGTATTACTCACTTTCTATATTTTTTCAGTAAAGAAAAAAACTTGATATAAGTTAGTTTGATATTAGTAAACAGTGTGGGTGGGCGTATGTGTGTATGTGTGTTTGAGAGAGAGAGAGAGAGACAGAGTCTGTAGCCACGAGTGGGGGGGGGGGGGGGTGTCCAAGGAGGCAAGCCCCATTTTGGTAGGAATACACGCACATATGCGAGCACCCATTCCCTTCTATTCATTGAAGTTTTTCGTATAACAACTTTTCACTTCTATTAGGCCTCTCTGAATCTGTTACCCATTATCTAACTACACTTTATTATTTTTTTTAGAAAGCGTACGACTAATTACCCATCTAAATGACTCGACTTCAAATTAGTAACAAATTCGCATACACGGCCACCTGTTAATAATGGCTTAACACATCACACAAGTGCTATGGAAGTCAATTTGAAGTATTAACGACAGACTATCGTACCAAAAATTGTACAATGCAAGTTAAGAATACAGCTAGGATTCGTCACTGAATAGGGGGCCTACCTTCGTCTACACTAGCTGAAGAGCAAGTCATTATGTCACACCTAGTAATTAGATGATCGGCAAATATGACAGGAAATTATGATCCTCTTAATATTATACCTGTTGATAGAACCGCTAGAACCTCTTTACGGTCGCTCTCTCTTTCTCCCTCAACCCCATCCTCTCTCTCTCTGTCTCTCTCTCTCTCTGTCTCTCTCTCTCTCTCTCTCTCTCTCCCTCTCTCCCCCCTCTCTCTCTCTCTCTCTCTATCCCTCTCCTCACCCCCTCCCACCTCTCCCCCGTCTCTCTCACTTTGTCTAGTTGATCCCCTCCCCATTTTCGCCCAGAGTCTCTCTTTCTCTTTCATTCTTTTTTTTTCCTTTCACAATCGATCCCCCACCTTCTTTTTCCTCTATATCATCACTTTCTCCCAAGCCCCCTCTACTTATTCTTTCCCTCCCTCCCTGCCTCGATCCACCCGCCCTATCTTCCCCTCACTCACTCTCTCTAACTCTTTCTCTCTCTCTCTCTCTCTCTCTCTCTCTCTCTTCCGTACTAGTAATGGAAGCAGTGGTAATATAGTAATTAGTTTCAAAGCCTATTTTTGAGTATTGGTGTGGTGTGGTATCAGCAAGTTGAAGAAGGAAAGAAGTAAACAATATTTTCAACGCTATATAATTTGATAAGCCAATAATAATTGTCATACCTCGCAATCCTTTTGATTAAACTCGATCTGTCTTAGATCAATACATACATTTTTGTTAACATAATTCATCAATCAGTCAAACGGAAAGTGCCTTCGATTTTTGTTTCAGGTTTGTCGTTTCTTCTGCTATTTTGGAAACACACAGATTGGTTGAGCATGTAGATAAATGAAAACATCCCTACCCATAAAAGGACACTCAGTCGTGTTTTCTTTCCCTTTCTACCATCTAGTCTTGACCAAAAAAAAAGGAA